GTCACATTAGTTAAAAGAGGACTCCTCTACCCACTTACCTTGGAGTAAGCCCCATTGAACTTAATGAAACTTACTTCCAAGAGCACATGCACAGGATTGCACTGTTAAGTCAGAGATCTTCATTGGAGGTCCCACTCTCTGTCCTTTCCCCTGGTGGGATGAAGTGAGTGGGCTTCTCATTGGTGGATCTGCACCATGTAAATTGACCTAACTCAACTGGCTCTCTCACTCCTGTCTGTTGGACAGATTAATACCACCACCACCCAACAGAATTTTTAGTGTATGACTCTGTTACTCTTCTAGATTATACAGCTTAATTGGTTATTATTTTATAATCTTATTATTTTAACAGTATTGCATTTCTTATTGGAGTAAGCCGCTACAGAGTGCTCTATTAACTGAAGAGTGGTGCATATGCCTACTGTCAACTTAGTTATTATTTATTTATTTCTTTATTTAAAAAAGCACAACTCAGTTAATTAGTGGACAAAGTATTGTGATCCATACACCTGAATGTTACCTGTGAGTTTGCAATCCTAAACATAATTTACTTGCAAATAACTCCCACTGAACTCAGTGGGAGTTACTTCTAAAACTACATGTTAAGGATTTCCCACAAGGCACAGAAAGAAAAAGCAAATATTCTCACTGGTAGCATATTTGTATAAAGTTAAAAGGACGTTAACAATTTAGTAGTTAAAGCACAGAGTCTTGTGGCATCTGATCTGATTTTCATAGTCTTTACTATCAAATGTATTATGGCTTCTGCCTTCATAGACAAAGACACATGACATATGATCCTAAGCTAGCGGGTAAAAGGCAAAGGTACCCCTGACCATTAGGTCCAGTCGCGGACGACTCTGGGGTTGCGCACTCATCTCACTCTATAGGCCGAGGGAGCCGGCGTTTGTCCGCTGACAGCTTCCGGGTCATGTGGCCAGCATGACTAAGCCGCAGGGATATGAAATGCAGGAGACTGTGATAATTATCTCAAAGCTTAATTCTAAAAATTATTACAGTAAGCAATCACAAAACACTACTGATAACTTAAATATCCTGACATTTGTGAACTAATTAACACCTGTAAAATAATCATTGTGTCAAATTGCTTCAAGACGTAGGTGACAGAAAACCAACTTGTAATTCAACAGTTCATGCTGGGGTTTTCCTCTCAAGTTTCTCTGTGCAAGAATGGTCACTTTAAGGTACCGTATTTTTTGCTCTGTTAGACTCACTTTTTCCCTCCTAAAAAGTAAGGGGAAATGTGTGTGCGTCTTATGGAGCGAGTGCAGGCTGCACAGCTATCCGAGAAGCCAGAACAGCAAGAGGGATTGCTGCTTTCACTGCGCAGCGATCCCTCTTGCTGTTCTGGCTTCTGAGATTCAGAATATTTTTTTTTCTTGTTTTCCTCCTCCAAAAACTAGGTGCGTCTTGTGGTCTGGTGCGTCTTATAGAGCGAAAAATACGGTAAGTAACTGTGTGTCCTGTAACATTAAGACATTCTCCTACTGGGTTCTGAATATTTCCATTTCTGATGTCAGATTTCTGTCTACAGTGGTACCTCGGGTTACATACGCTTCAGGTTACATACGCTTCAGGTTACAGACTCTGCTAACACAGAAATAGTACCTCGGGTTAAGAACTTTGCTTCAGGATGAGAACAGAAATCGTGCTCCGGCGGCACAGCAACAGCGGGAGGCCCCATTAGCTAAAGTGGTGCTTCAGGTTAAGAACAGTTTCAGGTTAAGAACGGACCTCCGGAACGAATTAAGTACGTAACCAGAGGTACCACTGTAGTTAAGATTGTCTGGTTTGTCCAATGCAGTTTGCAGAAGGGTGTTGCTGACAGATGATACCATATTGGAAGACAACCAGGCGAATGAACCTTTGCTATTGTGATACTATATTTGGCCCTGTAATAGTGTTGCCTAAGAATTTACAGCAATGATGAAGAGGTGGACACTGATATGTGATTACTATCATAATCCTTCTTGCCTAACTACATAGAGACAGACTGAGACTAGTTAAAAATTGGGGTGACTGCTCATGAGCCTGATTCCACTAACTTGCTGACCCAGGCCATGCATGGAGATAGCTGCCTCTGGAATGGATCCCTTCCGCAACCGGAGGTACCACTGTATTAGCAACTGTTTAAAACAAGCTGCAATCAGAGAAATAAGTGGGACTCTTTCTCTGTATGTAAAGTTGTTGGCAGCCATCTGTCTCGAAAGAACAGGGGTCACAAGTCTGGGCAGTGTGTATGGAGGTCCTAGGCTGCCTAGATGACAAGATTGCCACTCATGTCCTCACTGATGTGGTTGAAAGGAACGCAGAGCAATACGTTTGGCACCAGCTTGGCTGCAGGAGTTGCCAGAAGGAGGCATACAAGGCACAATCCAACCATCTTAGGGACTCCCCTTTCTCTCTCTCTCTATTTATAGATGGCCTTGCAATGTGAATGTAGTCTCTCTCTCTATAGATGGCCTTGCAATCTGTGCTTGTTGAGGCTGATGGGAGTTGTGGTTCAGCAACATCTAGAGTGCCAAAGGTTCCCCACATTGGCCTTAGCCCTTACCAAGTTTATTATTGCAGTCCAAGGTTCATATCTGTATTCTGCCATGACACATCATCAAGCTACTATTGCAATTGAACCTACATGAGGTGGTTAAAAAGACAAAGGAAATATCTATTTGTACTCTCCTGATTTTATTTATTTATGCAACATGCATACAGAAGGGCAGGTCCCTGCTCTAAAGAGCTTGCCATATGAAATATAACACAGGGAAAACCTAAGTGAAGGGCAGACAAGGAGACAGATGTGGATAACATGGATGTGTTATTTCCACCATCAAGTCCACGTCTGACCACCAAGTTGCCCTGTTTGTTTGGAGAAGGGCCCTATAGCTTAGTGGCAGAGCATCTGTCTTGAATCACATGTCAGGACAGTCTCAAACAAAGAGTAAAGGTAAAGGGACCCCTGACCATTAGGTCCAGTCGTGACCGACTCTGGGGTTGCGGCGCTCATCTTGCTTTATTGGCCGAGGGAGCCGGCGTACAGCTTCCGGGTCATGTGGCCAGCATGACTAAGCCTCTTCTGGCGAACCAGAGCAGCACACGGAAACACCGTTTACCTTCCTGCCAGAGCGGTACCTATTTATCTACTTGCACTTTGACGTGCTTTTGAACTGCTAGGTTGGCAGGAGCTGGGACCGAACAACGGGAGCTCACCCCGTTGCGGGGATTCAAACTGCCGACCTTCTGATTGGCAAGTCCTACCACTCTGCGGTTTAACCCACAGCGCCACCCACATCCCGCCAAACAAAGAGTGCCAAGCCCATATTCCTAGCATATTCACCCTCCAGTGATGTCTATGCTGAAGTGCTCATGTCCACAGAAAGGAAGATGGCAGGATCCCCAGGGATGTGCTCTAGGAGGAGTTGGCTTCAAGCACCAGGCTCATTGGCAGACCAGCTCTGTCTTACAAAGATGTCTGCAAACATAACACAAAGGCTGGCAACATCAAGCCTGTCCTGTGTTAATCACCTACAGAAAACTGTAGGGCCTGGAGACAGACAATCAGGTCATGTATCCATAGCAGTGACCAGCGGAGGAATGACCGCTGAGAGGAGAGGAGAGAAAAGAAACCTTCATCTACCCCAGCTGCAACAAAACATCTCTCCCCCTTATTGGTCTCTACAGCCACAGCAGGCACTGTAACTCTCCAACGGTTACAGGCACACTCTTCCATTGTCTCCTGAGACAAACAGATGTGAACAGCCAACAAGAGCATCTATCTTGCATGAACACGGTCCCTGCTCAATCCCCAGCATCTCATGGTAGGACTGGGAGAGAATCCTGTCTGGCCCCTTGGAAGATGCTGCCGCGCAATGTAGACAGTACTGAGCTAGACGGACCATTGGTCTGACTCGCTATGAGGCAGCTTCCTGCGCTCCTAACTTTCCTGAACCAGCATTTGGTTCAGCTTTGATCAACGCTGACTCTTTAGCTGTCATTCCTGAATTTCAGGGGGTAGGACTAGCTAACCCTTTTGGGTCCCTTTCCATCTCTACAATTCCATGATTGTACAAGGCCCCGGGTGGTGCTGTGGGTTAAACCACAGAGCCTAGGACTTGCCGATCAGAAGGTTGGCGGTTCGAACCCCCATGACGGGGTGAGCTCCCGTTGCTCGGTCCCTGCTCCTGCCAACCTAGCAGTTCGAAAGCACATCAAAGTGCAAGTAGATAAATAGGTACCGCTCCGGCAGGAAGGTAAATGGTGTTTCCATGCGCTGCTCTGGTTCGCCAGAAGAGGCTTAGTCATGCTGGCCACATGACCCGGAAAATGTACGCTGGCTCCCTCGGCCAATAAAGCAAGATGAACGCCACAACCCCAGAGTCATCCGCGACTGGACCTAACGGTCAGGGGTCCCTTTACCTTACAGGGCCCACCAACCTGATTCAAAGCTGGACAAGGCTCTTCATGGCTGCATCTAAACCTTGAAGCATAAGGAAAAGGGGGTTGGAGAGATACAACACCCCAAACGGGAGGAGCATAGGAGGCAACTCCTAGGGGTCGTGGTCCCTTTGCCACCCCCAATAAAATACTGAAGGGACCAAGCCCCCCCCCGCCAGTTGATGGGCATTGCCATTCAGATGAGGGGGTGCGCCGCGTCTTGTGATCGATTATGCAAGGCGGGGCTTATTTCCCTCCCCCAACCTAATATTTTATTGAAGTTTGCACCCCTGGGGAGGAGAGAGTCGCCTTCCACTGCAAGATCCCCCCAGCCTCGCCTTTCCCCTCGCTGCCCCGCTCCCACCCCAGCGCCAGTTGCCGCCATCGCGAGCTGCGCCCGCGCCGCGCCTCCAGGACCGCGCAGGGAGGGGGGAGAGGCGCGTAGGAGCCATTCCCTTCTCTCCCCGCCACCCCGCACCAAGTCGCGCGCTGACGTCGCGTCACCCCCCCCCCCGCCCCCAATCCTCCTCCTCCTCCTCCTCATGTTAGGATAGTCGGGCTAGGACCCCGGAAGTGCCGGCTTGGCGGAATCTGGGGAGAAAGCGTGGACAGCAGAGGCAGCGGCGGCGGCAGAGGGAGGCAGGCGCAGGAGCTGCAACCCCGTCTGCACTTCGGTGCGGGGCAGCGCCGGAGGAGGAGGAGGACGAGGCGGCGGAGGCGCTGCTGCTGCCGCCGTGGGTGGGGGCGCCGCGCTCGCCTCGCCTGCCTCCCTCTGGGCGACCTGCCGGGGGTGTCCCAGCGCTCGCGGCTGGAATGGTGCTGGCGCCGGCGCGCGGTGCCCGCGTTCCCCGGAGAGAGCAGCCCGAGCGGAGGAGCCGCCGCGATGGAGATGCTGCTGCTGCAGCCGTTGGGGTGAGCGGCGCCGGCAGGGCTGGGCGCGCATGGGGGTCCGGGGGAGAGAGGCGCGGCGCTGGGCTGGGCCGCGCGTAGTAACGGTGCGAGGGATCCTGGAGAGGGCATCCACCACCACCTCGACAGAGTGTACTTTGGAGCAGGCCTCGGCCCCGCCGCCGGTTGGGAATGCCCAAGGTCCGCTTTTGGGAACGAACGGAGCGGTTATTTCGGAGCCCCGGAGCACGGGCAGAGTTTGTTTCCTGTTCCCCAGAGGCCAGCCCGCAGGCGCCCCAGAGCAAAGGGAGTGGGGTTGGTATATAAGGGTCGCCTTTGGGGCGATGCTCTCGGGCGTGGAAGGGATGCTCCCTGGTCCCACACCTTTGGGTGCTGGCCAAGTGTCTGGAAACAGAAATGCACTCTGGACGTGCTCAGAAGCACTGCCCGTAGAATCTGTAAGCTCCAGGCCAAAACACTTTCTGGAACTGGACCCTGGCCTTAATGTAAATATGGGATGCTTTGAGGTAGTCTGTAGTATAATTTTGTGGGACACTTCCATTCATTCTAAGTGAAAGGGAGCAGCTTTCAGGCAGGCGTTTTCATGTTTGTCTGCCCTTCACACTTACTGGTCTGTATGTGCTCTTTTAAAATCCTAATGTGGGCTGGGGACAAGCTAGCAAGAGAAGAACCAGTTTATCTTTGTTTGTTCTTTTGTTTGAATTAGTAATAATTTTCTATTGAATAGTAGTGTATTTGGCGCTTGCAGTGTGCTGGGTAATGTACGGGAATGATGGTTTCTGCCTGTGAGGACTGTAGTTTTGTTCTGCACAATCACTTTAATTCTTTAGCTTCAAATAACTATTCTGTCCCCTGCCCCTCTGGTTTTTGTTCACTACTTCTAACACCCATGTATTGAAAGATTAGGAAAATGCACCCTAATATGTTTCAAATGCTGCTTTGAAAGAGGTCCTGATAGCATTGTGAGTTTGCAGTTTAAGTCAGTGCCCCTCACAGTGAGGTGCTAGAAGTGAAGACCTGTTGCCCATAGCTAAAAGACTCAGCAGGCAGGTTAGAGGATCCTCAAAGGCCCTTCTACTGATGCATGCCCCTGCTGTCAGATGTTAGATGACAGTAAGCGGAGAAAGGGCTTTCTCTGTGATGGTGCCTTGTTCGAGCTTTATGTGTCAAAACCTTATTATCCCAGGCTTCAAACAATTACTGATGCTGCTATCTGAAACTGTCCTAACATAGAAATATACTGAGTTAGACCATCCGGTCTGGCCATCTCAGAAATGCATATACACTGATGGGCAACAGTTTTCAGGATTTCAGACCCAACCTGGAGTCTTCATTATTTAGAGCAACTACTGTACTGACCTCCTTCAAAGAAAAGTTAACTCAACCCAGAGCCAGCAAGGGTCTGTGAGTGGCTATATTTATTTCCTTGTTTTTGTTTTTGGGGGTTGCATATTAATGTTCATTATTGCATTAACTGGATCTTCCTGCTTTGTAAATAGATTATAAAATAAAATGCCATATTTCCCACTTGTCTGTCACTTTCCACGTAGGTTTTTGGCCTAGCCTGAGTTACCGAAGAGTAAGGTTTTTTGGGGTAGTGGAAATCTCAATAACACAGGAGGAACAGTTTGGAGAGGAGGGGGAGTTGGGAATGAAGCAGACAAGGCAGCTCATTTGCTCCTGCATGATTTGGAGGGAATGGAGAACACAGGAGAACAGACAATGGGTTGGATCCAGGTGAAGTTAGTTGCACTTAAGCTGCCTAATTTCAGTGACAACCAAATATGACTAATTTGTTCCATTCCATCGATTTCAGTAGGACCTCAGTTCAACTAACTTCACCTGCATCCTGCTATATGTATGAATAAATAACCAGCCTAAATTGTTCAAGAATTACACATCCAAATAATGGATGTAAAGTGCTTCAGGTAATGGTGGGGTATCAGCAAAAAAAATTGCCTTAGGTTAGAGGGTTGTGTGATCCCCAAAGATTCTAAGAAGAGTTTTGTTAAGGTTCCTCCAAAGTCCTGTTTCTTGAAGCTAGGAAGGTGAAATGTATTGGAACAAGTTTAAGAATCCGCTGAAGCAATTAATCCAAGGGGAAGTGAGTCTGTTGTTTGTCACATTAGATTGAAGAAGCTCTTCTGGGACAGAAGATAGTTTTGTGCATGATGATAGAAAAGGGGTGGATGGATGAGGTGCATATTAAGACCAGTGGTTCATCAGGTCCAGGTTTGGGGAGCCGTTGGCTCTCCAGTTGTTGCTGAACAGCAGTGCGCATTGTCCTCGGCCTCTAGGCATGCATACTAGGTCTGATGGGAGTTGTAGTTCGGCAATACCTGGAGGGCCAAAGGTACCTCACACCTTATCTAGAATAACATCTTGTTTTCCATAGTGGCCTGCCAGATGCCTCTTAGAGGGTAGGCTTCTAAGAATGATATTCAAAGATTTCTGAGGTTAGTGGAGCTACAGAAAGACCTATACAGTGGTACCTCAGGTTAAGTACTTAATTTGTTCTGGAGGACTGTTCTTAACCTGAAGCACCACTTTAGCTAATGGGCCTCCTGCTGTTGCCGCACCGCTGGAGCACGATTTCTGTTCTCATCCTGAAGCAAAGTTCTTAACCCGAGGTACTATTTCTGGGTTAGCAGAGTCTGTTACCTGAAGCGTATGTAACCTGAAGCGTATGTAACCTGAAGCGTATGTAACGCGAGGTACCACTGTATATGTGTTGTAAGGAATGTGAAAGCAGATGCACGTGCCATGTCCCCAAACTAAGAGTTAAGTGTCTGTCTTCTAGTCTAAATGGCAACAGATCCCTTCCGTTTCCTGCAAGGCAGACTGAGCATCTTGGCGGGAAGCGAGGAGCATCCCGCTGGCTGTTGTCTTATAATCAACCATGCAAGCAACACTGATAAATGTTAAGTTGTTTATCAGGCTTGATTCTTGGAATAGTGGATGGAATGAGGTAGAGATGGGTGCCAATTGTATGTTACCACCTCTTTATAATGAGTTATTGGACCGTTTTTTGAGAATAGGAGGCAACACAGTGTAATCCCTGTGTATTAAAAGATAAGCCCTACTGGAAAGGGGGGGGGGACTGGCAAAGAAAATTAGCTGGGGCTCATGTTCTTTGGTGTCTCATAAAGTTTGACTCCTGGCCTTTTGTCATACAAACAGAGCCACTAAGTAGTTAAGAGCAGGGGCACTTCCTTGATTCTTAAAATGGTTTATTGAAGCGGGGGGGGGGGGGGTCCATATGTACACAAGCTATCTACCTGTAACTTTTCTTTGAGAGTTTCACAACGATGTGGATTTTCTGGAAACCTTTTCTGTCCTAAATTTTCTGTCCTAAATTAACTAAGATCTACTTCAGCATGTTGAAGATATATTCAGTTAGCAAAGCTATTTTTAAAAAATAACCATGTCATGGTTGGTTTTATGTGCTGTTTGGAGTATTTAATTTTCCACTCAGTAGCCAGAATTATTTGAAATGAAGTGCTTTGTTCAGGAAAACAAGGCACACTTCATGTTGTTTACATGCTATATTCAAACATGTTAAAAACTTTACGTGGAAATTCGTATTTCGATACTTCTGAAATGTTTTTACTTTAAAATACTGTTAAGACATAACAGCTCAGTAGCATACACTTCGTTTACATTACATTGGTACCTCTAGTTACGAACTTAATTTGTTCCGGAGGTCCGTTCTTAACGTGAAACTGTTCTTAACTAGAGGTGTGCTTTTGCTAATGGGGCCTCTTGCTGCTGCTGCGCCGCTGGCACACGATTTCCGTTCTCATCCGGGGGCAAAGTTCTCAACTCGAGGTAACTCTTCCAGGTTAGCGGAGTTTGTAACCTTAAGCGTTTGTAACATGAGGTGTTTGTAACTCGAGGTACCACTGTATTAACTTTTATTGTTAAAAGCTAAATACAGTGTATTAATTTGCATTAGAATATAATTTTGGCATGCTTAAAGAACCATATATAAACAAGGGGCAGTGTCACAAGGCATACTAACTAATGTGTGTAGATGTAGATTTAGGTCTCTTAGCAAATTAAGATAGTTGCTGGGACCTTACCCACACTGTGCTAGCATCTTTCATTTCATTTATTAGACTTATTAGTCGCTTGCTGCTCAAAGTCTTCTATGTGCTCGATCTTGTCCTCGATCTTGTCCATTGCACCTCCTTGCAGTTTGTTGAAGAACTGTTGAGCTTTCAGAAGTTGGGCTGCACTGGGAGGACCTGTAGCTGGAAGCACCAGTTGGGCAAGCAGTGGTGCTTGCTGGATTGATCCACTATAAAAGATCTTAAAGTGGGTGGGATCTCTTCCAGAACTGGCACTAAGCTAAAAGAAGTAATAGAAGAGTAGTCATAGAATTGGAAGGGTCCCTGAGGATCATCTATACTGAATTTATATACTGCCCTATACTCATAGGTCTCAGGGCAGTTCTAGTCCAAACCATTGCAATGCAGGAATACGCAGCTGCCCTGTATGGGAATCAAACCTGCAACCTTGGCATTATCAGCACCACACACTAACCAACTGAGCTATTCAGGCAGGCAAGCCACAGAAAGGACAGGAAGAGAAAAGGATATTGAGCAGCTGCAAAAATAAAAAATAAAATACCACGCATGTTCCCCTAATGTAATGGACTTGGTGATATATAGAGGCAATTTCCGTAGCATGAGAGACTTTTGGTAACTAGAGGTTCAATGACTAGAAAACAATGTCTTTAAAAAGTTAATAAGAATGATGGTTTGAGCTGATCTATTTTCTTTGAAAGGCCAAGTTTGTCTTCCCCTTGATCTCTTTGGTGCTTGGATACAGACATTTGACAAGAAGGCTCTGCATTCACTGATTGATTGACTCACTTTGTTGCAGACATTCACTGTGACCTTTAGGACTGATTTGTTGGAAGGACAATCTGATTCTGATGCATTTGCACGGTACCTAGTGGCTCAAACTTGTGGAATAAGCCCTGTGCTTGCCTCTCTACTCTGACCTTTGGAACAATTGCTAATATGTGATGTCTTGGGTTACAGAGCAGCTCTATTTGAACATAATGAGATATTGTCAGTGGCCATTCTTGCTGCCTTGATTGGCAGGCAGGGGGAAGTCTCCTCAAATGAAGTATTGTGAGATATCAGGCCCATGTGTCGTCATACTAGCACAGCCCTCCAGATGTTGTGGGACTACAGTTCCCATCAGGCCAAGCCATCATGGTTAGAGATGATGGAATTGCAATCCAAAACATTGGAAGGCAAGCAGGTTTGGGAAGGACATTGGGGCTCATGATTGGTCTATAGTGTATCATTTGCAGGTGCAGGTAAGTCGTGGCACTAGGGCTTTTTTCTTTTTTTCAGATTTGGCTAAAGAGCACATCATTTTGACCTCTTTCCTTGCAATCTGTTAGTACATCTTGAGTAAGTATCCGTCAGAGCGACTCCTTTTAACTGGCACTGTTTTGATCTGCTATCAGTAATTTAATCTGATTATATATGGGGGTTTTTTTGTCTTGGAGCATTTATATGCATGGATCTAAATCGTTCAGAGGTTTGGGTTGTTTGTCCTGAGTGTTGAGGGCCTGGTCAAAGCAAAGTTCTGCACCTGGCTTCCTTTCTTCAGGTGGTGATGATGCTTCAGGAAGCTGCAGAAATGTAGGCAGTAAAACCTTTTAGCCCATGTTGGTGACAAACTCACCAGCAGACAGTTAATGAACCAGCCTTTCTTACTTGCAGATGTACCAAACTGTGCCAGCAGAAACCTCTGGATCTGAAAGATGATAATACCGAAAAGCACTGTCCTGTTACAGTGAACCCTTGGCATATGAAGAACGCTTTCAAAGTTATGAATGAATTAAGAAGGTACTACTTCTTGATATACACATAGTCTGATTGCTTGTCTGGTCATTCACTGAGCTTTGCCATTGATGGGATGTACAGGCTAGCATCATGTCCTAAGATGGGGTCTGGAGATTCTCTTCTGCATGCACAACTGTCTTCCCCTCAAAAGCAGCTCCCTAAAGAAAGTTGGTTTTCTTTTAGCGGGGCGGGGGGCGGGTTAAGGTGAGTTGCATCTAGATAAACATTTCCATATGTAGAAGCCTACACTTCTGTATCCATTCATGGTGGTAGTTCTGCACCTTAAATGTGGGTTGCTACAAACTCTATGCAAAACAGGTGGGCTGGTTTCAAGCAGTGGGAACTCTGTGGCCCCAAGCTGTCCTCTCCCCTCCCTTCCATTTCCCCCAAAACCCTAAAGCTAACTGGGTGATTTTGGGCCAGCCCTATGGGGCATAACCTGCCCCACAGGAAAGAAAGTTATGAGAACTGTCTTGGGCCGTGAGATAAATCCCATAATCCCTATTAGGATAGTTGCTGTGACAATAAAGTGTAGACGAAAGATGGGATAGAATGGTAAGAAATGGTTTTGTTTTTGAGCCTAGTTGGTGGTGTTGGTGCAGGGGCACTTCGGGGGCATAGTAACAGCATCACCTGTCACTTTTCTACTCTTTTTGTGTATAGTTCCCACATCCTTTGTTCAAAGTCTTGCGCACCCATGCCTGGAGTGGCACAAGTGTCTCCCCTTTTTTTGGCTCATGGCACCTTGATTTTGTTTGGAAGTAATACAGTTACCGGTAGTTGGTAACTTCTAGCCTGTTTGCATTATGAGACTTCTTCACCCATTATATTCATGGAGAGATTCTCATACAATGACTGGGGCCAGCCCTGGAGTTGGGGATGGCGTTGTCCCCACTGTGGAAACTTTGTGCCAGTGTGGATATCTGCAGGGATGAAGTCTGCTCATGAGCAGGTGCTGCTCTCCAGAGCTAGGGCAGGTGACTTGCCTCTCCTTAGTTGTTGCAAGAGGACGCTGTCACACATATAACATGTAAACCTGCTTTGTAAGTCTCAGGGTTTTGTGAATAAGCTTGATTAGGACCTGCCGTCTTGCGTGGACAAGAGGGTAAACTAGTCTGACATCCACAAATGTGCACAGCTATTCTGTGCACAGACTGCAGTCTATAGTGTGCTGTCTGCTAGGTCTTCTCCCAGCAGAAATAAGGGTCACTGTATTGTGTTCTGCATACATTTCATTCCTCACAACCAGAAATTCCTTGCCCTCATGTTTTTAAACTAAATGTCCTTGAGTTCATTTGCCTCTTTAAAATTCAGTTTGGAGGGACACACTTAATGTTAAACTTCTTCCATTTATAGGCAAATTGAATCTTGGCAAATAGTATGAAACTATCTGTATATTAATAAATTGTTGTTTTGCCTCTCTGAGCTTCACCCATCCTGCAAGTGATTCTGCCATCTGTCTTGCCTCTTCCTGCTTTGAACACACCCCAATAACAAATTTTCCTTCTTTTGAATGGCTTGAATTCAGCTTGTATTTTGCTATGTTATTATGAAAGTGTTGTTACGTTATTGTTTTGCTGTGTTGTTATGAAATTGTTTTTTTGTAGTGTATGTTTAAAATGCGTCCTGCTTCTTTGTTGTAAGCCGCTTTGAGCTTGGGGTGTGTGTGTGTGTGTGTGGAAAAAGTGGCATACAAATAAAATGACTGAATGAGGGATCTAGGGAAAAGGTCCAGGTAGTGAAACCATGTATGGTCCTAATTCAGTGACTAGAACATTGGATCAATATTTTTGAGTTTGAGGTTCATTGTGTGATGTTGGACAGGCAGCTGTCTTTTGCCCTTGGTTCTCCATCTGTAAAATAGGAATACCAATGAAGTTAATAGTTCTTAATAAGATGAAGGTGTGATTAGTGGAGAGCTGCAGATGTGATGCAGTAAAAATAAGCCGAGAGAGGCATGTTAATAGTGGCATCATCATTACCAAGAGGAGCAGTAAGCTTCTGGACTTTGGCTGCACTCTCCTCATTTTATTTTTTAAAATGCAGGGGGGTGGGGACTGATATTGGTGGGGTTTAGCAAACTCCCTGTTCCCAATTGGCAACTTTCATCAACGTGGGTAATGGTTATACTTTTTGAAATGCATCTGGAAATTAAATATATCTTAAAAGCTTATTGGGGAGAGTATATAATATTAGCAGCTTCGTAGCAGGTGCTGTTTGGGAATTCTAAGAAACCAAAAAAATTAATGCAGTTTTTAAATTAGAAGTTAAAACCAGTGCAGTTTTAAAAAGCCTTCCATCGTAATTCAGAATGGCATATGATTGTATCCAAACATAGATTAAAAACGTGCTCCTTGATCTCAGGCACCATCATACAGAATTTGGTTATGATATCTCAAGAGGGGTCTGAATACAGAGCACACAAGCAGCTTTCCAAAACAGACAGTAGATGTTTGCTTTCTTCCAGATTCTGCATTGTTCACCACTCATCCTCTTCTTTTCTCGTTTTCTACATAGTCAAAACTTGTTGTGTGATGTGACAATAGTAGCTGAAGACATGGAAATTGCAGCTCATAGAGTTGTGTTAGCAGCTTGCAGCCCATACTTCCATGCCATGTTTACAGGTACTGTACTACTTTGTTTCTTACTTCTTGAAACTATAGCATAGCTAAATGAGTATACAAGGTCAAAACACAGCAGCGGAAATGGAATTGGGAGGGGTTGGGGGGGTGAGAGAGTGTTGAGACATCAGTTGCAATATTTGAAAATGTCACGCTATTAACAGGCATGGAGGACTTAATGACTTTGCCGTCTTATTGCTGGAGTTCATGTTTTAGTATTCTTTGCATAACTCTAAGTGACAGCTGGACTGTATATCTTGCCGTAAATTATATGCCAGCTGGGGTTTTTCTCCTTTTCTCTCTCTCTCCTTGCACTGCTTATGCTGTGTGTTTAAGGCTGAAATGTTAGTGGGTTTTCAGGACACAAGGATGGTTGCATCTGTCTTTGGGGTTGATGTGCAGATGGCCTTCCAGCTGTTGTGCTCTGAATTCCAAACCAGCATGACCAGTGGCCAGGAATGATGGGAACTGTAGCCCAACCTCATACAGAGGGCCACAGATTCACAGTCTCTTCTTTAGATGACTTCAGTGTCGTTTAGGATAAATATTCAGTCAGTCATCAGGAAAGTATTAGTATTGAAGCTCTGACTAAGCCTCCTTTCCCTTTATACTAAAGTTTCTTACGTTAGGAATTCTTATTTTCAGACCAAGTCAATCACTACCTGCATTATTTTGATTCAGGTGTCTTCTTAAAAGATAGATGAAAGAAAAATATGGAGTTCTCATACAAGTTAGAGATTATTCTGTCAGCTTAAATGCTTTTGTTTGATGTGTGTAATCAAATACTAGGTAGTCCATTGTTATGACCGACTGTGGCTGTGGCTGAACACATTCCCTGATGGCTCTGGTCTCCCCTTACACGCCATTTTTATTTAGAAAATTATGATCCATCTTTGGGTCTTCAGAGGGGCCACCATGGTGGCTTTCAGATGTAATACAAGTAAAAAATGGTATATGCAATGGGATAATTAACAATGGCAGGAGGAGAACAGCAAAAAAAAAACAACCCCTCAGTTTAAAAATTCACCTCTGTCTGTCCCATCTTCCATTGCAATTGGGTTATGTGCTCTGGCTTCACAGGCAGGAGTTTTAGCATCTCTGTTGCCTATGTGTAGAGTCTGGGAGTTTTTTGTTCCACTCAGAAAACATATTCCAAAAGGACCAAACTATTGACTATCCAGCTAGAATTCTAGTTCGGAGACTATTTCCTTCCTATCTCATCTGTCTTGTTTTGTAATTCTATCCCATACTGCAGGGGTAGCCAATGTGGTATACTCCAGATGTTGTTCAACTCCAGTTCCCATTAGCCTATGCCAGCAGGCAGGGCTGATGGGAGCTGGAGTCTAGCAACACCATGTTGGCTACACCTGCCAGGCACAATGGGCTGTATCCAATTAAGTATGATTAATGTTGGGTACAGCCCAATTACATTGGGGCTGTACTACAGGTTACAGTGGGCTTTTTCCTGCTGTTGAGCAGAAGCAGTCAATCATTATCTTTATTGTGGTCACAGACCAGAGCAGAAGCAGTTAAATATACCTTGGACGAACTTCATTGCTATTAGAGGCACTGGCTTTTTCTGGTCTTGGAGTCTTGTTCTGAATCCTCTTCTCTTGCAAATATTTGTGCTGGCACTGCAGATGGTCTTCATGACCAGCCTTTCAGCCTCCACAAGCTGACACCATATTTCCCTATTTTCTGGCTAGAGGTGAAATTGTTTTGAGAGACAGTGAATCAAATGCTGCTGCGAATAATCCTCCTTGTGGGCTGCTAGAATTTTCTAAGGCAGTTTCTACTGGTATCATTTAAATATATTGAAAGCTGATTGTATCAAGCCGTTATTCCAGTTCGTATGAGTGCTCTGGTGCCCTTTCTGTATAGTTGTCATGTGCTGAGTTTTATGAACCCATGAAGTTTTTAGCCCTGAAATTACAAATAGATATAGACATTTTAGACTGGCATCCAAGGTTTTCACAGTTTTGTGCAGATCATAGCAGGAAGCGTAGCTAAACCTGATAGTTGCTCCATAAATTCAAAATATTTTTCCAGCACTTTGTAGTTTTTATTGGGGATGAGGGGGTGTCTTCCAAAAAGAGACACACTGATCTATATAGCTTCGTTCTGGAGAATAAGCTTTTCCTTTCTCTTCTCTTAGAGGAAAGTTTTTGTGCTGAGGAAGCCACCTGGAACTGCAACATGTTGATGCCAATTGCCAGTATCTGATTAAATTAACAGAGCTATACAACCATGTATTATAGGTGAAATGAGCGAGAGTCAGGCAAAGAGAGTTCGAATAAAGGAAGTTGATGGATGGACCCTTAAGATGCTCATTGAATATGTTTACACTGCTGAAATTCAGCTTACAGAGGAAAATGTACAGGTGAGTAGGAGGATACTGTCAACTCATCCTTTAATGGTATGCATAATGACACAAAAAGTAAGGCACTCCCCCACCCCTATGAGGGTGATGACATTTATTTTTAGCATCTTAGTCATAAGAAGGATGTGTGCTTTTTAGTAGCATTTATGTGATCTTATAGCACTTCTTTTTCTTGTTCAAAATAACTGATACAGAACTTGCACTTTAAAGTCACCTGCTGTTTTACAGTCCTCAACAAGCCGTTTAGTAATTGTAGATCAAATATAATGACCAGCCTTGGAAGCAGTTGAGAAAGCAGTGGCTTGAAAGGGTAATGCTAAATACGCGGCATTTGGGTATACATCTTCGCTGATGCATGTCAGAAGCTCTAGTGTAGCAAAAAGGGGCAAAGTTTGAATATGGATGTCAAATATACATATTGGGATCTATCATATTTAAATTGTCATGCATTCATTGCACTCGCCGCTGAAGTGGCCAGCAACCGCTAAATAAATAGCAAATATTTGTTCTGCATTCTGGAGAAGCTCAAAAACACACACAGAGGAACAGGTTTACTAGTTGTCCAGGTTGTTAACTAAATAGGCATAATCAGCCAGCTTTCTAAATGAACTCAGTTGTGGTTGTGGTTATGGTTGTTGTTGTTTTATTGATATATATTGTTATATAACAACAATTACAAAACAAAAACAAAACTCAATTTCCCCCCGCTTCCCCCTTCCAGGACGGATCAGTCTGTTTAATTTGCCAAAGTCCAGTCCATGCCATTCTTCAGGATTATCAGTAAAGCATTTTATTAAAGGATGCCATATTTCAGCAAAATCATCTACATAATTTGTATCATTCAGTGCATGTCATCTCTTTGTTAATTTATCTGATGCAGCAGTCAACTGTACGTTCTGTTTCCAATGAGAAATACACAGATGTTCCAGTCTCTTCCAATTCTGTGCCACTACTGGGCATGCTGCTACTAAAAGAAAATTAATTGGTTCTTTATAACAGAGGCCAGATTGCCCTTCTTTAGAAATGATTAATCCAAACTTGGGGTACATTCCGTATGTTGACCTGTAATACAGCTTTTTTCCTGTAAATACCCTCTGCTGAGGGTCAGGGAACAGGTACGTGTGTGTGTGTGTGTGTGTGTGTGTGTGTGTTATGCAGCCTGCTTTGTGCCTCCTAAGCTAGCCTGCTATCTGACTGCAGTAGAAGATACTGTCCCATCACCAGTCGTGAAATAAGATTCAGCCACCAGTCTGGTCAGCTTCTGTATCTGGAATAGAGAGGGGGTCCATCCCCTTGGGCTGCAAAATGTCTTCGGCCAGCCTGGTTCCTGGCAAAACCTACTGACCTGAAAGCTGATTTCCTTAGTTCAGCAGATAATGATGAGACTTAAAATGTCACAATAGCATTCCCTAATTGTAACAACAATGTACTTAAGACCCTAGTGCAGTCTTAAACAGAATAATATCCCCCATTTGGGTTGGTTCTGCCACATCCTTACTCGCTGCAGAACTTCTATGAGCTATGACTGCTGCAATAGCCATCCCTACAGATGAGGAAAAATGATTGTTCGCTTACCAGAAATCAGATACCCATCTCTTTAGTGATTTGAGGGATTTGGGTTTCACTTTGTGAGCTCTGGTTTCTTACCTTACTAATCTTTCAGGGTACAGTGTTCAGCGTTTACAGTACTCGAGCTCTGCCGAGGTGGTAAATGTCATTGCTTGAACTATTAGGGCAAACTGTGGCATGTAAGAGTAGCAGAGATCTTGGTGCAGCAACATCAACCATTATTTATGGACACTCTTCATTCAGCTTTATATACTGTTTCTGATTCCAGCCTGCATGCTGCAATAATAAGCCGTCCAATGTACTGTTATTACATTTCCTGAGTATCCATCTGGATCACAGTATCTAACACAGTATTAATGATGGCAGCTGGTGTAGTCAACCTTTAACTCAAGCTTGTTTCCAAATCTGCCTAAAGATTCTTCTGCCTGGAAGGCCTCTGTGCATGTTTTTCAGTTAGAGTTGTGATGTGGCGCTTTGAGACCAATGTAGGATCATATAATTGTAGAGTTGGAAGGAATCCCAAGGGTCATCTAGTCCAACTGGCCAGTTGCACTGAGAGGAGAGAAGGTGTAGGTCTCGTTTTTAACCGCAGAAGGGGTGCATGACTTGTCTTCCTGTAGCCCTCAAGTGCTTACAAACCACCTCCTTTTAGCTAAGCTTTGATGCTGGAAGTCTGTTTGGGAAAGGGGAAAGTGCTTGTTAAGAGCTGCAGTGAATAGTGGGTGCAGCGAGAGTCCAGCGCCTCTCACCTGTGCTCCTCTTTTTCTGTTAAATTTGATTGCCACTCCCTATGTGAATAGGGGAGAGCCACATGTAAAGCATGCAGAACTGCCAGCATCATATTAATATGGCCCTGAGTGTTGACACAGCTGTTTTTGCATATATAATATACACATGCGCACACATACATACATACACACATACACACACACGGTCAGCAAGAGAATGACTTCTGTTATATAGCCATCATTTGGTATTCTGTTGCACTTACAAGTTGCTTCTTCATTTTCACATATTTGAAGTGCTTTGGCCCCACAAAATGTCTTTCCGAAGTCATTGGGATTGGTACCTAATGCATTGATTACATGGAGATCCCCCATCGCCAAAGCTCTTTTATAAGCAGTTCCTTTTACTTATATTTGTACTCACAGCCTGTCTTCCACAAAAGAGTAGATAAGTCTCCAAGGGATTTGCAGTCTCTGCAAAGAGTGATGAAAATTGGGGGGGGGGCTATTTCCCCTGAATTAGGAAGGGAGTTAGAGGTAATTAAAACCTTATATTTTATTCATTTATGAAACTCTTCATTCATATCCATCTACAGCTAAAAGTAATTGTTTACTTGATTATGTTAATGGAGATGAAATGTGTGGGTTTCCATGTTTAGGACTGAGCCAGTACAGCAGAGCTGTTTTGACCCACCCAAGATAAGGTGGAAAGCTCCTTACCTGGCATTTCATCCTGACAGGTGTTGGTTGTCTTGTTTTTCATTGTGGACTTTGGAATCAAGCAGTGCCTCTGTTTTTCAGGACGGCTGAGCTCTGGGTAAGCCCTACAGGCAACTCACATTGGGTGTCTCCATGGAATTTAGTAAAATTTTAGTGTAAGGAGGCTACACTGTGTATACTTCAAAGTGTGTTCTGTTAGACACTAGGCTGGACTTTGATGATAGAGAAGAGGTATAGCTGCAATTATGGAAACTAGAATCCTGTGGCTACAAATTGAGGGTCTCTGCAACTGATTCCAGAAGCATTGGATTTGGCAGCCTTTATGGGCATCAATTTATGCTCCTTTGCTTCAGATGTTCATGTATATGCCACATTCCCTTTGTTTGCGACCTTAACAAGCAGGCTGCACTGTGGCTGTTATCCTTCTTGATGGTAGAGAATTATATACAATTCTCTAAAAAACCCCAAACAGCTGCTGTGCATTCCTGCGGTATGCAAATGCTGTGTGTAATGCCCTCCATCTTGTATATAAATGGCGTGTGTAATACCAGTGATCTAATGATCTCGTCCTTTGCAATTTGAGTCCTATTTCCTGTTAGGTATGACTTGCCAGTATCTTTCAACTCATTATCTGGTACAGCATGTAGCATTTCTGACAAACTGTTTGGCCAAATGTTCACTAAACGCAAGAAAATGTCTCAAGCTGTTGCATAGTCAACACTTTCAACGGCAGCAATTAAGGATTTTTAACACCTAATAGCTTGCTGGCTTAAAAAAATTCCTTAATTGTTGGGATGGGTTTGACCGGTTTGACATAGAATTAAACTACTGTGAGTAATATCACACTATTTTGACTGAGACCAGCTTTACCCCCCACCCCCGAAAGTGATCTTCCTCATAAAATTTGTAGCTTCTTTACTAGGCCTAGTCAGGTTCAGTTTAATCGGTAGCTGCTTTGAGGTGTTAGGACTGTTGAACGCTTGTGGTGTTAGGCGTAATGGGAGAGTCTAAATGGGAGGCAGGTTGAGGAGAAGGGAGATCTGATAAGACAGGATCTTCTTTTGAGATCATAGAAGAGTTTTTAGCATGTATTTATGGGTGTGTTTGAACTATAATATAGGTAAAAAAGGTAAAGGACCCGTGGAAGGTTAAATCCAGTCAAGGGCGACTATGGGGTGTGGTGCTCAACTCGCTTTTCAGTTCAAAGGAGCCGGCGTTTGTCCACAGACAGCTTTCTGGGTCATGTGGCCAGCATGACTAAACCACTACTGGCACAATGGGACACTGTGGCGAGTGCCATAGTGCACGGAAATGCCATTTACCTTCCCTCCACAGTGGTACCTATTTATCCACTGGCATGCTTTTGAACTGCTAGGTTGGAAGAAGCTGGGACAGAGCAAAGGGAGCTCATCCCGTCGCGCGGATTCGAACCACTAAACATCTGATTAGCAAACCCAAGAGGCTCAGTGGTTTAGATCACAGCGCCACCTGCTCCCTTTGAATTATAATATACCATTAATTCAGTGTGACTTACAGGTAATAATAATAACTTGCAATACCATTCATTCATTCATTTAATTTCTTCTTATACTTACTGGGGTGGATCTAGATTTGCTCTTAAGTTTGTTCATTTGAGTGGAACTACACACCAACTAACTCAGTTTGGATTCAGTCTGTTGTTGTTGTTGTTTATTAGGGATTTTCTCCCCACTCTTCCGATAAAATTCCAAGCTCATTAAAACATACTGGGTTGCATCCAGTGTTGCACCTTCAGGATTCCAATGGGGCAACAGGACTTCCTTTTCCTCTCTGTTCTTCCCTTCCTTCCCCTCCCCCCATAAATTGCTCTGGAGCTGATTTTGAGGGTGCTCAGGGAGCTGGAGGGACGGAAGAGGAAGTCTGTTGAACATATGGAATTCCCATGCACCAGCAGAGCTGCCACATTGGATGCAGTCTAATGTGTTAAAAGCAGGAAAATCAATAGCAGCAAGAAGCAGCAAGAAGGCTCTTCACGTGGTACCAAAACAAATTTGGAGTAGGTGCTGGGAAGGGAATCCCACAACTGAGGCACCACAATTGAGAAGGACCATTCTCTGGTAAAGAGAGGACATCTGAAGATTTCAGTATTCAGACCGTCAAAGAGCAAATGCAAGGAACGGGCTACGTTTTACAGTCCAGTGAGCTGCATAATCTTTGCCTCTTGCAGGACATCACTCCCAGCAGCCCAATCTTGCTTTCTCAAATGTAACTCCCATTGACTTCACTCTTGAAGTGAATAAATGTGTTTAGGCTTGCAGCCTAAACCTCGACAGCTAAGTCAGTGCCTTGCACTTTGCTATGCAGTTTCTAGTTCTAGATTATTACTTCGTGTTATCCCAAATTCTTGGAGCTGTGGCAGATATTAAGAGTGAGGCTGTGGGAGATTGGGAGGCAGTTGCCAGAGGTACACAGTCATCCTATTCAAGTGTTCAGTCTCCTTATAAGACTGAGGAAACGTGAGGAAAAGCAGGATGTGCTGTCACGTCCCGCACCCCCTCTGGCGTGTCATTGCTACCCAGGTTAGAATCCTTCATGCATTTGAGGGGGAAGATCTGATGTGCGGAGCTGCCTCTTATTCTTGGAGGCTCCCTGTGTGATGATTTAGAAGGTGGCTTCCCACTTCAGACCTTTTCCCTCAAACTTGTGGAGGGCTTTAAACTGTACCCCCGCTTCTCTCATCTTTTCCTTACTTGTGAGGAGATTGAACACCTGAATAGGGCCTGTATATGAAATATAAATGTCTAATAAGTCTGACGTTTCCTCTGCACAAGCTATTTTGAGGTAATATCTACCATGGGAAGTGTAATTTTACAAAATAATTTACAGTAGGGAGACAGCTGTGTGTGTGTGTGTGTCTTGTGAGTGGACTTAAGAAGGCCTGTGTGATTGCCTGTAGAAAGACACAAATCTGTCTTAAAAGCTACTAAAAACACTCTAAGGAATGTTGAATATTGTTTAAAGTATTTTTTAATACTTTTCAGGGCATGCTGCCTTTGCAAGGCATCTTACAAGACACATGAAACACAATTACAAAGCCACACACAGATTCAAAGCAGCAGCAGCTAAAAAAATTCTTTACCAAGTGCGGTATAGCACAATTTTTTTTATTTTTTTTAATAATATTTTTATTGATTTCCACAAAAACAACAAAATCATTACATTAAAGAGAAAAACATAAAATAAAACATTTATAACAACTGTATACACAATCAATATTAAATCCACATTGTGGGATTACCTGAATCCCTCGACTTCCCTCTACTCCTTGCCTTGGTTCCTTTGTATTATCTTCATTCATGCATGTCAATAAAATCTTTATCTCTAATTACCTCCAAATTTAAACATTATCTATCACATTACAAGTGTTTTTTTAAAAATTCTGCTAATGTATTAACTTGCATGGTATAGCACAATTCAGCCAAGCACAGGCTTAAAGAAATGCATCTTTTGAAGATTTTTAAAGGCTATTGGGAATGAAGCTCCAAAAATATGAGGTGAGCTGGGGGAAAGTGCACCTCACATATCCACTTGCCTAACAACTCTCACTGATAGGTCAGGGAGCAGGAGAGCCTGAGGGGCCTGGGGAGGGAGCTGCTGGGTTATATATATATATATATATATATATATATATATATATATATATATAACCCAATATATAATAATATATATTATATATATAATATATATATTATATATATATATATATATATATATATATATATATTACACACACACACATATACATACACATACATAGATATATACATATACATATACATATACATACATATATACATATATATATATATATATATATATATATATATATGATGTTGTTGTTGTTTAGTCGTTTAGTCATTTCCAACTCTTCGTGACCCCATGGACCAGAGCACGCCAGGCACTTCTGTCTTCCACTGCCTCCCTCAGTTTGGTCAAACTCATGCTGGTAGCTTCAAGAACACTATCCAACCATCTCGTCCTCTGTCATCCCCTTCTCCTTGTGCTCTCAATCTTTCCCAACATCAGGGTCTTTTCCAGGGAGTCTTCTCTTCTCATGAGGTGGCCAAAGTATTGGAGCCTCAGCTTCACGATCTGTCCTTCCAGTGAGCACTCAAGGCTGATTTCCTTAAGAATGGATAGGTTTGATCTTCTTGCAGTCCATGGGACTCTCAAGAGTCTCCTCCAGCACCATAATTCAAAAGCGTCTGTCAGGGGTTCAGGGAGAGAGGCACAGGGTAGGCAGGAGATGGAGAGCGATGGGGATGAATTCCAAGCCAGCGAGGAAGAGGATGACAATGACTCAAGAGATTCCATGAGTCTTTCCAGCGAATCAGAGGATTCCCAGAAGGGGCGCCGGTGGTTAAGGCCAGGGAGCCCCAGGGGGGACGTGTCAGGAGCAGGGGGCCAGCGGAGGATCCCAAAGTGGCAGCTGGGCGTCAGGACCAGCCTCCCCACCAGAGTGCAGCGAAGGGGGTGGAGTTTCCAGTGTGTCAGAGGAAGCAGCTCCGGGAGCAGAGAAAGGAGGGGGGTCAGAGCAAGCCGCCCTCCCGGAAGGGGAAGGGAGCAGTGAAGGGAGTAGTGTAACTGTCAAAAGGAAAGTTAGAGGTTTGGCGCGCGCGCCTAGTTCAAATGTAGAGGCGCGCGGAAGTACAGGGAGCCCGGAGGAGGGGCCAGGTCCCAAAGCCCGCAGGAGGGGGGACGAGCAGTCTGGGGATTCAGCGTCAGAGGAATCCAGGAGGGGCGAAACCCCAGCGGGCAGAAGGACCCTGCGGAAAAGGAAGGAGAGAAAGAGGTGGAGCAGCGCAAGCCTCTTAAATTGGTGCAGGGGAGGGACGGATTCAGAGGGGACTTCAGCGGTCTAAGCGTAAGAGACGTAAGGCTGCGCGCCTAGGATGTCAAGCAAACAATGAACTGCAATAAACACCTTTGTATATAAGAAGACATAGGCGTTGGTCTTTTGTGAGCTGAGACTTGAGGCAGCTTTGACAGCGTCATATATATATATTTATATATTTCCCGCCCATCTGACTGGGCAGCTCCCAACAAAATGTTAAAAATACAATAAAGCATCAAATATTAAAAACTTCCCTAAACAAGATCCAAAGGGTACAGTCTTTTAAGAGCTCCCATGTGTATAAATGGCAAATTCTGCCTTGAAAACTACACCTAAGTGGGGTTGGATCCTTTTCTGATTCGTGCGTATGTATTTTTTTTCTGGCACAGTTCACTTTTTATACATATGGTGCCAGAGAACAGCATGTAACATGGAACAGAACTGAGTGTAAATATTTGTTTGGAGGGTGAGTGTGCTGGGCAGCTGGGAACATTTTAGACAAGGTCACACGCTTGGTCTGTAAACAGTGCTTGGACTTCAAGCAGAGCTATAAAAAAAAAGTTGATCGCTTTAAAAAGGCCTTGTTTCAGGAAGCATGTGGCTTGTAAATGATTTTTAGGAACGACTTGCTACATCTGAAATGAATGAGGGCTAATAGCTTTCTTGGGTGAAATGTAAAGTGTTAGCATTAGCTTTGTGCTACAGATGTCGAAATTTATTTTTAGCCCTCTGCACTGCCACCCACCCACCACTACAGCTGTTTATCTTGACTCATGCTTTTCTTGAAAGACAGGCAGTGCAAACGCAAAGGATCTCTGCTTGAGGCATTTTTGCAGTTCTCTGCTGGTTCAGTGAGCCCTTGGGAACCCGGAAGCATCCTCTGTGTAGGGCAGATGAATTAAGTGCAGTAAAGTAAAGTCAGTGGTGTCTGCCCTCTTTAATGTGTTCCAGTTGAAGCTAGCATTCCGTGGCTTCTGTATTTAAAAGTGAATACCGTTTACAACTGCTAACAGCAAATGCAGTGTTTACAAAGAAGCCCATTTTGTGAGCTTACTTAGATTTCATTGAGTCAATCAAATAAAGGCATTGGGAATACAGAATTGGATAGTGCTTTGGAATGAAGCTGATCAATGTCAACCTCTTAAACACTAACCTTTTTTTTTTTTTAATGCCAGCCCTGTTGTGCTAATATGATTAAGTCCTACAGTGAGCAGTAGGAGAAGAATGAATAAACCGTTGAAAATAGAAGGAACGTTGTCCCATCGTAGTTCATGCGACAAAAGGGGCAACTGCATTTCTGCAGTGACCCAATCCTTGGCAACTCATCTGGAGGCCAGATGAGTCGGAATGATAAAAAATGAATAGAAATATCAGCCATAACTGATCTAGAATACAGGGTTTTTAAAACTTTCTAACAGCAAGCATCACAATCAACACTAGTACCATAAATTTAAGGTGGTGACTTTAAAATGCAGACCTCTGTTGGTCATATTCTCTACCATTCTAATGTTTCTCCTAATACGTGTGCCGTAAGTTTTTCTTTTTGTTGTTGTTGGCAATGTGTACATGAATTTGGTTTTGGTTATTGTAGGTACTTCTCCCGGCAGCTAGTTTGTTGCAGTTGCAGGATGTAAAGAAGAGCTGCTGTGATTTTCTGGAAACCCAGCTTCATCCTGTGAACTGTTTAGGCTTTCGCGCTTTTGCTGACATGCATGCATGCACAGATCTTCTGAACAAGGCCAACACTTATGCAGGCAAGTGCAACACCAATTCTAAAAAAACAGACTTGGCTGGATTGTGGTTTTGTTTCTAACGCTGTCTAATGTGGCAGCCTTTTAACATTGCTCGCACAAGAGGGAATTTGAGCTACATTGTTGGGGAATGTGAAAGTCTTAGAACTGACTGCCTTGACTTTTTGCACATGCAAGAAAAAAAAATCACGAAGCAGCTAGGAAACGAGTGGATTTTAAAACCAGAAATTAAAACCACATTAAAATTTTAGGCACCAGTATAAAAAAATGAGTCTATGCAGCCCAAGCCTTCTAGGGCTTTCTAGCCTTATCCAAAAAAATTCTTCCAGATGCTCTGTAGCCAAGCCCCAATGCTATAGGGAACCTTTTTGGCTCCATGAGCCCCTATCTCCTTATCATGATAGGCTTTGCAGGTCAAGTTTGACCTCACAGTCGTTTTGACACAAGGTGCTTTGAAGACCCAAAGTGTTGCCCCCCCTCCTTTTTAGCAACTCTCTTCCTGACAATAGGGGTGTGTGGTAAATGCATAACCTCAACCATCATTCATTAGATGATGTCCCAAGTCATTCTAGCTGATGGGTAGGTGAATGAGGCTTGGGAGGGACATGGCCTTGCAGGGCAATTTGGATACCCTAGCAGAGTAAGATTGGCCCATGGGTGAGAGGGTCGCCACCATAGCCTAAGGTGAGGAGCAGTCTCAGTGGGCTTCTTCCTGTGACCTATATAGCCTGTGTACACTTGCATACAGCAGTATCTTGGGTAAAGGGCTGGAAGCTGGGGTAAGGTCTCTCTTACTGCAACTCTGCTCCTCAGCATTTTACCCAAACAGTTGTTCTAGCATTTGGGGGCAGCAGATCAATGGCAGAGCTGAAGTTTGAGGACGTGAGAGAAGATTCCTTATCTTTAGTCAAGTCAGGTTTTAAGGCAGCGCAAATGAGTAGTTGATCTCTGAACTGCTTGACGGGCTCTGCTACTTGTTTGGATCTGAGGCAATGGCTTGGCTGAACTGCTGATACAAGGTAGCAAGGAGGGAAAGATCTCCTTTTCCTTTAGGGCTCTCCAGCTCTCTGGGTACCCCTCCTTCCTGTAGGTAACCCCCCAAGAAGCCATAGGAAAGCTGTCTGGGTCCTCTGAGCAGCTTAGAACATTCAAACAAGATTGGAGGCATAGCTGAGAATTAGCGGATGTGCTTTGTATACATAAACATCTCAAATTCAATTCCTGGCTGCTGCCAATGATTATAGACCAGGGTTGGAGAACACATGGCTCTCCAGATGTTGCTAGGTTACAGTTGCCACAATCCCTGCTCATTATTGGTAGGGGATGAAGCCCATGTATATCTCAGTGGCCACAGGTGGTTCCCCATCTTGGTCTTTGGGGAAGGCTTCTCCCTTCATCTCAACAGCACACATTTTTCTTTTCCTCCGCTCAGCTGTAAGGCTTATATAATTTATATAATTTCAGAACATATTATTCGAAATAATTCATTTATCTGTTCCTCTTTCGTGACAAAAGGAGATGCCTCAAAGAGTTAACAAGATTTCCTAGGCAACGAATTACATTCTAAACAGACGGCTGATCATAACAGTGCTGCTTCAGATTCCTTATTTTTCCTATTTTTCTCATTTCTGAGAACCTGAGTGTGAGAGAGCATAGATGTTACGAAAGGGGCAACTTGCCAATCACCTAGGCTGAATTGCTGCAGAATCTGTTGAGAACGCAGCTACTGTGTTTGAATAGCACATTAATCAGATTGGGTCCCTTTAAACTGTTGAATGACCGTGTGGCAAGTGGGGCCTTCAACATAAGTTTGGCAGTGCTCCTGTTTAGTATGTCATTCAGCCAGCCAGGACCCCCTTCTAGATTACTCTATTCCCCTTCCATCTGGTTTCCTTCTCAGGGTTCAATGGCAGCAAGGCCAAGGAAAAGGGCCTGTCACCACCACCTACTGGCAATACTGCAATCACATTTCAGTTGCAGCCTTTCGTAGAACCTCTTGCTCTTCACAAACTGTCCAACGCCAAACCCCAGAGAGTCTTACCCTGGAGGGCAGCCCCCATAGGCAGATTTACAGCATCCAAATCATGAAGCCTACAAAAGAGAGGCCCTCTGTCTTCTGTATACCACAAACCACCCCAAAGAACTTGATCAGCCATTTCCTCCACCTCCCAACATTCTGTCTCATTCCTCCCAGCCTTGAACAAGCCACCCTGGAGGTGCACAATGCCCTGTTGTACTAACTTGCCTCTGCCACCCTTTCAACTTAAAAAGCAAAAATCCTCCAATGATGGACAGAAGGAAAATACCTCCCCTAGCCAAAGAGCCCAACTCCTGCTGCGCTGCCTTGGCCATTCAGGGACCAGAGTCCATTTAAACCAACTTTTAATTTATGAGCAAGGCAAAAGTCTTCCTCCCCAAACAGTCAGCATTCTTTGTCCACTGAACATACTCAGTACTCATTGGGCTGTTTCTCCCCTTTGGGTATTTTTAGCAGAACTTCTGTACGTCTGCAAAGCTCAGGGCTCTGCCAAGCCTGCTTCTTCCCCTTTGGTGTGTGCCGTTATGGCTACAGCTCTATCCACCCATTCACCTGAATATCAAATAATATCCCAAATGCTGTAATGGTATTGTGGTGAGTTATTGTATTAGAATGCTTCATATATGTGCATTTACTATATATGAACTATGTGCTTTCCTCATTTTGCCATTGTGTGCCCCAGCAAGTAGTCACTGCAGTGGAAACCACTTGCTTCTATAGAGTCAGTACCTCTTAACTTGCATCGCACGGGTGTGTGCGTGTGCATTGAAAGATATTTTTCCCCTCTCTAAACAGAGCAGCACTTTACTGAAGTTGTACTTTGTGAGGAATTTCTGAACCTCGATGTAGAGCAGGTGTGCAGCTTAATATCCAGTGACAAACTTACAATAGCGTCCGAGGAAAAGGTAAGGTCCCTTTCTCCCAGTTTGAAAGCTGCTTTGAAGAATCTTAAGGTCTAATCAGATACGATGGAACCTTCATTCATGTGCCGCATCTACAACAACCTATCTCACAGGGTTATTGTGAGGGTGAAATGGGGAGGAGAACCATGTACGCCACCTTGAGATCTTTGAAAGATAAAGGTGGTATATAAATTTCAATAATAGCAATAATACATTTTATTGGATAAGAAGTCTTCAGATGATGATAACTGGAAAACACCTGCCCCTGGAAAGACATTTACGTAGGCATTAGGTGAACCTCCCAGGAGTGCAGGAACTACAAAAGCAAGTTGTTATAATAGAAAACGGCGTTTCCTTAACCACAGATGGTAGCTGCACCCAGAGAAGGGTTTCCTAAAATGAGGGTGGGGAGGGGAAAAACCCAAAAACCTAGTGCCTGGGCTGTTTCATATGGAAGCAGACAGGCCTTCAGGTAACAAAGTTCAAAGTTGAGTAGGTAGGGCTTCAAATTATATGCTTATGTGCCAGCACTTTGGAAATGGACCAGTAGCAGGTTTGGGGCCATCTTGAAAGGTTGCCCTATGCGCAATGCATTATAGTTGGCCAACTTCAAGGCTTTCCTTGAAGTACAGCTAAAGCATCCTACCTAAAAATGAGTATTATACAGTGATAGCACAGATATTGGAATACACATAGGCCTACAAAGCAAGATCATATGATACTGAATGTGGGCCGAGATGTAGGTTAAGTAGAGCATGTGCTGAGTTTTGGCATATGGAGAAGCTGTTCTGATTGTTTTGTTTCTGCCACATGCCCATGTCCTGTGTGGGTTTCTTCCCTCGGTGAGGGCTGACACGCTACTGCAGCATCACTGTCCAACTCTCTGAGTCTTGGCAGTGGCGCAGTGCTGTCAGCCCACATCTCGGCCTGCTTTTAGAGCTGCATGACTCTTATCCTTTAATTAAATCCTCAGCAGATCTTTTGGTACCCTAGCTGCAAACTGAACTGAACTTCTATTAAGCATCCTCATAGACTGCAGATATATTTAGCACAGTATGGGAATTTTATAGATAATCCTTCTAACTCAAGTGGTAAGCGCTGACAAGATTTGTAACCGGAGACCGCTAAAAAACAACAACACCAAGTTGTTGGCATCCTTGGGGGAATTCTCTTCTTCCGCACACATGCCCTATGCCCACCCCCCGAACAACTCGCAGGGAGAGCAGAGGATTAATCATTTCACCTGACAAGGAGAAATGCCTGTGCCGATGAAAGGATCAGCTTAGCACGATGCTGAATTCCACTCCGGCGGCTTGTGAAAACACAAACATTTTAATCGAAAAGCTGAACCTCAGTAAGGGCTGGATCCAGACACATCAAAGAAGCGTTTCAGTGAAACGCGTTGTAAACTTTATATGAGAAATCGGGTTGGCAAAAACGGAACTCCAAAGCGCCGTCAGGTGTCACAGTGTTATAATGCATATACAGTGGTACCTCAGGTTACAAACACTTCGGGTTACAGACTCTGCTAACCCGGAAGTAGTACCTTGGGTTAAGAACTTTACCTCAGGATGAGAACAGAAATCGTGCGGCGGCAGCGGGAGGCCCCATTAGTGAAAGCGCACCTCAGGTTAAGAATGGTTTCAGGTTAAGAAGGGACCTCTGGAACGAATTAAGTTCGTAACCAGAGGTACCACTGTACAACGCATACGAAGCTCTTTTTCTTTGCCAATGTAGCTGTGTCCAAGGACTGAGGATCCTCAGTAGCCACAGTATTCCTTTAGGGAGGTGAGAATATACTCCATCCACCTGATGGCTTATGAGAAGCTGAAGGTGATTGGGGAAGAGACGACAGAGGAGAGCAGCCACTTTCAAAAGGAGCAAGATGCTTGGGGTGAGAGAGGGAAGCAGCTTGGGCTTGGTACCCCTTTTTAACCATTTAGAGAGTGAGAAGGCTACTGACATCTTTAAAAGGATAGGACCTGCTGAGGATAACTCACAGAGTATGGGCGGGAGCTGTGGCTCCTTTCCTGTGCTACTGACCCCTGTTGGAAGGGTCTCTGTTTTCCATTCTCAATTACAGCACTCGCAGAGAAGGGCTTCTTAAGAGAGAATAATATGTGAATCTGCCCTGTTGCCCCACCCCCCAAAAAATGTTCAAAACTCATAGTGTGTCCTTTTGTTACTCAAGGTGTTTGAAGCGGTGATCGCATGGGTCAACCACGACAAAGATGTGCGACAAGAGCTCATGGCACGCCTGATGGAACATGTCCGCCTGCCATTGCTCTCCCGAGAGTATTTGGTTCAGGTAAGTAAAAAGTAAGCATTTAATGTGCACGCCCTCTCTCTTATTCTGTACAACCTTAAGCGTACAGACTTAGCCATGAGAACAGAATATTTACCATTAAGGAGACAGAATCGCTTAACTACAGGTAGCACTTCTTGTAAGGTTCTACCAATCTGCTCAATGTTCTGATCTTGGTAGTTACAACCGGGTCTTTTTTTTAATCTTGTTTGTGTCGTGCTTTTTGGCGAGTGTGTAACTTTTGAAAATATTTAATAGTGGAAAGGGTAAGGCTCCGTTAATTTGGAGGAATCACTTCATCAACCTAACTAGCAAAAAAAAAAAACCAACCCAAAAAACCTACACCTAAATTTGAAGTGACCTGCCTTAAATGGTTTATCGCTAAGAATCTGAATCTGCAGCTATACTAGAACAGTTGCGTACTGGTTTATGTTTTCCTTGATATTCTGTCAAAGGGGAATTAATATTTGCTGTTGCCCTAGGAATGTAGGAAACCAGCTTAAATGAAGTCACTTTGGTCCAGCTGGCAGGGCTCTCCAGAGTTTAATAAGGGACAATCCCATCTTTACCTGGAGGTGCCAGGGAGTGAGTTTTGAACCTGCATGACATGCAGAAGGAAGTTGGCAATAGTCACCTCATTTTTCCTTGAGCCCATTTGTTTTCATTTGTTTGAATAAGTTACCTTGATCTTGTTCAGAAAAGTACTGAAATGTCTTTGCATAGGACAGAATTCCAAAGCACACATAACAAGTGATACTCAAATTGCTTTTTTTTTTGTTTTTGCCAGGGTATACAGCTTCTGTGCTTGTCTCTATATTCTGGTTTCTAGCCTGTAGGCATCCACCCTCTTGAAATGCCTTTTCTTCATAGGGTTCCAAAAATTTTGGAAGCACCGTGCTTACATCTCTTATTGAACAGATCCAAAGGGCTTGTATTTTCTTTTTTAAGAGGGCTGGCATAGGGGTAATCTTGAGATGAACATGCCAGCATATTAGTGTGCACCTGTTGTGTAGTAGTACTTGTTAAGACTTTTGTCCACGTTTAATGTGCAGAGAGTCGAAGAGGAACCGCTTGTTAAAAACAGCAGTGCGTGTAAGGATTACCTCATTGAAGCGATGAAGTACCATTTGTTGCCACTTGAGCAAAGGGCTCTGATGAAGACCACACGAACAAGGCTGCGAACACCAGCCTGCCTTCCAAAAGTAAGACCCGTCACTCTTGGCTACCTGGTTCACCATTTAGTATTGTATTGCATTATGGGAAGAGAACGTTCAGCAGAGATGTAACAGATGGATTTAATTATGTGACGGTCTTATTGAAAATATAGTGATTTTGGAGTAATTTAAGACAGTCAAATGGGACACATACACACACACACACACACACACACACACACACCAGTAGGAAGAGGCGCACCACAATCCAGTAAGTGAATTTAGACAATCTATCTAGAATGTCTTTCTTTCATATTTGTTAGTAGGGTTCTGCTTGTTCAAGAATATTGGGGTGCCATGACGTAACTGGCAAGACTGTCATGGTGGTTCAGCAGAGAGACTCTTGTTTTGCCTGTCAAGAGCATCTGCCTTTTTAGTGAGTAGAATGGAGGTATTTGGTTCCATATGTGTCCCATGAATTGTCAAGGTGACCACTTAACAGAAGGAGCAGCGTTATAGATTATAGCAAGACTCTTCTCTCCTCCCCCCCCAAAAAAAACCCTGGTGGCAGCAAAGTTAGACAGTAGGAGTAGGACTATATCTCCTCCTTATTGATCCCTGTGTACTTTGGTGGTGGAACTCTTTCTCCTGACAATCGCCTTGGCAGAAGTAGTCTCCAAAAGAAAAGGGGAATACAGGAAGTTCAAAGATGCTATTCTGATACATGATGGGTATGCGTAAGTGAATAGTTCCTAAGTTTATTGCTCTAGCCAAAGAGCATGACAAACTACTCTGAGACACGGAATAGCAACTTGTAAGAAATGATCAATTTTCCATTGTTGTCTCCATTTATGTGACTAAGCAACAAGGTTATTTACGATGTGTTTCTTCCTTTGAAGCTGATGGTGGTGGTCGGAGGACAAGCACCCAAAGCTATCCGCAGTGTGGAGTGTTACGATTTTAAGGAAGAACGGTGGCACCAAGTTGCTGAGCTGCCTTCTAGAAGATGCAGAGCAGGTAGCTGCTTAAATTGATAGTGTTGCTTACATAGCTAGGTAACTCCATGCCAACAACTTCCTTTTAAGAAGGATGGTTTTTTTATGTGTGCAGTCTTTAAACAAAAGAGCATACATGGTCTGCAGAGACCAATGCCTGAAATGTAGAACCTTCTCTTTCAGGAGTGGTATACATGAGCGGTCTTGTCTTTGCCGTTGGTGGTTTCAATGGCTCCTTGAGGGTTCGTACGGTGGATTCATATGATCCCGTGAAGGACCAATGGACAAGTGTTGCTAGCATGCAAGACAGAAGAAGCACTTTGGGGGCTGCTGTATTAAACGGACTTCTGTATGCCGTGGGAGGATTTGATGGAAGTACAGGTATAGAGCATTTCATTCATATTGTACTTTGCATTCTTACTTTGAGATGACGGTCTTCTAGATCAGACCTCACCAATTTGGCGCTGTTCAGATGTTTGGCAGTACAATTCCCATCAGCCCCAGCAAGTTGTTTTGCACTATTAAAATTGTGCTTATAAAAATGAAAACACAACACGCAATAATTCATCTGAGTGAGACCAGCACTCTCAAGCTCACGGTCATCTCCGTAGCTTATGATAGAAAAGAGTTCATAAGTTCTTAATTCCTGTTAATAGTTCATGGAGAAACGAATGAATAATACCTTCTTTCTTCATAGCTTTGTGTACTGCTTTGTTACAGGTCTATCATCAGTAGAAGCCTATAATATGAAGACTAATGAATGGTTTCATGTAACTCCAATGAACACAAGGAGAAGTAGTGTTGGTGTAGGTGTAGTTGGAGGTAAGGTCTCCTCTTAAGACTAAATTGGTTCTGGTGTCCATGTGACTAATAGCTGTTCACAAGCTTAACTCCTAAATACACCATATGTTCATAGCAAGCACTTTGCAAAGCAGACTAGTCTTTTCAGTCTAACTCCATCTTCAGATGAAGTATTTATTAGACCCAGGAGTGCCCTCTGCTGTGTTCTCTGTGAATTTTTCCTAACCACCTTAGTACAGTATTTTTATCTTTATTTTATTAATTTTTTGCTTTCCTTGTGCCAAGGAGAAAGTGGCAGTGTGCTGCCTGCTATATTAAGAAATAGCTATAGTAGTCAGATTTTATTGGCCAGCTGAGAATTTATTTTTATTTATTTATTTACGGCTATTAGCCCATAAAGTATGTACAAACATAAAAGCACAGAGGCATAAAGACTAATATATTCGGCACCAGAAGGTGAACACCATGATGCAGGGGTGGGTCATTGAGCAGAGCCAGATAACAGCTTGGGGCCCGGAGAGCTCCAAGGGACGGATCCCAGAAAAGGAGAACTGAAGACGAGATCCGACATGCACTCTCTTCAAAACTGTCCGATTAGTTTTTGATGTTGTTGTTTTTGGTGGTTTTTGTGTGTGAGATAACTGCATTCAGGAATCTCGCCACCTGCAGAGTTACAGAAGGATCTGTATCCTGCAAAAGTAGTGCGGCATGTGACTCAGCAGGCCTGCCAACCAAGCGCAGTAGAGCAGGGCCCAGGAATTTAGTCCTGGCTATGCTATGTAGGGGACAGTTGAACATTATATGTGAGAGAGAATCAACAGTTTTCCCGTCACACACGCATAGCGGAGACACCAAACCCTTGGAAAATCTGTGGCTCAGCAGGTTCGATGGAAAGACATTGAACCTTGCACGAATAAATGCATGTCGGTGTGGTACAGATGAAAGAGATGACATGTATGATGGAAGGCCAAGTGGTGAGGTTATTCCGTGATACCTGGGGAGCAGACACCCTCACCCCGGCGAGGTTGTGTTGATTTTCAATGTCTGCTAATCTCTGCTCAATAAGTCTTTTGGCTGAGCGTAAGTTCATCTTTAAGGAGTCCGCTGGGGAAATTCCGATGCTCAGAAGTTTGGCATGGATTTTTCCTACCCACGGATTGACAAAGTCGTCCCGCCAGAGGCACTGACAAGGTAATGGTTGGGAAGCCTGTGCCAGCTGGACAGCCAATAACCAAAGACTCGCTTCCAGATGACCGTCTCCAATGATGCAATCATTAACTCCAGACGTATGGCTGCGTTGCTCACACACATGGGGAGTTTCAGGAGGCGACGGAGAAACTGATTCTGCAATGTCCCCAACGATGTTAAATTGGACCCTGGGGCCCAGAGCGGGGCAGCATAACAGAGGGTGGAAACCACTTTTGCATGGTACACCTTCAATGCAGAAGGGATGTGGGAGGCTCCGTCGGCCGCAAAAAATTGGAGTAGAGTATAAAGTATTGTTTTCCCTTTGTTTAGTAAATACTGTATCTGTGGCTTCCAGCTTAGGTTGTAGTGAAAAAGACTCCCAGGTATTTAAATTTGAAAACTTGTTCTAATTGGACTCCATCTAACTTCCAGCTGTAAGTTTTCCGAGACCTGGTAAAGACCAGGACTTTAGATTTCCCATGATTAATTGTCAGATGGTTGAGTTTGCAATAAGCCGCAAAAATCTTTAGAGCTCTGCATAAACCGACTCTAGAGTAGGAAAGGATCGCTGCATCGTCGGCATATAAGAGCAGAGGGCAGCGAAAATCAGCTAGGCGGGGGCATGAATGTTGGCTTGAGACTCATTCAGAAAGAGCTTCATATCGCTAATAAACAAGTTGAAGAGGAGTGGGGCCAAAATGCAACCTTGGCGCACACCTCTATTTATTGGGACCTCGTTGGATAGGTTTCCCGCCGGTGTGAGTCTCACTCTAGCCGACGACCCATGGTGTAATTGGGTTATAAGCCATAACAGCCTTCTATCTATGCCCCATCTCTCTAATTTCTTCCATAGACAGTTTCTTGGGATACTGTCGAAGGCGGCCTTTAGGTCTATGAAAGCGACACATAGGCGCCCCCGACTCGGGGCAGAATATTTTCTGGCAAGATGATACATGATTACCATATGGTCAGTGGTCGAATAATTGTTCCTAAAGCCCGCTTGCTCGTGGCCAATCAAATTTGAGTCGTTTGCCCAATTGGACAGCTTGGACAGCAAAAATTTTGCATAGATTTTCCCGATGATAGACAAAAGGCTGATGTTCCGATAGTTCTCCGGGTCAGCAGGGGGACCCTTTTTATGGACTGGCACGATCACGGCCTCCTTCCATGACCTAGGGATAAGCCCCGTAGAATTAATTGCATCAAAGACTTTGGCCAGGATTTCAGCCCACCACCTTGGTTGCGCAACAATAGCCTCAGCAGGGACTAGATCCAGCTTTGCCCGTTTTCAGATCTAATATCAAGTCCATTATCAGGTCTGGGTCGGTAGAGGGCCACAAAGGTAGATGGTCGGCTCGGAATTCAGTGGATGAGTTGGATTCCTCTGCCAAGGAGAAATATTTGCTCAAGAATTGTTCCCATGTGGGCGCAGGGATAATCGTCAGTGGGTACTTCCTTCCTCTTTTGTTTATCAAAGCCCAAAATTCCTGTGGTCTGCGGGATCTAGAGGCCGCAATCAAGGCTCGCCAACGCTTTAGATACCACTCACGTTTGGCCAGCTTTAAAGTCTGTTTGTATGCTCTTTTGGCTTGTAAATAGGAGGATGGTAGAGCCTGGGCATTAGAGTTTTTGTATTCATTATAGATGGAACGAAGAAGGGATCTTGCTTGTTTGCAAGAGGTATTAAACCAAGGGGTCCCAGCACTGCAATGCGCTACTTTCGCCTTTTGAGGAGGTAATGTAAAAAAGTGGTAAGGTTTGTTGTAAGAAGGTTAAAAATTTCAAAACCGAATTGGAATCTTGTAAATCAGTAGCTATTTGAGGTAGATAGGCAGTGATTTCCCTATGGAAAAATCCTGGTATTTTTGGGCCACAGCCTCCGACCATTTGATCCCACTTATTTTGGTCGCTGATGAGGTTTCCAGAGGGACTGAGTGTTTATAGTCCTTCTGGTACCGGAACAATGACAAAGTGGTCACTATTGGGAGGTGATCACTGAAATGTTGGTTTTCAACTTGGAAGGAAAGTACATTGACGGCCAAATTTGCGGAGATCAAGAGGTAATCGATAACACTGTTAGATACTGGTCCCAGGTGAGTGAACTCCCCCGGTATATCGGGGGGGAAGGTGCCGTTCAAGAATACTAGATTCAGGCGAATGGCCATTTGGTAAAGGGTCACTCCAGCTTTGTTTACTCTGTTGTCCTTTGAAGTTCTAATTCTAGCATGTTCCAAGTCAAAGTTGCCCAAACATGGGGGAGTCCACCATTTGGACTTGATTAGTAGGTCCCAATTTGTGGCAATTCGAGCATTAAAGTCTCCCCCAATTAAGGAGTACGAGTTAGGGCATTTGGTGTGACATGACAATAGGTGATTTTCAAATGATTCCCATCTCCAATCAAGATCAGGTGCTGAGCCTTCGGGGGGGAGATAACCATTAGTAATTAGTAATGAGGACTTCCCTTTTGCGATCAGTCCAGAAAGAGCAAAAGGCGGGGAAGCCCGTACCAGGGTGAATTTGGCGCGAAGTTGGAGTGAAATCCCAATCAAAAGACCCCCTTTGGGGCGACCACCTTTCAAGGAAGGGGAGGCCGGAAGTGTTAGAAGATCAAAGCCGTCTATGGTAATCTCTTCCTCATCCCATGTTTCTTGGAATAGGATGATGTTAAATGAATTTATGTACTTCCTGAATTCGGGGTCTGATTTTTGGTTCTCCAACCAGCAATGTTCCAGCTAAGTATTGATAATGTCGGGTCCTTGTGCTGTCCCGGTAATTGTCACTTTGAGTTGTTTAATGGGTTCTTGGAGGTAGAGCGAGGACCCATAAGGAAATCAGTAATTTTAGTTTGTGCGGATAAAGTCTTCTTCTGTGTTGATTGAATCCGTGATTTGGTAACATTAACAGGCAGGAAGGGCTTTGCCGGGGAGGAAGAATTAGGCAAAATTGGTGAGGTCGGATGAGCCAGCTGAGAAGCTGAATAGTCCTTTTTAAAAAAATGACTGCTCATGTTTTAAAATAAAAATAAAAATCTTGAATTAAATGAATATGATTGAAAGAGAAATGTCTAAATAAATATTTAAAGAGAAAGTATTTGTTTCTTCTGAAATGTATGAATGATTTAAACTGAACCACAACCTATCTGAAGTAGACAGCTCAGATAAGGCTGCCTTGCTTTCGTTCAGCTTCTTCAAAGTGTGAGTCCATCAAACCTCACAAAAAAGGACTCGAGTGGAACCTGACAAGTTCTCTTCAAAATAGACCCTTGTTGAGAAAAGCCCATTTAGCACAAAGCATCAAATGCAAACGTCCACGCTAAATGGTTTTGCATTGTTTCAGTTACACAGAGCACAAACCTTAACTATTTTATGTGGAAGCTTTCTCATTCAGATCAGTCACCCATTTTAACACAAAGGCTTCTAGGTTTAATCCTCTATGAAATGCACATCATACAAATCTAATGCAGCCTTCTCCAACCTTGTGCCCACCAGATATTTTTGGGCTCTTTACTTCTATCACCGAGCATGATCAGTGGTCAGGAAAGACAAGAGTTGTGGTCCAAAGCACTTGGGCAACACCAGGTTCGGGAAGGTTGACCTATCATCTACTGGTGTACCTGTATATGCAGAATTTGTTAATCCTCTTTCCAGGTATGCTGTATGCCGTCGGTGGCTATGATGGTGCATCACGTCAGTGCCTTAGTACAGTGGAGTGTTATAACTACAGTTCAAATGAATGGAGCTATGTTGCAGAGATGGGCACTAGACGTAGCGGAGCAGGTGAGTAAACAAACTTAAATGAGAACGCTATGTGTCAAATGGAAAAAAATGCAAGGAATCCCAAAGTTTTTTGGGTTTTTTTTTTAAATAGTCATGGCAGGTACACATATCTTCAAAATCCAAATAGCTGCCTTACTGTTGCTTGAACTTGTTCCTGCACCTCCCCCACACTTATTGCTATGTATGGGACATAATTCCTGAACCAGGAAATAATTGCATTTATTGGAATATGAGATGTCTCTCTGATCAGATTTTAGCTTGAATTGCAGGATTGAAGAGGGTCATCTCACCATTCATGCTTTACCATTCTCAAGGTGGGGTGACGGGTAGGTGTACATTCCAAAGATCAATTGCTATCAGTTTCTTTGGAAGGAACTGACATTGTGAGTTGCAATCAGGAAGTGTTCTCAAGATAATCTTTCTTTGTAGCTAATTTTTAAATTGCTGGTTTAACGCCCCCATTTATTTGTTTTTCAGAGGTTTTTGGTATGATCTAACAGCTACTCACTGAAAAATCTGGCTTTGGTTGTTTTGTTTTTTGTTTTTTGAATCCCTATTTAAGTATTTATGTTGGAAGCTCCCAGCAGCAAACTCTTAAATGCCAGTGGCTTTGAAAAAGCAATTTCTGGTTCAGCATGACTTGAGAAAACATAATTTTGTTTGCATACGTCTGGATTACACCCATTCAGTACTTGGTGTCCAGTTCAATTTGCACCACTGGGCACTGTGGTGGAGTAGATAAGGGCCGGTATGCTGAGCTTGAATCCTTGGAAGATGGGTTGGTATTTCCTGTGTTCTGAAGATTGACCAGTTCTGTGTGGGGTTGCACTCCCTCTGAAAGAATAGGTTCAGAGCTTGGGGGGTGGAGTGCTCCCAGATCCATCTTTGTTGCTGGAAGCAACAAAGCCTCAGTGGCTAGGAGTGTCTTTTGCCAGCTACAGTTAGTCCTCCAACTATGGCCGTTCTTGGACCTGGATAATAATGGCAATGATGATGATGATGATTGGTTAAATTTGTATTGAGATTCATGTACTGATACCTTCAAAACTCAATTATTGCAATGCACTCATCCCTTGAGCAGAGGCTGCAGCTGATGCAGAATGCTGTGGCTAGACAGTCAATAGGGTTGGACTATCGGCAGCACATAAACCCGGTGTTCAAGCTTGCATTGGCCGCCTATATGCTACTGGACCAGGTTCAGGGTTCTTGTATTAATTTATAAGGCCCTTAACAACGTGGATCCAGGTACATAATGGGCCACCTGATCCATTATATCCCTGCTCAGTCACTGAGGTCTTCAAGGGAGTCACTGTTAATGGTCCCCCATGGCTTGGATGCACGACTCTTATTACCAAGGAGCCATGCATTCAGTATAGTGGGCCCAGTTTTATTGAACTCTTTTCCAGATCAGACAGGAACCCCACTCCCTGTTAAGCTTTCAGTGCCTACTGAAGACATTGTTTTATTCCTGCAGACTTTTAAGCTGAATTCTGGTTTTATAGTTTTGACTCACTTTTAGTCTTACTGCTTTGTGTTTCCTGTATGCCACTGAGAGATTGCTGCAACTAAGTGATATACAAATTGAAAAGGGGGGAAATGGGGTGGGAAGGAGAAAGTAATGATTGGAGGAGCTGCTTCTCCTCCTCTGGCAGATGGATGGGGCTAGATTGCTCTCCCATGATGCTCTTTCCGAGAGGTAGAGAGTGCTTCTCCCAGGGGCCATTGGTTTCCTGACTGGTGGCGAAGGAAGGCAAGGATGTGCCTCACTTCAACTCTGCAGTTTGTTTGCTAGTATAGTGCTTACGCTGCCCTTTTATTCTTGCATGTTATGTTTTTTATAGCTTATAGCTTATAGAATCTGTTGCAGGACCCCACAGTATTTCCTTCCTGTGAGCTGCATCAAGGTTTGCAAGACCAAGAACTAGCATAGCATATTGGCTAAAGGTGCAATCCTATGCACACTTGTCTAGGTGTAATTTAGCATAGGATTGCACTGGACAAAGGATTGCACTGTAAGAGAGTCAGCTGTGGACCAGTATTTCATTAGTTTAAAGTTTGCCCCTTTGATGAACTCAATAGAACCTTCAACAAAGCCACACACAGCTCCAGCAAACCATGTAATATTGGGATAAACAAACTGACCTAAAGGTGGCTGTAAGAGTTGCTGGGGAAAAGTGTGAAGACATTTTTCAAAACTCTCAAGCTCTAGGTACATACAAAGTGTGTGTTCGTGTTCTGTGAATGTGTTGGTGCCTGTGAACGTATAATATAATACAGTATTTATGTGACTTTCATTGCATCTGAATTTTTTTGATTCCCACCTCCCACCCCTTGGTACTTTGTTGGTACTTGCTAAAACCCCAGAAGTGGGGATTTATGCTTTTTCTTAATGTTAACTCGTTTTGCTTTTCCCCCCTCCTTTCAGGTGTTGGTGTCTTAAACAACTTATTGTATGCAGTAGGTGGCCATGATGGTCCTTTAGTCAGAAAAAGTGTTGAGGTGTATGATCCCACCATCAATACATGGAAACAGGTTGCAGATATGAACATGTGTAGGAGAAATGCAGGTAAATATTACAGCCTTCAAAGAACTTTTAATATAGCATTGAAAATAGAAATGACACTCGCTTGGGCTTTAATTGCTTCCACATCTGCCCCCTAGGTTATTTATCTAATGAGGACCTTGCTTTGAGTAATGAGAAATCTAACATAATTCAGTATATGACACTAACACAGCCACTTTCACCATAGAACTAAATAACAACAGACAAAAATTATGGCAGTTTTGAATTTTGATAAACCACTAGCCTCAAATGCTACATTGGGGGAATACATGGTTGTCCATCATATCAAATAAATAATTGTGCACTTAGCTTGTCACTTAGAAAGGCCTTAATGCTTCTTTTTTACAACCTCCTGGCACCAAATGTGGCCTGGTGAGCTAAGAAACCAGGCGCTGACACTATTTTTCTGCTTTGTATTAGGGGTTTGTGCTGTCAATGGGCTTTTATATGTAGTTGGAGGAGACGATGGTTCCTGTAACTTGGCAACAGTGGAATATTATAACCCTACAACAGATAAGTGGACGGTGGTATCGTCATGTATGAGTACAGGAAGAAGCTATGCAGGTAATAAAGAATAAGTTAAAAAGGAGGAGTCTTCTCCCTTTTTCTGGAGGTTAATGAAGGGGCAGGTGGACTGCATTATGCTCCCTCTGTGAGCGTGTATTATGTGAATGGGTCTAGAAGCTCTTGGAGGATGGATGGGATATAAATGGAGTTAAACACAGATAGCATCTGTATGCGGTGAAAACCAAGCTCTCATCTTTATATTTGCTCATTTAAAATATGTATATGCAGGGGCGAACGAAGGCGTTGTGACACCCGGGGCGGGGCATCGCTACGTAGGGCGCATGTGCAGTGTCGCTACATATAATGCATGTGCCATACGTAGCAACGCCGCATGTGCACTGTACATAGCGGTTTGCCGGTGCTCCAGCGCTATACGGACAGTGCCGGGATCCCCTGCTCGCAGCTGCAGCCTCGAACGGAGGATCCTTTACATGCAGCTGTAGTGGCGATGGAGGGATCCCACCGCCATCTGTAAGGCGCTTGAGTGGCGCCGGCGGAAACCGCTATGTACAGTGCATGTGTGGGGTCATTGCGTAAAGCGCATGCGTGCGACACTGCACACACGCTGTACATAGCAGTTTGCCACTGGCGCCGGGATCCTCTACTCATGGCTCCAGCTGCGAATGGAGGATCCTCCACATGCGGCTACAGCGGGTTGCCTTCTTGTCACCCCCCCAGACATGGCACCTGGGGTGCACCGCACCACCCCCCACACCCCCATTGCGACGCCACTGTGTATATGTCACCTTTTTAAGAGTCAAAGCTTTCTGAGGGCGGCGTCCATAAAAAACAACATGTAAGACAATTTCATCACAGATAAAATGTGAATAAACCAGAAATAATGAAACAAAATCCATACAAAGAGCATTAGTTATAGATGCTTTTGAACACCTATAGAAATCCACTGGGAGATGTATTAAGGCGATGTTGAGTTAGTTGGCAACCAGATCTATCTCTCTGTTGCCTCTGACTCAGGATAAGCAGTTCAGGTGCTTGTCAGTTGTATGGAGATGGTAGTAGTCTGGATGGGGAGTACTAAACTGAAACTTAATCCAGGCAAAATTCAGGTGCTGCAGGTTCTCAAGTGTAGAATATAGGGAGATAGTCAGTTCTGAAAGGTGTTGCATTCCCCTGGAAGGAAAATGTGCATTTGGGGGGGCAGGACTCCTTGATCCATCACTGTCACTTGAGACACAGTTCGCTTCAATGGCTAGGAATACCTATTTCCAGTTCTGGCTGGTTCGCCAGCTACAGTCCCACTTGGAAGGGGATTCTTTGGCCAAAGCAATGTATGCTTTGATAACTTCCGGGTTAGACTAGCAATATGTTCTTTGTGGGGCTGCCCTTGAAGACTGTTTAGATGATGCAGTTAATGTAGAATGCAGCAGCAAGGCTACTGTTGAGTGTCTAGCCTGACATGTATTATGCTGGCTTTGAAAGATCTGCACTGGTTTCCAATTTGCTAAAGGCTTAAATGACCTGGGCTACCTGAAGGAGCACTTCCTACCACATCAGCTTGCCTAAGTGTTGCGATCAGTGTGGGAAGTCATTTTGGCAGTGCAGGCAAAATATGGTTTGAGGGGCGGGGAGACAGGGGAGACTTTCTCTGTGGTGGCTTCCAGGTTGTCGAATGACTTCCTCTCTGAGTTAGTTCACACACCTCTTCACCCAGGTCTTTAGTTGACTAGATGCAAGGCTTTGTTTCAGCTGGAACTCACCGGAACTCAAGTCCAGCACCTCTCAGGTGGGCGCTATTGCCATTCTAAGAGAAGGAGGGAGGTGGTCATGGTGAGTTCCGGCACCTATTTTTCTAGAAAATCACACCGAGTAGATGTCTTCCCTTCTACTTTGCTATGATCTGATGTTCTGTGCTGTTGTTGTTTTTTGGTTGTTGTTGGGGGGTTTTTTTTGGCAACTTTGCCATTGGTGGTTTTCTGATGCTATTTTACAGTTTTAATGTAAATTGTACTCTTTATTTGGTGAATGAAGCTCAATAAATACAGATAGCAAATAAGCAGACATCCAGCCTAGAACTAAAACATAATTATAGCCCAAGACCCACTACAGCAAAAAGCACAGCAAATAAAGCCCCCTTCAGGGAAAACATTTTCGTTTCACGGGGAAATATGTATGTGAAGCAGAACTCCATAACTCCACTCTAGGATCAGTCCTGCTTTCTAGCCACAGAATCCGGTCACATCTTTATTTTTACACAGCTGTTTTAACACGATAAAGTGAATTACGTAGTTTTAGAACAACCATATAGGAATGTTTCTCTGAATAAGAGTTCAAGTCCTGCTTTCTCTCTCTTTCTGTAGGTGTTACAGTTATTGACAAGCCATTGTGAGTTGGTGCAAAGATTTATCCCTACCTTGATTATACAGTAGAAGCAAGCTTTAACAAGTGATGTCGAAGTGATTGAGCATCAAGTCACTTCTTAACTTGTAGCACATTGAGACATGTTGGAAGCTGTGGCCTGCGACAATTAAGGATGAAAATGAAGATTATTCCAGTTTGAAGCAATGTGTAGCATTATTTGATGTAAAGCAGCATCTGACTGAGATGTAGCTGGCTGTGTTGACTACAATTTGGATTTGCTGGGTTTCTGGACAAAATTCCTTAAGGACCAATCATGTGTCTCATGGTTGACTGGATTTTTTTTTTTAAGTAAAAGATAGTGTTTCCTGGTGTCTTTTTTCCAAAGAAAAAAAATATCCATTAACTGCTGGTTTTTGGAGGAATATTGAATCCCAGCTTAGTACTACAAGCTGGCACAAGAATCTGGATGCTTTTATAAATCATCTTTGGTTACATTACTATTGTGTGCATATTTAAGTGTGTGTGTAAGTAGACTTTCTTTATACTTGTTTGGAACTTAATGATACTATTTATACTCTGCACGGAACTTTGAAGTTTGCCAGTACTATGTTGTAAAACAGAGGTGTATATTTTGATATTTACCAATGCTTTAACAAATGCCACAGAAAACATACAATACAATGCTCATGAAACAAGTGTAATGCCAAAATGTTTTAAACTAATGTATTGGTGATCTCTGTTTACCAAGTTCTCTTTTGTTATGTTTTGATCTATCTCTCTTAACTCTGTCATAAGGGTTAATACTTGGCATGGGCATAATGGCAGGTTTATAATGAATGTATGGAGCTCTGTTTTACTTGCATGGCATTTAAAACTTTTCCTGTGTAACTAGCTGCTATTAATTATGTACTTCCTGTATGTGAAAATGTTTGTAAACAAACAATTCCTGGATGCTTTAAATATGACCAAAACTATTGTCATTTTGACTTCTTTTCTTTTAATAAAACTTTGCATATTTGTTTTTCCTAAAGTTTGGGACTTCTATTTAATGTAAAAGTGATGAAATAATGTCCCTCTTCAACAAGACAGGTATTTTTTGTTTCATAACTGTCTGGGAAGACAGACTGGATGAACTGAGTATGTTTTGCTTGGAGCAAAAGAACCATGCTGACCATTCTTCAGGATGAGAACAGAAATCGCACGGTGGCGGCGTGGCGGCAGCAGGAGGCCCCATTAGCTAAAGTGGTACCTCAGGTTAAGAACAGTTTCAGGTTAATGTCAGGGAAGAGTTAGAGTTAGAAGTTTCCAGTTTCCCAGAGGGAGAAAGCTTTCCCCAAGGGGGGGAGGAGAGCAGTGAATCAAATAGAAGAGAGCAACAGGAACAACAGGGATGTTCCCAGGAAAGGCAAGGGTTCAGTTCTAGCTCAGATTCGGAGGAGGGGAGATACAAGCCAGCTCTAGCCAGGAGGTTAGAAAAAAGAGCGGGAAAACGAAAGGAAGGGCGCGTTCGACATTTTGAGAGTGGCTGGTCACGGAGAAGCAGAGCTCAGAAGGTATCTGAAAGAAGTGACTCTGAGGAAGAATAGTTAAGAACCGTTTATAAGATTGTTTTGTTGATACACAATAAAAGTTATAAAAGAACAAGAAGCGTTTGTGTGGTGATCTGAAGAGGACAACGACCAGTCCTGACAGTTAAGAACAGCTCTCCAGAATGAATTAAGTTCTTAACCCAAGGTACCACTGTATTTTGAACATTAGGAACTTCTGACTAAGAGCAAGGGAGTGCTACAACAAGCTGTCTAGGAATGTTGTGTATATATCGGGGGGAAAGGATAAAATTGGTATTTGATTAAGATGTTTTTATATAAGATGGTAGGGAAGAATGTTGAAGCAGTATGGTAGATTTTTGTACATTCCAATGTTTATTACTTGATCAGACCCAAAGGTGTCTAGCCCTTACTGCACTCTTTCCTACAATGGTCAGCCACATGCATATGGGGACCTCACAAACAGGAAAGGGTATAAATAGGGAGACGAAATGCAAAATATAACAGGACTCCTAGACCTTTAAGTTGTGTAGAAATGGACATGTCAGTATGTGTAGCTTGCTATGAGAGCTGCTCCATCTGAAATCTTGGCCATGTGAAACAGCTGCACATGAAGATTCTGGGTTGCTACCATTCCTGATGACTAGTGATAACCACATTCCACACCAGACAAAATTTTTTTTGGAAGAAATGTTGTGTTAAAAGGAAAAGTGCTCACTACTTGATATACTAGTTATTGCAGTCTGTAACTTAAGCATATGTTATATGAAATAATGGCTCCTCTTTAGCCTGATTCTTAGAGGGAGGTAAACTGTGTCTGGGCTGTACCACTTACAAGCTCATGTTTGAATGTTTCTCCTTATCCACGTGCAGGCCCACCCTTCAGAGAAAACTAGATGTCAGAGAAAAGGCTAGTCCCTTAAGAGCACTCCAAATGAGTGTGTTCTTTCCTTTTAAAATCAAGAAGCATTCTGTCACTGTCAAACTGGTTTCTCAAGTGAAATACCTCTGAGCTGTTTACCACATCACTGAACTGCATTATGAGGATGGGATGGTGTTAACTCTTCAATGACAACACGCTTGGGACACGTTTCTGGCAGGGAGGCTTAAAAGTAGCAGTGGTCTGTCTAGTTTATGTCAATGACTGCAAAATGTGGCTGCCAGAGTTTTGACTTATACAATCAATATGATTCATAGTACAGTGGTACCTCTGGTTAAGTACTTACCGGTAATTTGTTCCGGAAGTTCATTCTTAACCTGAAGCACCACTTTAGCTAATGGGGCCTCCTGCTGCTGCTGCAACGCCGCATGATTTCTGTTCTCATCCTGAAGCAAAGTTCTTAACCCGAGGTAATATTTCTAGGTTAGCGGAGTCTGTAACCTGAAGCGTATGTAACCCGAGGTACCACTCTACATCAACCTTTAGACAACTGCATTGGCCATCTATTCATTTCCCAGCCTAAATCAAGGCTGCACCTTTATAGCCTTAAATGGCTGTGCATCTTTACACACTTAAATACCGTATTTTTCGCCCTATAGGACGCACTTTTTCCCCTCCAAAAATGAAGGGGAAATGTGTGTGCGTCCTATGGGGCGACTGCAGGCTTTCGCTGAAGCCTGGAGAGCGAGAGGGGTCGGTGCGCACCGACCCTCTCGCTCTCCAGGCTCGCGGACCTCTCCGCAAGCAGCGGGAGCGCTCCCGCTGCTTGTGGAGAGTTGCCTGCATGCCGAAGCCTGCGCGCGCTGAGATCAGCGCGTCCAGGCTTCGCGGACCTCTCCGCAAGCAGCGGGAGCCAGCGCTGGGCTCGCACGGCTTGCAGAGAGCTGCCTGTTTGGGGGCAGGGGTCGGGGGAAGCTCGGGCCTCCCCCGCCCCAGCCCCGTGCCTGGGGGGGAAATAATTTTTTCCCCTTTATTTCCCCCCCAAAAAACTAGGTGCGCCTTATGGGACGGTGCGTCCTATAGGACGAAAAATACGGTAGCCTGCAACTCAAATATCTAAAACACTGCACCTTCTCTGAGAGCTTGTGACTCAAATACATGAAATACTGAACCTATCTATGTTCCAAGATCAGCAGAGGGAATCTTTTTATGTTATCTGTTAGAGACTAATTAAGTGGTGGTGCAAACTTCCCCAGCATGGCATCCTTGTTTGTGGAGTGCTTTCTCCCTACAACTATAAAAGGGACAAACACTTCGTGAGAGAGGAGACTTTCTTTACTGACTTTTGTGGGTTTTAATGAGTGTTTTACCCGTCTGTTTTTAGTTCTCAGCCTGACAGTGTGTTTTATAAATTGATTTTTAAGATTGCAATTTGTTACATCACACCCAACCCTGGCAATAATGAAGGGCAGGCTGTAACTTTTAATAAATATATAAATGCCAGTTGCTGGCCTCACTGATTGCATGTGGAAGATAGCAGTAGATTCCTGGCATAAAGCAGAGAATAAGGTAACCAAACTTGTGTTTGTTGTTGAACAAGAACAGCTGCAATCTGAAGCACTTGCCAGTACTTAGGACCAAGCCCCAAGAGGCAAGGCCAGATTTAGGTTTGATGATAGGGCCCTTTATATGTGAATACTTTAGGGAGCAGGCTAGCAGGCGAAGCCCATTACTTACATCATAGGAGCCTACACAACACAAAACACTCTTGCTGGTTTAATTTTATTTGTTTTATATATTTTGGAAATGTACATCCAGGTTTTTTTTCCTTTAATTTTTTTGGGGGGACCAAAAGTGAGGCCTTAAGCTGTAGCTTGTTTAGCTTGTACATAAATCTGGCACTGCCAAGAGGAACCAAACCACCTATGGGATTCGGGATTTTCTCATTTATTTATCATTTATAATTGCCCCCTACCATAAGGTCCCAGGCTGGGTTACAGCAATGAAATGGGCAGTTAAAAAAAAAGGGAACGTGAAAGCGATTCCGCATGTACCATTAAAAAAATAATCTGAATTTTTCTCCAGCAAAAGGAAGGGGGAGTTGTATGAACCGAAAACAATACCAAACATTACTTTTGGGTTTATTTTGGAGTGCGAGGCAGGGGAGCTAAGCTACATCTTATGCCCAGCTTTCCTTGGAAGTAAACCCCGTGAGCAGAGGCTGCGATCCTTCGATATTAGGAGAAGCAGGTGAGCGTGCAGCCGCCGTGCAGTTTGCATGGCTCCCTTCCGCCCCGCGTCCCCTCCATCCACCCATCTCGCTCCTCTCCCTTCTCTTCGTCAGTGAACTGGCGCCTCGTCCCATTGGCCGGCCAATCTCACTCCGTCCTCCACCCAATGGCGGCCCGCCGAGACGTGCTCGGCGCACGCCTGAAAGGTCCCGACCTCTCGCGCGGCACCAATCGCGGCGGCGGGGCGGCCTTTCCTTCCGCGGCCCAGGAAGGAGGCGTATTTGAGGACCCGGCGCAGAGGGAGTCTGGCTCTCGTCGCGGAGCGTCGGTGGGCAGAGCTGCTGCATCCCTCGGCGCAGGTAAGAGGATGGAGAGCCGAGGCGCCTTGGGGGGCGGGTTGTTTTAGGGGGTTCTCCTTTCATTGGTTGCATTTGGAGACCCCCCACCCGAAAAAGGCGACAAACGCAACATTTTGTTTATGGGCACCAAAATATTCATTTCTTGGCCGCTCAGGCCTGTTATTTTGTGACTTTCCGTTTTATTTCTCTCCCCCCTCACCGACTTCTCTCTCAGAGACAAAAGCTGAAGTTAAGGGTTCGGGAGATGCGTTTTTATTTTTTATTAGTTGTTTTTATTAGTTGTTGTTATTAGTTGCGAGTTATAGGAGAAGGCATTTCTTTCTCCTGGTACCTGTTTTCGATTTTCGCTGTTTTGGTTCGCCTAGTGCTGCTTGCCTGGTAGAACAAGAAAGCAAACCAGGGCTTGAAATTCTAAAGTTTATATTATTAGTTTGTTGTGGTTGATGAGCTTGGCCAGGCCTGACTGATGGACTGTCTAGTTTTTAGGTAACTTTTTTAAGATGGATGAGGTAGCATGTTTTAAGAATTACACGGGGCAACAATTTTTTACTTTTTGAATGTTGTCTAGATTTCTACAACTGATTTAGGGTATTTTTGCACTGCTGAATCAGGAAATGGCATCCGTTTCTCTCCATCAGGTCAGGTTTTTCTGCTGTGTATTTGAAAAAAAAATCAGATTTTGTGACAAAATCGATTACATTTTTGTGGCATTATCAGCTGATTTTTGTCAACACATATCATCCTAAATATGTTTTTAAGAGAAAAAAATGTTTTTCCAGCAACATATATTGATTACCTGATAGAAACATCGATTACTGTATACTGAATGGTGGGCACTGATAAAAGTAAGTACATGTAAATTGCATGTTGCTTCACCATTTTTCAAACTTCGGGGCTTGAACGTCCGTTTCTTGGAACTGCTGGAATGCTCAGTGGCAGGGAGGTCTCTCTTCAGAGTCCAACAGTAGTCAGCCATCATGACTGTGTCCCAGCGACCCTGATACCTGGTCTCCATCTCTATCATGTCCTGATGGAATCTCTCCCCCTGCTCGTCACTCATTGAACCCAGGTTCTCAGGAAACCGGTCCATATGTGAAAATAGGTAGTGCATCTTGATGCTCATGTTGCAGCCCAGGTTTCTGAAAGCAGTCAGCATGTTGTTGACAAGTTCTGCGTAGTTTCTGGCCTTATTGTTGCCAAGAAAGTTCTTCACTACCAGAACAAATGCCTTCCACGCTTCCAGTTCCACTTCGTTCATTGAGTTTCCGAACTCTGGATCTCTGATGAGCTGACGGATCTGAGGACCGTCAAAGATGCCAGCTTTCAACTTCTCCATGGTCAATCCTGGAAAAGCCTGGCACAAGTAAGTGAAGCAGTCACCATCCTTGTCCAGAGCCTTGGTGAACTGCTTGATTAAGCCGAGCTTGATGTGCAGCGGTGGGAAGAGTATTCTGTCTCTGTCCACCAGAGAGTCGTTGATGACGTTCCTTTCTTTGCAAGGCACCAATTCCTCCCGCACGGGCCAGTCCTTCTTCGTGTAATGCTGAGCACGGTCCCTACTATCCCACATGCACAGAAAACATGGGTACTTGGTGAAGCTAGACTATTGTCCCAACAAAAAGTTCACCATCTTCAGGTCAACACAAGTAAACCACTTAATGCTGATCATAACCAATTTTCTCCAGCACATACTTCAGCGCTTCATAGTTCTCCTTCAGTGTAGTCGAGTGAGCCAGGGGTATAGAGGCAAACTGGTTGCCGTTGTGTAGCAGAACACATTTCAGTGATCGCTTGCTGCTGTCAATGAACAGTCTCCAATCTTTGGGTTTGTACTGTGGCCCTCCAAGCTTGAGCAGAAGCTGTGCAATATCTGCATAGTACACCAAGTCCTTCTCTTCCGAGAAAAAACGGAGGTACTCTTGATGCCTGTTGCGGAAGAAGCTGATGTGAGCACTGTCAGAGAGGAGGTTTTTTTCCTTCAATCTGGATGCCAACAGTTCGGCAGAGTCCTTTGACAATTCTTCGTGGGGCAGCTGCCCCATTAACTTAGTTTTGATCCCCCAACTTTATGCTTTGCCGCACCAATTTATGGAAGATTTTGAGGTTTTATGACTTCAAACTGATCCCTTTTTGACATAATCACCCAGAACTATTGGACCTGAATACTTCTTGTCATTAAAATAATCATTTCCAATCAAAACAATTATTCGACGTGGCATTTTACCCCCACCAACTTCTTCTAAAATGCTCCACACAAGCGTACATGTGAACAAAAACGTAAAAAAAGACATGTGGCCATAGCTCAAAAACTTGACCTGATTGAGCAAAACCAATGTGATTTTTGGATTCAGCTCATCAGATTCGTCCTAAATCAACAGAAAAAACGCAGACAACAAATTTGTTGTTGACCAGTGTTATTTACCGGCTCTTCTCCAAGAAGCTGAAGGCATTCTCCTCCTGCAACTTGTTCCTAACCAAACTTTGGGATAGGTGGGTTAGGATGGATAGTGGGAAACCACTTTAGTGGTTCCCACCTATAATTAAGCAGTATAGAAAATTTATGGTATAATAAGTAAAATACAATGACTAGACCAAGAACATCAAATGTACTTTGTGGCTGAGCAGGGAGTTGGCCTAGTCTGACGCTCGAGCCACTGTATCCTACAATATTAGCCCAGTTTAATTAGATAAATGTGCTGCTGAGTAAACATCCTTGAGATTGTGCTATAAGGTTTCATCATTTTGCATGCTTATGTCTTGCTTCACAGAGCTAGGATGTATCTGCTTTCAGTCATAGTCTTGCGTTGTACAGGAATCAGTGGGTGGCATGCTCTGGCCTCTGTCACTAGCAGGGGTACACAGGGCGACTAGGAAGACCAAGAGGAAGACCAGCCTGGCCCCCTCAGTCTGCCAGTAAAGGAATAACTGCCCTAGTGCTTGCTTTTCATGCCTCCCCATTACTTTTCCCTATTGAGTTGCGCTGTTGGAAAGCAAACTTGCAGGCAGAGCTGTCTTATCTCTTTTATTTAACTTGTAATAACAAAAAGGTAAAGGGCCCCTGGACAGATAAGTCCAGTCAAAGGTGACTATGGGGTTGTGGCACTCATCTTGCTTCAGGCCGAGGGAATCAGCGTTTGTCCACAGACAGCTTTTCTCGGTCATATGGCCAGCATAACTAAACTGCTTCTGGTGCAATGGAACACCGTGACAGAAACCAGAGCTCACAGAAATGCCGTTTACCTTGTTGTCACACAGTACCTATTTATCTACTTGCACTGGCATGCTTTTGAACTGCTATGTTGGCAGAAGCTGGGACAGAGCAATGGGAGCTCACCCCGTTGCGGAGATTCAAACCGCCGACCTTCCAATCGGCAAGCCCAAGAGGCTCAGTGGTTTAGACCACAACACCACCTGCTCCCTTTAACGTGTAATATGGGTAGAAGAATAGATTACTGATACTGTTAGGAGGTTGAAATTTGCATAATTATAGCAGATAGATTGGGTAAGTTATTTGATACATTGCAATTCACTTTGAGTTTACCTTTTATGTAAAAAAAAGTGTGCAATAAATAAATAATAGACCTCAATCATTTCAGACTTTAGTAACTTGCCAGTCTGGTCTGTATATCTGATACCTGGCTGGACAAAGAGGGAGATATAAACTTCCTCCAAATAGATTCACCTGAATATCAAGTGCAGCACAAAGTAAGGCTTGAGGTACAGAAAGGCAGAGTAGCCATGATAAGGATTTCACCCCCCTGGTCAGGTACCTTAGCCTGCAATCACTCAGTTTGATTGCCAAGGTGGGATTGGGATTATCTTGTTGTGGCACTCTTAATGTTAGTTGACTTTCACACATATTGGGGATGGCTAGCCTCTGGCTCTCAAATGTTGCTGGACTACAACTCCTGTCATCTTTGACCATTGGCCACTCTGGAGGGTCAGGATTGTTCTATCCGGCAAGCCTAAATTCTTGCTCTGACTGAATAATTAGAAGAGCACAGCATTTAATTCCTCTTTATTAAGAGTTACTTTATTGCATCAGGTTAAGCAAACTTACACATATACATTTGAAAGCATGTATGTGAATGCTTGAGGGATGCGGGTGGTGCTGTGGACTTGCCTAGGACAGAGCCTAGGACTTGCCAATCAGAAGGTCGGTGGTTCGAATCCCCATGACGGGGTGAGCTCCCGTTGCTCAGTCCCTGCTCCTGCCAACATAACAGTTCGAAAGCATGTCAAAGTGCAAGTAGATAAATAGGTACCGCTCCAGCAGGAAGGTAAACGGCATTTCCGTGCACTGCTCTGGTTCGCCAGAAGCGGCTTAGTCATGCTGGCCACATGACCCGGAAGCATGTAATTTGATCTTATACCTCCGATATTGAATGCTTATAAAAACTTTGTTCAATCTGATGCATTAGCAATGCCATATAGGTAAGAATTGGTTTGGACTGAAATTGGTACGTAAACATTGGCACCTGTCCTTTGTTCATATCAGGAAGGAAAAGATGATACAGTGGTACCTTGTGTTGCATACTTAATCCGTTCCAGAGGTCTGTTTGTAACCCAAAACCGCTCGTAGCATGAGGCATACTTTCCCTAATGGCACCTCCTGCTGCTGCCACGCCACCGGAGCGCAACTTCCGCTTGCATCCAGGGGCAAGGGTCGCACAAGGGAGATCTACTTCCGGGTTAGTGGAGCGCGTAACCCGCAACATTCGTAAGGGGGACGGTACGTAACATGAGGTACCACTGTAATTGTTTTTGTAGTTAATCCTTGGATGCTCTCTCGAGGTAAATCCTAGTAGTTTCATGCAGGTATGAGTTAATCTCTTCTCCTACCGGACAAGGACAAAGGGCAAGCAGCGACATCTGTTTAACTCTGTTGTCTAGTATGGAAATGGATAGATCTTGTCCCCTACTATTTTTATGCAAGTCAACAGCTGCACACTGTGTTGCTGGCCGATGTCATTTTGGTTATGGTGTCTTTATCACGATGTCTATTTACTGTTCCTAGAATCCTGCAGAGAAGCTACAGGTGTGATGTTCCAGAACTGAACGATGGCAACTAACGACAGTGTTGGCATACTGAATTCTGCCTACCTGGCTGTAGAATATATAGACTCTTTCTTGCCTGAGAATCCGCTACAACAGCCATTTAAAAATGCTTGGACATATATGCTGAATAACTACACCAAATACCAGATTATAACCTGGGGATCACTTCTCATGCATGAACTTTCCTACTTTTTAATATGTTTGCCTGGATTTATCTTTCAGTTTATACCTTACATGCAAAAGTATAAAATACAACAGGTAAGATGGAGTGTTGTCTAGTATGAAAAATTCCAGCTCTGCTGTCATACATGGCTCCAACAAGTGACATAACTTTGGAGCTCCCCAGATCATGAGTTCACTTCCCATATTCTGCCAGCTTGCAACTGGTGACATTTTTGTTGAGCATCCTCTTTCAGAGGATAGAAAAAACCCGATCTTATGCTTTACTCTGCTTTTATAACAAACATGGAACAATTTACACTTATTTATGTGCTTGTATAATTATTATGCATATTTTGGTTAATTTCTTATATAAATATTTAGTTTAGCTATCTGTGAGTACGTATTGCTGACTTCCAATCTGAATTCTGGGTGGTACTGTTGAAAAGCACGAGGCAAAGGGCCTTTGACAGTCTGGCCTCTAACTTGCAGGCTTTCAAGTAAATAGGGTTTTTTGTGTATGTTTTGATATGTTATTGTAGAAAGTGGAACATCTGAACAAGTTTGCCAACAGTATTATTTGCTAGATGTTTACTGTTATCCTGCACACTACCCCAAAGGACAAGAGGTAATGTTAAAAATGTATTTAAGCTGGAACGCTACACGGACTTACCTGTGAGTAAGCCACAGTGACAGTTGCTCAGATGTGATTGTCACTGTGGCTTAATCACAGATTAGTTGGTGTAGGATTTTATCTTAAGCAATGCATAGGATTGCATTGTTCAGCTAGTAAATGAAAAAAGGAGATAACATTGTACAGTTGCTAGTTTCCCCCACAGAAGCTGTAGAGTGGCTAGAACACAGGTGGGAAGCAGTGGTCCCCCAAACTGTCCTGTCATCTCTGACCATTGGCAATGCTGGCAGGGGCTGATGGGAGTTGGGGCAGTCTGCAAAGCTTCAGGCTATCCATCACTAAGCTAGAACATGGCCCCTGTATATAGCATCAGTCCTGGGCACTCTTGTTTTTAATAGTAACCGTGTGTGAAATTCGCTTGAGTGACATACACCCTGATACCTGAATAGTATATATGTAATAACATAAAGCTTGGAGTATTGCAATACACTGGTACCTCGGGTTAAGTACTTAATTTGTTCCGGAGGTCCGTTCTTAACCTGAAACTATTCTTAACCTGAAGCACCACTTTAGCTAATGGGGCCTCCTGCTGCTACTGCGCTGCCGGAGCACAATTTCTGTTCTCATCCTGAAGCAAAGTTCTTAACCCAAGGTACTATTCCTGGGTTAGCAGAGTCTGTAACCTGAAGCGTCTGTAACCCAAGGTACCACATTATTGAATTATAAGTCAGTGAAATTTGTATCGTATAGAATTCTGGTGCCTTCTCAATCCAGTTTCTACTAAAAAGGTAGATAGATCATAGTATCCTGCTTCCTAATGAGATCCGGAGCCCAGTCTGTTATAAAACGATGATTACTTTACTGTGCTGATTTCCTGCAGCCTTCTTGAAACAATGTACAGGCTCCAAACTAATTCAGGGGTGGGGAAACCTGTGGCCCTCCAGATATGTGAGCTCCGCTCATTCCTGACCATGGGATATGCCCGCTGGGGCTGACAGAATTTGGAGTTCAACAGTGTTTGGAAGGTCACAGGTTACTCATCCCTGCTCTGATGCCATAGATGCTGTGATCTATGCATACTATAACTGTTTCCTTTTGACATGAAAATAGCATTTGTAATCTTGATTCATTAACAATAAATTCAGACCAAATGGCAGTACTGTTCCCGGGCTGAAAGACAAAAATCTGAGCATTCTAACACTACTTTAATATTTATCTCTCGCCTTACCCCAAGTACACCTGGAGTAGGATGATAATTGACAGGGAATCAACATTGAAATGTATATCTGATATTAATGGAAACATTGATCATCGCAGGCAGCAGTGTTGCTGCATTTTGGGGCAATATCAGTTGAAACAGTGTCAAATAAGACAAAGCTGATATTCCGTTACCTTTAATTTAGGTATTCTTCTATTATAGTATGAAGTACTATTAATTTAGTACTTATTCCCATGTATCACATCTTCAGTAATATCACTGGAATATTCTACTTCTATTTATAAAATACTTTTATTTCTTGTTTACAGGATAAGCCAGAAACCTGGGAAAGACAATGGAAGTGTTTCAAGGCACTTATGTTCAATCACTTTTTTATTCAGTTTCCTCTGATACTTGGTACCTATTACTTCACAGAATATTTTAATATTCCTTTTGACTGGGAAAGCATGCCAAGATGGTAAGTAGATGGATTTCACTTAAACAGCTCTGTGCAGTTAAGTACTTCAATAAATGCAGTGTTTCTCAAATCCTGTTATGATCAAGCACTGCACTTCAGCATATGGAAGATTTCTAAAAGTTCTGCACAGAACAATAATAATAAGTTTCTAGTAGTCAGTCATTTTCAAGCTGAACTTTCCCTATAAAGCGTTCTTATCATTACAAATTACAACTGATTTGCAAGAAAGAAAGATGTTAATGGATTAAGTAAATTTTATGTGAAATTAGTTTTAGAAAACTGCTACAATGATTTATAAAGAAACTCAGCCAGGGGGATTTTAGGAAGTCACCTAACAATGATAACAAAAGAGGAATTTCTACAGTTAGGATATATGTTTGTTTGTTTCTTTGTTTTTTGATGTTTTTCTTTTTATGTTTGTTGATATGTTTGTTATAAATTTGGAAAACTAATAAAACCTTTTGGGGAAAAAACAACAAATTACAACTGATTTGCTTCCAGCAATGTCACCAGAGTTGCATTATACACAACAGCGGTGTTTGTGTACGATGTAGTCTCTTAAGCCACTCTTATCCTCCCTATATAATAAAGTTGTGGACAAAGGTTATGTGTATGGTAAAATATACTTTTGCCAATTCTTTGTAGACTGCTGCTGCCTTGCAAGCTATTGGATAACATGTTTCTCCAACACAAAAAAATGGTTTTATAGACAGATATAGAACTGCAAAAGCAAAAATTGGGTTGGGAGACAGGGTGTCCTAATCTATTGTACTTGTCTTAACAAATGCTTCTCTTTCCCTACCTCCCCCCCCCCCCCAGGTATGTGCTACTTTCTCAATGTTTTGGATGTGCTGTGATTGATGATGCCTGGCATTATTTTCTGCATAGGCTGCTGCATCACAAGAGAATATATAAGTACATCCACAAAGTGCATCATGAGTTTGTGGTATGTATTGCCTTAAATTCTTGGTGAACGTTACCTAGTTAATGCTGTAATGCTGTGAGCATATAAAAGCACTAGGCATACATTAGCTATTCTTTTTGTAAAAAGGGAGAAAAGAAAACAGCACGCTTAGCAAACTGTTTTCATCATGAGTTTAATATTGCTATAGTAATCAGTTTGAAACTGATTACTCAAAATACAGTGGTACCTTGGGTTACATACGCTTCAGGTTACAGACCCCGCTAACCCAGAAATAGTACCTTGGGTTAAGAACTTTGCTTCAGGATGAGAACAGAAATCGTGCTCCAGCGGCGCGGCGACAGTGGGAGGCCCCATTAGCTAAAGTGGTGCGTCAGATTAAGAACAGTTTCAGGTTAAGAACGACCTCCGGAAGGAATTAAGTACATAACCCAAGGTACAACTGTAGTTTGCCATTTTAAATGCTGTTCTCTGATGTCTAACTTCTTACCCACCAATGACTGGCTACAAAACACAAAAATCCCTTCAGCTGGTTTTCCCTACAAATGATCTCTGTCTGTTATTCTGATAATGATTATGTAGGTTAGAAACATAACCCACTCTGACCTAGTATATTTGTAGTGAAGTCTGACCAGCAGCAATTCTCCAGTCTCCAGTTTCTGTTTAATAGGACCAACAGAGAGACCAGTGACTGAACTTTAGTCCTTCTGCATCACTGTGCTATACTACTGAGCTAAAGCCCACCTGTAACCTACATTGGATGGTTTCCCTAACAACCACCCTCCAATTGCTTTTTTGAATAGCTAGCTTCTATTACTGAAATAACACTCAGTAGGGAGCATAGACTAAAGACTCAGAAAAACCTTCAGGGGGATCTGAAGGTGAGGAAAGCATCACTGTAAAGTTTTCATATAAGCTATGATTTGCTTCCATTCTGAATATTTTACAAGGGGTTCTTATTCTGTCGTCTTAAGTAATCATGGTTCTATGCTACCAGCTGAAATTATAGTGTTTCAGGGGCAGTCCAGAATTTGTAGTCATAAAGAGTTGGAGTGGAGCTAAACACAGTTCACTCATTCCTCTGTTACCTGTATGTAACATTAATACCAGGATCTGAGTGCGAGAGGGGGAGAACTCTGCTAGAAGAACCTGGCCATGCAGGAAGTACTGTTGTATCTCGGGTTACAAACGCTTCGGGTTACAGACTCCGCTAACCCGGAAGTAGTACCTCGGGTTAAAAACTATACCTCAGGATGAGAACAGAAACTGTGCGGCAGCGGCAGGAGGCCTCATTAGTTAAAGTGGTACCTCAGGTTAAGAACGGTTTCAGATTAAGAACGGACCTCCGGAACAAATTAAGTTCGTAACCCACTGTATACATTTCAGATTAGCCGTAAAGTACCGGTATATTTATGTCTTGGCATACAAAAGAGCATTCTTTTTTTCCCCTCTTCCTCCTTTCATAGGCTCCGTTTGGAATGCAAGCTGAATATGTACACCCTCTGGAAACCCTTATCATTGGAACTGGGTTTTTCATTGGAATAATGGTGTTTTGCAATCACGTGATTCTTCTGTGGGCATGGTTGATCTGTCGCTTGCTGGAGATCATTGACGTCCACAGGTAATCTACTTTCGCTGTTCAGTCTGGTCATATTCATCAGAATTATAGAGGGTTGTATTCAACAAAGTGTTACTTGGGGTAGACATAGTAAAATTATTAGACCTAAATTAGTCATCTAGGTGTACTCTTAATTCACACTTCGTTGAATACCACCCAAGTCACCAGGTAAAATCTAGACAAGTGACCTTTTTTTTAAAAAAAAATAAATCTATTAACTATTCAGGATTTTCTCTAAATGTCCTAGAAGTGCATGTATTTAAGACTGAAATCCTGTGCATTCCTACCTTAGAGTAAGTTTCAGTGACTTTAGTAGAGCTTGCATAAACATTCAGAGGATTCTACTGCACATGATTCTTTAGATGACAAGCTTACAAACTAATTTGATACTCTTTGAGCAAGTAGAGTCATCTTAAGTTCCACATAAAAGCTTCTCTATTAAGTATGATTAAGATGTAACTAGAAATGATAAAATATAACTGGAAACTATGCTACCTAAATGAGCCTTAGGCTCACATGCTCCCTCCTCCCCTCTATTTTCACATGTCAAAGATAGATACAGAGTGGCTGGGGCAACCCAGCCAGATGGGAAGGCTATAAATGAAATATTTTATTTTATTTTATTTTATTTATTTATTACAGATAGAAAGCTTTTTAACGTTAAGCTAACTAGAATTCCTTATGATGTCTGAACAAGTGAAACAAATTATGGTTAGAGAGAACATTTAACCATAATTTTTGGTTGATGGGAGTTGTTGTCCAACAACATTTGGAGAGCCATAGGTTGGCCACCCCGATTCATTGAATACTTTCCCAGCAAAATCTAGCTATGAATCCAGACTGTGTGTGTGTGTGTGTGTGAGAGAGAGAGAGAGAGAGACCACATTTTTCAACTATTTCATTCCTCTGTTTGGCATAGTGTTGTGGACACTTTGTGCTGAAATATTTACATGACCTCCTTGCAGGGACTATATATAAAGCATGTATCATCAGTACAGAAGTAAGAAACACATTTTAAATACCACATGGCGGATGTTACTTCTACAGCTTCAGAAGTATGTTGTCCAGTTGAATAGTCCAGGAACTTCAGGGGTTTTTCAACCAAGTTAATATGGAAACTGGTAAATGTCTATGGTTGTAGTCCTATAACCACTTACAAAAGAGTAAGCCCCATTAAACTCAGTGGGACTTGCTTCTGATTTTAGCAATGCTTGACTTGAATGGAAATGCGAGCAGTGTCTTCCGTATCTGTATTGTAAATTCTCCTCTCTCTCTCTCTCTCTCTCTCTCTCTCTCTCTCTCTCTCTCATTAGTGGCTACGACATTCCTCTGAATCCATTGCATTTGGTGCCTTTCTATACTGGGGCTCGATTCCATGACTTCCACCATATGAACTCAATTGGCAACTATGCTTCAACCTTCACGTGGTGGGATAAACTGTTTGGTACCGACTCGCAGTACAATTCTTACAGAGAGAAATTGGAAAAACAAGAGTGCATGGTGGAAAAGAAGACCAAATAAATTTCCCAGCAGAAATATAAGGAGGAGCACTTGACAAATGCACATAATTACCATGAACTTTTGGTTAAGCCTGGAAGATTTAACACCCGCTGCAAATTCAAAGCTTTTAAATATATGATGCTTTTAACTGGAGCCCAAGAACAAGCCTGCTGGGCCCTCGCTGTGTGCTAGAGGAAACGGCCCTATCTTCCTAAAATGAATGCATTTTCTACTTTATATGTAAGTGAAGCATATATATTTAAGTAAAGGTTAAAGATGAAGGCCACAAATTTGAATGTTTGTAAAGAACAATGTATCCATTTAGAATTCAAAGTTTGTAAAAGAATGTTTCCATTAGAGTTGGATAGAACTGTTTGTAAAGTACTTGGATATATGAAGTTAAGTTTCTTCTGAAGCATACCCATAAAAACTGGTTTAATGAGCTGCTGAGTAGAACTTCCTTGGGAACAAAAATACCGGAAGAGGAGTATTTGCACATGTTAATATTTGTTTCCTTTTCAAAACCTTTCTTAGTCTGGTGTTAGGAGAAAAAAAGCTTCCTCTCTCAAATCTAAAATTTTTCTAACACTTAATTTATTGCCCAAATTCCTTTAAACCTATTTAAATTCCTTTAAACCTATGAACTCTTTCTCATGAACATTTGTTTTTACTAAACCTAATATATTTACCGTATCTACCCTGTCTTATTTGTCTCAGTTTTCAAACAAGTCTCAATACTAGATGTGTATTTGAAAGGCAAAGCAAGCATGAGGGGATTGTGGTCTCCATTTCATAACACAAGCACTGGAAAGACCCACAAATAGAAAAGAATATACTTTTAATGTCAGCAAGTAAACAAATAAAAAAGAGGCAATGAACAATATGCAAAGGACCTCTTTGTTCCTCTTTAATATGCTTTTAGAGTATTTTTCATACTTTCTGTGGTCTGATACATGAGGGTCCCTTATTGCACATTGTGTGGCATTAAATGCTTTGCTTTAGCTGCCTCAGGGTTTGTTTTTAATGAAAGCCAAGCACAGGAGCAGCCTAATCTAGATTAGGACCACAGTCCACAAGAAGGAGAAGTTTAGCTCTTCCTTCTCCCACCGCAATCCCTATACTGTATTAACCTTTTAGGTTGCAAACCTGTACCTGCTTACCAGGGAATAAGCACCATTAATCTCTGTGAAACTCATATGTATAGGATTGTGCTGTTTTTAAAGATTGTTGCTGCTTCACTGATATCTTACAATTATTTATTAAAATTGTGAACTGCTCTTCATATTTTATAGAAATAGAGTGATTGCCTGCCTTGCATGTAGAACACTCCATATTCAATAGTTGTCATTGTGTAGACAGTAATGAGATTGATGGACTAGTTTTTCCAGTCCATTAATATTTCTGGGTGGGAAATTCAGGTTGCTTTGTTACAGTTGCTTTGAAGCTCTTGCGCAACAAACCACCTTTCCCCGCAAAATTGGATATATGTATGTATGTATGTATGTGTGTATATATATTGTTGTTGTTTAGTCATTTAGTCATGTCCGACTGTTCGTGACCCCATGGACCAGAGCACGCCAGGCACCCCTGTCTTCCACTGCCTCCCACAGCTTGGTCAAACTCATGCTGGTAGCTTCAAGAACACTGTCCAGCTAGCTCGTCCTCTGTCGTCCCCTTCTCCTTGTGCCCTCCATCTTTCCCAACATCAGGGTCTTTTCCAGGGAGTCTTCTCTTCTCATGAGGTGGCCAAAGTATTGGAGCCTCAGCTTCAGGATCTGTCCTTCCAGTGAGCACTCAGGGCTGATTTCCTTAAGAATGGATAGGTTTGATCTTCTTGCAGTCCATAGGACTCTCAAGAGTCTCCTCCAGCACCATAATACACATATATGTATACATACATACATACATACACACACACACACACACATATATATGTATACATGTATATGTATACATGTACCGTATTTTTCGCCCTATAGGACGCACCGTCCCATAAGGCGCACCTAGTTTTTTGGAGGGGAAATAAAGGGGGGGAAATTATTTTTCCCCCCCCAGGCACGGGGCTGGGGCGGGGGAGGCCCGAGCTTCCCCCGACCCCAGCCCCCAAACAGGCAGCTCTCTGCAAGCCGTGGGAGCCCAGCGCTGGCTCCCGCTGCTTGCGGAGAGGTCCACTAAGCCTGGACGCGCTGATCTCAGCGCGCGCAGGCTTCGGCACGCAGGCAACTCTCCGCAAGAAGCGGGAGCGCTCCTGCTGCTTGTGGAGAGGTCTGCGAAGCCTGGAGAGCGAGAGGGGTCGGTGCGCACCGACCCCTCTCGCTCTCCAGGCATCAGCGAAAGCCTGCATTTGCCCCATAGGACGCACACACATTTCCCCTTCATTTTTGGAGGGGAAAAAGTGCATCCTATAGGGCGAAAAATACGGTATATGTATATGTATATGTATGTGTTTGCAATAAGGATAGGAAAATCCAGCAGAAAGGGCCGGATAACGCTTGAAGCAATGTCATCTCATTTGTTTTAACTATTCGGAATATTGCATTTTAAAAATTGTTGTAACTTGCCCTGAAACTTCATGGCGAAGGATGGGCAACAATTCAAATAAGTAATATCAAAGAACGTCCCTGCAAACTTCCTATGAACAAACCAGAATGCTCAGTAACCAGGCAGTCTGGAAGTGACCTTGGAGAGTACGGCAGTTTCCTATGAGTGTAAATATAGGCTGAATCGATACATGTATAAAAAAACGCTGTGAACATGCATTCTTTTCTTTTTTTTAAAAAAAGGTTTAAACTACTGTATACAGTGGTACCTCAGGTTACAGATGCTTCAGGTTACAGATACTTCAGGTTACAGATTCCGCTAACCCAGAAATAGTACCTCGGGTTAAGAACTTTGCTTCAGGATGAGAACAGAAATCGTGCTCCGGCGGCAGCAGGAGGCCCCATTAGCTAAAGTGGTGCTTCAGGTTAAGAACAGTTTCAGGTTAAGAACGGACCTCCAGAATGAATTAAGTACTTAACACAAGGTACCACTGTGTATGTAATTTGGCATTAGCTTACCAGCGCCATCTAGTGTCACGTTTGTATAATGCACTTAAAACACACCTAAAACGTTTTATCTGCAGCTGTACAGCTGATTACTCAACAAACATGTGAAACGAACCATGACTTTTGAGCATGGGAAACAGCAGAACCTTGTGGGATGTTAAAGCCCAGTCGCATCGTGATTGTGGCACGCATGGCCAAGCTGAATAAAATATTGGGGGGGGGGGTGTCCTGCATAATCGATCAAATATTTTATTGTAGGGGGTGGCGGCAAAGCGACCTCGGCCTCTAGGATATGGTTCCTAGGGTGGCACGGGTTTTGGCAGCCAGGCATATAGGCACTTCATCCTATGGCGAGGTTTGTGGCATGTGCAGAGGGTCCTGAGAGGCACGCCCTCCCGCAACTGATGGCACCCGCCATCGAAAGCGCAGGCCCACCCAGATTCTGGCGCCAAACCTGCAGGGCGCTTGGCCCTGGCCAATCGCGACGACTATGGGGGAAGCGGCCCGGGCGCCCCCAGGGCGCTGCCAGGTGGACGGGGCGGCGCGCGCGGCGGCACGTCACACCTTCGCCTCCCCCGCGCGCGGCAGTGGTACATCCTTGCCTCTCCCCCCGGCGGCTGAGGCGCGAGTAGTGCAGTCGGCGGCGCGAGCGCTCTCCCTGGACGGAGCAGGTTTCTCCGCCTGCGGGAGGTGGAGGCGAGCGCAGAGGGAGCGCAGCCCGCGTCGACGCAGCACGTCAAGGCAGCAGCTGAGCGAAGAAGAAGAAGAAGAAGAAGCAGAAGCCCGCATTGCCAGTCCTTCTTCTCCGTCAGGCATGGCGCGGCGAGGTGGGCTCTGGGCGCTGCTGCTGGCGGCGCTCTGCGGCGCGCTGGGTGCCTTCGCCTTGCGGCAGCAGGGCTCCGAGGCGGAGCAGCCCGAAGCGGCGGCGGCGGCGGGCGGCGGCTCGGCGAACCGGCGGCGGCGCCTCAGCCAGGAGGACGGCATCTCCTTCGAGTACCACCGCTACCCGGAGATGCGCGAGGCGATGGTCTCGGTGTGGCTGCAGTGCTCGTCCATCAGCAGGATCTACACCGTGGGCCGCAGCTCCGAGGGCAGGGAGCTGCTGGTCATCGAGCTCTCCGACAACCCGGGCGAGCACGAGCCTGGTAAGGGAAGCCCCTGACGCAGCACCCCCCCCAGGTAGTGCTGGGTTGGGGGTGTCCTGGATGTCTCCTCTTTCCTCCACCCCACCGCCCCCATTTTTTCTTTTGCTTTCTCAGGTGGAATAAACAACCTCTCTTCCTTGCAAATTCCTGCCTTGTTTCTCAGCATTGAGGTGCGCAGACCTGGAAACGCATGCAACGGATGCTATGGTGATAATGATAATCTTTCCTGGTAACCAGGCTTTGAGGATCTCTGCCTACACCTTCGCAGCCATGATTTTGACTCGGCTTAGTGGGCTGGCTGAGCTGCTTGTGTCATGGCAGAGGCCACATGCGACGCATTTCACCGTGGAATGACTTTGGATGGGCAGCTGAAACCTTCCTGGTTTAAGCGAATTAGTTGGGAAAAGGATTCATCTGTGCCAGCCTTATTGGAGGGGGAAGAGAAGCAAGTAGAGAGCCACAGGTTTCCCATCCCTGTTATAGATCAAGGTACCAGCCACATGTAAGGTTGTATAGGTAGGCCTCTGTCTTCAATCTTTAAAGAGCCAGTAGCCATTGATGGAAAGAAAGCCGTATGTGTACCATGACTTGGAAGAGACTAGTTCCATCTCCTTCTGTCTCTCTCTTCACACATGCGTACGCGCGCGCACACACACAAACAATGTTAAAAGTGTAACACAGTTTCTCTTATTCAAAGAAATACTTCTCCACAGCAGCTGCTTGATGAGCCAGTGTGGTGTAGTGGTTAAGAGCGGTAGTCTCGTTATCTGGGGAACCGGGTTCGCGTCTCCGCTCCTCCACATGCAGCTGCTGGGTGACCTTGGGCCAGTCACGCTTCTCTGAAGTCTCTCAGCCCCACTCACCTCACAGAGTGTTTGTTGTGGGGGAGGAAGGGAAAGGAGATTGTTAGCCGCTTTGAGACTCCTGAAGGGGAGTGAAAGGCGGGATATCAAATCCAAACTCTTCTTCTTCTTCAGTAACAGTAGTAGCTAAAATTTCTCTGAATGCATGAATCGGTCAAATAATACCCATGCTGGTGTTGCCAGGTCCATGGTGGCACACAGTGGCCAACAATATTTACCGTACAGTCTGGCTGGTAAGGAAATAGGTTCACACAAAAAGTTATTTATTTGCTTAGTGATTTGTAGCCTGTTTTTCTGTCAAAACAATTCACAAAGTGGAACAAAGTGACTGAATTGTGACATCCTCCTGCCACTTCAAGATATTTACTTTTTTAGCGACAACCATACCCATTGAAATATTAACCTCTCTCTCCCATCTTCCAGTAGCCTGTGGGTGCCTTGACACAGGGGTTGGCCAGCTCATTCATTCTAGGGCAATGTAGTGTCATATAACCAGCAACAAAACTACTCCCATCTAGACTCTCACCCTCATAGGGTTGTAATCTATACCGGTTCAGTGTCTCACACTGAGTGGTACTGAACAACTTTGAAACGAACAAAAGCATTACAACTCAGATTCTCACTTCGGACAGCAAAAACTACCCAATAAGGCTGGGTCAAGACATTTTGGTGCCTAGGGCAAACCACAAAAAGGCACCTCCCTCCCCACAAAGGAAGAAGTGGGGAGTAAAGATCTACATCCGAATCTGCTACCCTATGGGTTCTGCCACCTGAGGCAGTCACCTCACCTTGCCTCATGGGTGGGCCAGTCCTGCTACCCAATATTACATCACTTCTTTCTCCTACTTGGATAATACATTCCACAGCACAAACTTAAAGAGGTTGGTGCCCTCATGCAAACTCCAAAAGGTTTGCACTGTAGTGTGGCAGCAAGCCAGATAGCCATAGATGTTTTTCTATCCTCCTTCTGGAATCAGCAATGAAGTGCTGGCTGGTTGGCATCTAGCAACAGAGTGGGCAAGCAGATGGAATGGCCCAGGAGCTCTCACTAGCAGCAGCAGTAAAAAAATATATCAGAGCAGGTCAGCATCCTATTAGTTGTTGAAAACAGATCCCTGCAAATATCAAAGCTGCATGAATCAACACATGGGGCAACAGGCACGATAAACAGGAAGCCAGTTTTTGTTTTAGGTGAATCTCGTAGTAATTCTCATTGATATAGCAATAGAAGTATAATGATGAGCTACCGTGTGAATGAAAACATTTCCATTCGCCTTTGGTGTCTATTACTGATTCTTAGAGGGAGGTAAACTGTGTCTGGGCTGTACCACTTACAAGCTCATGTTTGAATGTTTCTCCTTATCCACGTGCAGGCCCACCCTTCAGAGAAAACTAGATGTCAGAGAAAAGGCTAGTCCCTTAGAGCACCCCAAATGAGTGTGTTCTTTCCTTTTAAAATCAAGAAGCATTCTGTCACTGTCAAACTGGTTTCTCAAGTGAAATACCTCTGAGCTGTTTACCCCATCACTGAACTGCATTATGAGGATGGGATGGTGTTAACTCTTCAGTGACAACACGCTTGGGACACGTTTCTGGCAGGGAGGCTTAAAAGTAGCAGTGGTCTGTCTAGTTTATGTCAATGAGTGCAAAATGTGGCTGCCAGAGTTTTGACTTATACAACCAATATGAATCATAGTACAGTGGTACCTCTGGTTAAGTACTTACGGTAATTTGTTCTGGAAGTCCGTTCTTAACCTGAAGCACCACTTTAGTTAATGGGGCCTCCCGCTGCTGCCGCGCCATCACGCAATTTCTGTTCTCACCCTGAAGCAAAGTTCTTAACCCAAGGTAATATTTCTGGGTTAGCGGAGTCTGTAACCTGAAGCGTATGTAACCCGAGGTACCACTGTACATCAACCTTTAGACAACTGCATTGGCCATCTATTCATTTCCCAGCCTAAGTCAAGGCTGCACCTTTATAGCCTTAAATGGCTGTGCACCTTTACACACTTAAATAGCTCGCAACTCAAATATCTAAAACACTGCACCTTCTCTGAGAGCTTGTGACTCAAATACATGAAATACTGAACCTATCTGTGTTCCAAGATCAGCAGAGGGAATCTTTTTATGTTATCTGTTATTAGGAGAAGCAGGTGAGCGTGCAGCCGCCGTGCAGTTTGCATAGCTACCTTACGCCCCTCGTCCCCTCCATCCACCCATCTCGCTCCTCTCCCTTCTCTTCGTCAGTGAACTGGCGCCTCGTCCCATTGGCCGGCCCACGAGATCTGACGATCTCACTCCATCCTTCCACCCAATGGGAGCCCGCCGAGACCTGCTCGGCGCACGCCTGACGGTCCCGACCTCTCGCGCGGCACCAATCGCGGCGGCGGGGCGGCCTTTCCTTCCGCGGCCAATGAAGGAGGCGTATTTGAGGACCCGGCGCGGAGGGAGTCTGGCCCTTGTCGCGGAGCGTCGGTGGGCAGAGCTGCTGCATCCCTCGGCGCAGGTAAGAGGATGGAGAGCCGAGGCGCCTTGGGGGGCGGGTTGTTTTAGGGGGTTCTCCTTTCATTGGTTGCATTTGGAGACCCCCCACCCGAAAAAGGCGACAAACGCAACCCCTTTACATTTTGTTTATGGGCACCAAAATATTCATTTCTTGGCCGCGCAGGCCTGTTATTTTGTGACTTTCCGTTTTATTTCTCTCCCCCCTCACCGACTTCTCTCTCAGAGACAAAAGCTGAAGTTAAGGGTTCGGGAGATGCGTTTTTATTTTTTATTAGTTGTTTTTATTAGTTGTTGTTATTAGTTGTGAGTTATAGGAGAAGGCATTTCTTTCTCCTGGTACCTGTTTTCGATTTTCGCTGTTTTGGTTCGCCTAGTGCTGCTGTTGTAAATAAAAAATTGCCCTTTTCCCTTATGGCGTATCCAAGAGCCCATATAGAGTCCTTACATAGGTTCCCTATTGGTAGGAGAAAATAACAGAGGCCGACCAGAGAATATTGAGAAGCAAAGCAGCTAGTAAGCCTGATCTTTATTGATCTGTTGCAACAGGGTGCTCCCCTCACACGCAGGAAAGGAGGAGGACCCAGAAAAATGGCATGCAAGGCCTTATAAAGACTTTTGAAATTCCCAGCCTGTAGATAAACACCACCCCCAGAAACATCTACATACATCACAGAAGGGGTGTAACCTAAGACCACCCCTCAGATACATCCCACCAACATCACAGAAATTTTAATATTGTTTTCTCCTGTTGTTGTTTATCTCCTGTCTAGCAGGTTACTTGATTGGATTTCCTGGATAGCAGGGCCAGTCTTTTGTAATGATAAATACTTAGTTCCTGGCCAGGTCACAGGCTCACACCCTAAGGTTTTATCATTTTGCATGCATAAGTCTTGCTTCACAGAGCTAGGATGTATCTGCTTTCAGTCATAGTCTTGCGTTGTACAGGAACCAGTGGGTGGCATGCTCTGGCCTCTGTCACTAGCAGGGGTACACAGGGCGACTAGGAAGACCAAGAGGAAGACCAGCCTGGCCCCCTCAGTCTGCCAGTAAAGGAATAACTGCTCCAGTGCTTGCTTTTCATGCCTCCCCATTACTTTTCCCTATTGAGTTGTGCTGTTGGAAAGCAAACTTGCAGGCAGAGCTGTCTTATCTCTTTTATTTAACTTGTAATAACAAAAAGGTAAAGGGCCCCTGGACAGTTAAGTCCAGTCAAAGGTGACTATGGGGTTGTGGCACTCATCTTGCTTCAGGCTGAGGGAACCGTCATTTGTCCACAGACAGCTTTTCTGGGTCATATGGCCAGCATAACAAAACTGCTTCTGGTGCAATGGAACACCGTGACAGAAACCAGAGCTCACAGAAATGCCGTTTACCTTCTTGCCACAGCAGTACCTATTTATTTACTTGCACTGGCATGCTTTTGAACTGCTATGTTGGCAGAAGCTGGGACAGAGCAATGGGAGCTCACCCCATTGCAGGGACAGAGCAATGGGAGCTCACCCCATTGCAGGTATTCAAACCGCCGACCTTCCAATCGGCAAGCCCAAGAGGCTCAGTGGTTTAGACCACAGCACCACCTGCTCCCTTTAACTTGTAATATGGGTAGAAGAATAGATTACTGATACTGTTAGGAGGTTGAAATGTGCATAATTATAGCAGATAGATTGGGTAAGTTATTTGATACATTGCAATTCACTTTGAGCTTACTTTTTATGTTAAAAAAAAGTGTGCAATAAATAAATAATAGACCTCAATCATTTCAGATTTTAGTAACTTGCCAGTCTGGTCTGTATATCTGATACCTGGCTGGACAAAGAGGGGGGTATAAACTTCCTCCAAATACATTCACCTGAATATCAAGTGCATAACAAAGTAAGGCTTGAGGTACAGAAAGGCAGAGTAGCCATGATAAGGATTTCACTCCCCTGGTCAGGTACCTTAGCCTGCAGTCACTCAGTTTGATTGCCGAGGTGGGATTGGGATTCTGTTGTTGTGGCACTCTTAATGTTAGTTGATTTTCACACATATTGGGGATGGCTAGCCTCTGGCTCTCAAATGTTGCTGGACTACAACTCCTGTCATCTTTGACCATTGGCCACTCTGGAGGGTCAGGATTGTTCCATCTGGCAAGCCTAAATTCTTGCTCTAACTGAATAATTAGAAGAGCACAGCATTTAATTCTTCTTTATTAAGAGTTACTTTACTGCATCTGGTTAAGCAAACTTACACATATACATTTGAAAGCATGTATGTGAATGCTTGAGGGATGTGGGTGGCGCTGTGGGTTAAACCACAGAGCCTAGGACTTGCCAATCAGAAGGTCGGTGGTTCGAATCCGCATGACGGGGTGAGCTCCCGTTGCTCGGTCCCTGCTCCTGCTAACCTAACAGTTTGAAAGCATGTCAAAGTGCAAGTAGATAAATAGGTATTGCTCCAGCGGGAAGGTAAACGGCATTTCCATGCGCTGCTCTGGTTTGCCAGAAGCGGCTTAGTCATGCCGGGCACATGACCCGGAAGCATGTAATTTGATCTTATACCTCCAATATTGAATGCTTGTAAAAACGTTGTTCAATCTGACGCATTAGCAATGCCACATAGGTAAGAATTGGTTTGGACTGAAATCGGTATGTAAACATTGGCACCTGTCCTTTGTTCATATCAGGAAGGGAAAGATGATACAGTGGTACCTTGTGTTACGTACTTAATCCGTTCCAGAGGTCTGTTTGTAACCCGAAACCGCTCGTAGCATGAGGCACACTTTCCCTAATGGCACCTCCTGCTGCTGCCACGCCGCCAGAGTGCGACTTCCGCTTGCGTCCTGGGGCAAGGGTCGCACAAGGGAGATCTACTTCTGGGTTAGTGGAGCGCGTAACCAGCAGCATTCGTAAGGGGGACGGTACGTAACATGAGGTACCACTGTAATTGTTTTTGTAGTTAATCCTTGGATGCTCTCTCGAGGTAAATCCTAGTAGTTTCAAGCAGGGCTTTCAATTTACTTTTTATTATGTAACAGATAACTAGCATGATCGATCAATTTATGGCCAAGGCATCCTAATTAAGCAGCAGCACATTTCCTTCTTGTCAGGCGGTAGAGGAGATTCTGTCAATGTATACAGCACAAGCAGGTATGAGTTAATCTCTTCTCCTACCGGACAAGGACAAAGGGCAAGCAGCGACATCTGTTTAACTCTGTTGTCTAGTATGGAAATGGATAGATCTTGTCCCCTACTATTTTTATGCAAGTCAACAGCTGCACACTGTGTTGCTGGCCGATGTCATTTTGGTTATGGTGTCTTTACCATGATGTCTATTTACTGTTCCTAGAATCCTGCAGAGAAGCTACAGGTGTGATGTTCCAGAACTGAACGATGGCAACTAACGACAGTGTTGGCATACTGAATTCTGCCTACCTGGCTGTAGAATATATAGACTCTTTCTTGCCTGAGAATCCGCTACAACAGCCATTTAAAAATGCTTGGACATATATGCTGAATAACTACACCAAATACCAGATTGCAACCTGGGGATCACTTCTCATGCATGAACTTTCCTACTTTTTAATATGTTTGCCTGGATTTATCTTTCAGTTTATACCTTACATGCAAAAGTATAAAATACAACAGGTAAGATGGAGTGTTGTCTAGTATGAAAAATTCCAGCTCTGGTGTCATACATGGCTCCAACAAGTGGCATAACTTTGGAGCTCCCCAGATCATGAGTTCACTTCCCATATTCTGCCAGCTTGCGACTGGTGACATTTTTGTTGAGCATCCTCTTTCAGAGGATAGAAAAAACCCGATCTTATGCTTTACTCTGCTTTTATAACAAACATGGAACAATTTACACTTATTTATGTGCTTGTATAATTATTATGCATATTTTGGTTAATTTCTTATATAAATATTTAGTTTAGCTATCTGTGAGTACGTATTGCTGACTTCCAATCTGAATTCTGGGTGGTACTGTTGAAAAGCACGAGGCAAAGGGCCTTTGACAGTCTGGCCTCTAACTTGCAGGCTTTCAAGTAAATAGGGTTTTTTGTGTATGTTTTGATATGTTATTGTAGAAAGTGGAACATCTGAACAAGTTTGCCTGGAGTAGGATGATAATTGACAGGGAATCAACATTGAAATGTATATCTGATATTAATGGAAACATTGATCATCGCAGGCAGCAGTGTTGCTGCATTTTGGGGCAATATCAGTTGAAACAGTGTCAAATAAGACAAAGCTGATATTCTGTTACCTTTAATTTAGGTATTCTTCTATTATAGTATGAAGTACTATTAATTTAGTACTTATTCCCATGTATCACATCTTCAGTAATATCACTGGAATATTCTACTTCTATTTATAAAATACTTTTATTTCTTGTTTACAGGATAAGCCAGAAACCTGGGAAAGACAATGGAAGTGTTTCAAGGCACTTATGTTCAATCACTTTTTATTCAGTTTCCTCTGATACTTGGTACCTATTACTTCACAGAATATTTTAATATTCCTTATGACTGGGAAAGCATGCCAAGATGGTAAGTAGATGGATTTCACTTAAACAGCTCTGTGCAGTTAAGTACTTCAATAAATGCAGTGTTTCTCAAATCCTGTTATGATCAAGCACTGCACTTCAGCATATGGAAGATTTCTAAAAGTTCTGCACAGAACAATAATAATAAGTTTCTAGTAGTCAGTCATTTTCAAGCTGAACTTTCCCTATAAAGCTTTCTTATCATTACAAATTACAACTGATTTGCAAGAAAGAAAGATGTTAATGGATTAAGTAAATTTTATGTGAAATTAGTTTTAGAAAACTGCTACAATGATTTGTAAAAAGCAAGAATTGGGTTGGGAAACAAGGTGTCCTAATCTATTGTACTTGTCTTAACAAATGCTTCTCTTTCCCTGCCCCCCCCCCAGGTATGTGCTACTTTCTCAATGTTTTGGATGTGCTGTGATTGAGGATGCCTGGCATTATTTTCTGCATAGGCTGCTGCATCACAAGAGAATATATAAGTACATCCACAAAGTGCATCATGAGTTTGTGGTATGTATTGCCTTAAATTCTTGGTGAACGTTACCTAGTTAATGCTGTAATGCTGTGAGCATATAAAAGCACTAGGCATACATTAGCTATTCTTTTTGTAAAAAGGGAGAAGAGAAAACAGCACGCTTAGCAAACTGTTTTCATCAAGAGTTTAATATTGCTGTAGTTGGACAGACTTCGAAACTGATCGCTCAAAATAGTTTGCCATTTTAAATGCTGTGCTCTGAATATGTCTAACTTCTTATCCACCAATGACTGGCTATAAAATACAAAAATCCCTTCAGCTGGTTTTCCCTACAAATGATCTCTGTCTGTTATTCTGATAATGATTATGTAGGTTAGGAACATAACCCACTTTGACCTAGTATATTTGTAGTGAAGTCTAACCGGCACAATTCTCCAGTCTCCTGACTTACGTAGGTCCTATTAAACAGAGAGACCAGTGACTGAACTTTAGTCCTTCTGCATCACTGTGCTGTACAACTGAGCTAAAGCCCACCTGTAAGGTTTCAACCTAGATTGGTTGGTTTCCCTAACAACCACCCTCCAATTGCTTTTTTGAATAGCTAGCTTCTATTACTGAAATAACACTCAGTAGGGAGCATAGACTAAAGACTCAGAAAAACCTTCAGGGGGATCTGAAGGTGAGGAAAGCATCACTGTAAAGTTTTCATATAAGCTATGATTTGCTTCCATTCTGAATATTTTACAAGGGGTTCTTATTCTGTCGTCTTAAGTAATCATGGTTCTATGCTACCAGCTGAAATTATAGTGTTTCAGGGGCAGTCCAGAATTTGTAGTCATAAAGAGTTGGAGTGGAGCTAAACACAGTTCACTCATTCCTCTGTTACCTGTATGTAACATTAAAACCAGGATCTGAGTGCGAGAGGGGGAGAACTCTGCTAGAACAACCTGGCCATGCAGGAAGTACTGTTGTATCTCGGGTTACAAACACTTCACGTTACAGACTCTGCTAACCCGGAAGTAGTACCTCGGGTTAAAAACTATACCTCAGGATGAGAACAGAAACTGTGCGGCAGCGGCAGGAGGCCCCATTAGCTAAAGTGGTACCTCAGGTTAAGAACGGTTTCAGATTAAGAACGGACCTCCGGAACAAATTTAGTTCGTAACCCACTGTATACATTTCAGATTAGCCGTAAAGTATATTTATGTCTTGGCATACAAAAGAGCATTTTTTTCCCCTCTTCCTCCTTTCATAGGCTCCGTTTGGAATGCAAGCTGAATATGCACACCCTCTGGAAACCCTTATCCTTGGAGCTGGGTTTTTCATTGGAATAATGGTGTTTTGCAATCACTTGATTCTTCTGTGGGCATGGGTGATCTGTCGCTTGCTGGAGACCATTGACGTCCACAGGTAATCTACTTTCGCTGTTCAGTCTGGTCATATTCATCAGAAATATAGAGGGTTGTATTCAACAACGTGTTACTTGGGGTATTAGACCTAAATTAGTCATCTAGGTGTACTCTAAGTCACACTTCGTTGAATACCACCCAAAGTCACCAGGTAAAATCTATTCAAATGACTTTTTTTAAAAAAAATAAATCTATTAACTATTCAGGATTTCCTCTAAATGTCCTTATTCTAAGTGCATGTATTTAAGACTGAAATCCTGTGCATTCCTACGTTAGAGTAAATTTCAGTGAGTTTAGTAGAGCTTGCATAAACATTCAGAGGATTCCACTGCACGTGATTCTTTAGATGACAAGCTTACAAACTAATTTGATACTCTTTGAGCAAGTAGGGTCACCTTAAGTTCCACATAAAAGCTGCTCTATTAAGTATCATTAAGATGTAACTAGAAATGATAAAATATAACTGGAAACTATGCTACCTAAATGAGCCTTAGGCTCACATGCTCCCTCCTCCCCTCTATTTTCACATGTCAAAGATAGATACAGAGTGGCTGGGGCAACCCAGCCAGATGGGAAGGCTATAAATGAATGAATGAATGAATGAATTTATTTATTTCTTTATTTCAGATAGAAAGCTTTTTAATGTTAAGCTAACTAGAATTCATTGTGATGTCTGAACAAGTGAAACAAATTATGGTTAGAGAGAACATTTAACCATAATTTTTAGTTGATGGGAACAACATTTGGAGAGCCATAGGTTGGCCACCCTTGATTCATTGAATACTTTCCCAGCAAAATCTAGCTATGAATCCAGACTGTGTGTGTGTGTGTGTGTGTGTGTGGGAGAGAGAGAGAGAGAGAGCCCACATTATTCAACTATTTCATTCCTCTGTTTGGCATAGTGTTGTGGACACTTTGTGCTGAAATATTTACATGACCTCCTTGGAGGGACTATATATAAAGCATGTATCATCAGTACAGAAGTAAGAAACACATTTTAAATACCACATGACGGATGTTACTTCTACAGCTTCAGAAGTATGTTATCCAGTTGCATAGTCCAGGAACTTCAGGGGTTTTACCACCAAGTTAACATAGAAACTGGTAAATGTCTATGGTTGTAGTCCAATACCCACTTACAAGAGAGTAAGCCCCATTAAACTCAGTGGGACTTGCTTCTGATTTTAGCAATGCTTCACTTGAATGGAAATGCGAGCAGTATCTTCCGTATCTGTATTGTAAATTCTCCTCTCTCTCTCCTTAGCGGCTACGACATTCCTCTGAATCCATTGCATTTGGTGCCTTTCTATGCTGGGGCTCGATTCCATGACTTCCACCATATGAACTTCATTGGCAACTATGCTTCAACCTTCACGTGGTGGGATAAACTGTTTGGTACCGACTCGCAGTACAATTCTTACAGAGAGAAATTGGAGAAACAAGAGTGCATGGTGGAAAAGAAGACCAAATAAATTTCCCAGCAGAAATATAAGGAGGAGCACTTGACAAATGCACATAACTACCATGAACTTTTGGTTAAGCCTGGAAGATTTAACACCCTCTGCAAATTCAAAGCTATATGATGCTTTTAACTGGAGCCCAAGAACAAGCCTGCTGGGCCCTCGCTGTGTGCTAGAGGAAACGGCCCTATCTTCCTAAAATGAATGCATTTTCTATTTTATACGTAAGTGAAGCATATATATTTAAGTAAAGGTTAAAGATGAAGGCCACAAATTTGAATGTTTGTAAAGAACAATGTATCCATTTAGAATTCAAAGTTTGTAAAAGAATAAAGTTTCCATTAGAGTTGGATAGAACTGTTTGTAAAGTATTTGGATATATGAAGTTAAGTTTCTTCTGAAGCATACCCATAAAAACTGGTTTAATGAGCTGCTGAGTAGAACTTCCTTGGGAACAAAAATACCGGAAGAGGAGTATTTGCACATGTTAATATTTGTTTCCTTTTCAAAACCTTTCTTAGTCTGGTGTTAGAAAAATTTTAGATTTAAGAGAGGAAGCTTTTTTTCTCCCCTTCTTCTTAATCTGCTGGGATGAGCCTTTCTGTTCTCTTTTACTAAATTAACTGTGTCAATGTAGTTAATGTTCATAAATAAATATTTGCAAACTACTGAATGATTGCTATATTTTGCACTTGTCGTTGGCAAAAAAAAATTGTAAAGGTGGTCTGACATTTTCATGTTTACCATGCAACAAATAAATAGATATATATATTGGAATTTGAACTATGTTTTCCTGTTCCTTTATAACATTCAGAAAATGAGGGTGTTGACCATAACTAGTGTCTGAGAATATACATCAGGGATGAGAAACCTTAGGCCTGGGGATCAATTGTGCCTCTGCAGACCTCTTCATTTGGCCCTCTGGGCCCTCTCCACTCCCCTGGCCAATACCCTTCACAGACCCTGCTCTGTACCCTCTTGAAGGGCTTTTGCCTGCCTGGATTGTGTTCTTGAACTGTCATAATGTTGTTTGCTTGTCTGAATGGAGGGTATAAGCTTCTGACTTTGGTGCGGGTGGTATCCTGCTGTACAGAGGTAAGACACCCGTTTCTCCGCCCACCCATGAGCATGTTATTGCTTGAAGGTGGTCAATGAGCGAATGCAGCTCTTGTTTGACCACATGTCAGGTTTGTATGCAGGAGAGAGGTAAAAAACTACACAGGCATTTATTCAAACATCTTTGCTTTCCACTCTGCTGTTTCTAGAATTTTATTCTTCGGGGGAGAAAAAGTTTGCATGACAGTATTTCAGAAACAATCCTATATTCTCCGCTGCTCTTCTACTTTTTTGTATTAATAAAAGTAATAGATTTGTTTCCAGTTATTGTTCTCCATTATATTCATTATTTGTAATCAAAATCAATTTGCCTTACCGTACAACCTCCAGGTTTGGAAGTGACTCCTAACACTTAGTTTATTGCCCAAATTCCTTTAAACCTATGAAGTCTTTCTCGTGAACATTTGTGTTTACTAAACTTCATATGTTTACTGTATCTACCCTGTCTTATTTGTCTCAGTTTTCAAACAAGTCTCAATACTAGATGTGTATTTGAACAAAGAACAAATTCACATTTGCATGTTCTGTGTTTTTTCTTCTCTGTGCTTGCTTTGGGGATTTCCTTGGTCTGTTATACTTCACTCTGACCAGAAGATGGTGCATAATACTTCTTGGCATCATTATGTGTGTTCTAGTTCCCCCCCCGCCCCCCCAGATTTTCAGTATTTCCCCCTCTGCAGTATTGTTCAATCGATCAAGCACCTTAGTGACATATTTCACATTCACACAAAGTGCCTAATTCTTCTATTGCAGAGAACTACTTCCCTTCAAAACAAATTATTTGATTATTTGTGCTCATAATGCTCTCTGGCCACTCACACACAAATCTGTTTTCAGTCATGTTTGTGCCTGCAAACGTTTTGAGGGCAGTCACACCATTTCATTTCCAATTAGTGCATAGCCCATAACTTTCTGCTGAAATCCTGTAACTTTTTACGGCACAAATGTTCTTGCTTATCTTTCTGCCCAATGCACAAATATAAGTGGTACATAGGCAAGGCAAAGATTAAATGCCCTGAGGGTGAGTTGCAATGTTAAGTGCAAGCAGAAACATTGATCCAAGAAGCTTCCCAGCCATTACATCTTCCTTTTGAAGAGTGGTGCAGGCACAAATCTCAGTGTGGTGAATAACAGGCATTTCTGCTCTGGGCAAGCAAAGGGCACTGCTATACAGTGGGCTGGGTCTGTGAGGTTCATTTATGTCAATGCTGGCATCTCCATGTCCTTGAGGGCAAAGGTGTTGGCTCACGTCTCCAACTTCCTCTCACGTGCCTCTGCTGGAGGGAGGCTCCTTCCTGTCAGGAGGGGCTGGGAGTGATGACAGCAGCCTTTCAGGAGACGCTGAGTAGAGGCGTCTGACATCACAAGGTGGGACATCTCTCTAACAGCCTGCTTGTACCTTCTCCAGGATCCAGCTCCTGACTTTTTTAATCACAAGCCAGCTCCACCAGCTCTGACCTTTCTTGAGCCCTTGACCTTCATCCTGCTCAGGCACTTCCCTGGGTCACCCAGCTCTGACTGCCTGATCCATTCCCCCACCTCTTTGGGATCTGCCAATCCCCTCCATGGCATACCCATGGGGCTTGTGAAAGCCCTGGTGACATGAGGAAGCAATGTGGGGTAAACTGCCTGGGGAAACCTAGCCAGATGGGTGGGGGTATAAATAATAAAATTATTATTAATCAGTGCTTTTTTTCCAGGGGGTACTTTCAGTACCAGTATCTCCTTTTTTGTTGTTAAAAAGTGTGGCACTTACTGTAACTTCATGGTGAGTCCCGGCGCCTATTTTTCTAGAAAAAAGCACTTATTATTAATTCATTATATTATTATTGACCTGTGGTGCTGCTGGGGCTTCAAGTCACACGTGAATTTGAACTAATAAGCCAGTTCTTTGGCGACAGGTTTCCAGCCTGAATGTACTTGGGTGGGCTAGTAAGAGCTAAAAAGAAATCAATAAAGACTCCTCCCACCTTCTCTCCAAAAAGAGAAATGTGCTCACACACATGCCAAAGAGATCCTAGGAGAGATTGGCTCAAATAAATAGGAATTCAGTTCCATTCCTTTCCTTTTCAGTTCAGTGTGCGTGTGTGTTTTTATAGAAACCGCATTGTTGTTGCATAGGATGCCATGGGAATATGATTAGCTTGTATATTCTGGCACACAATATGCTATTCTAGTGATTCCCCAACCCCTCTCCCTTCTTAGGTTCTGGGGTGCATGACGAATATTTACATCTTCTGGAGCTGGGTTTTTAACTACAACCACAGTCACTCATAATCATGTTAAGCACAGGAAATGCCATGAGTGGTGCAGAATCCTCTTTTTTGCTTGATAGCAATTACTTCATCGTACTTGGAAACATACGGCTACCAAGCAGTATCTGGAAATATATTTGACACTCAAACAATTTAAAAAAAGAAATGCAAATATGCATTTTGGTCATTCCTTCTAGGCTGCAGGAAACCCATCAACCAAAACCGATGGGGTTCATCTGGTCCCCTCACTCCATTTTTTTGGGCGTGGATGCTCTGTAATTGTACATGTTTTTCATGAACCTTCGGCCATTGCGGGGGGGGGGGAGTGTTTGTTATGTGTTTGACTGATTCTGCTGAATATTTACTACACCCCCTGCACACACTTTATCTGAGCCACATTAAACACTGTGGGAATTACTTTCGAATAAATGTGCACTGTTCATTTATCTTTCTGCTGTTTCAGTTATTTTTATTGCATTTGATTGTTTTGCATAATTAACTAATTAATTAATCACCCTTTACCCTAAGATCCCAGGGTGGGTTACAACAATTAAAACACAATGTTAAAAACACTGCCTTTTGTTGATCCGCTTTATACGTTTATTTCAAACAGAAATGTAGTGTTTACAAGTTTTAAAAAATTAGTCCACACCGATGCTATATTTGTCATTCATTGAGCCCTTGCACAATGGGAAATTAGCCACAAAAAATGCAAAGAAAAGCAGGTGAAAGTTTGTGGGGATCTAAGATGTTCCTGCGATGCTCTCTGCTCCAAGCCACTATTGCTCTTAACCACCTTCAAATAACCTCCCATCACCACTAAGTGACTGAATTTACATACCTCCTTTCTGCCAAGGCACCCAAAGCAGTTCACAATTAAAATACTAAAACGAGAACATGATATAAAATGAAGACTGACAGAGTCCACTACTGCCAACTGGGAGCTGATGTGCTCACTGGCCTGGCCTCCCTTGCCGCTGCTCTCCTTCAGGTCCTGCAGCAGCCCCATGCAAAAAGGTAAAGGGACCCCTGACCATTAGGTCCAGTCGTGACCGACTCTGGGGTTGCAGCGATCATCTCGCTTTATTGGCCAAGGGAGCCGGCGTACAGCTTCTGGGTCATGTGGCCAGCATGACTCAGCCGCTTCTGGCGAACCAGAGCAGTGCACGGAAACGCCGTTTACCTTCCCGCCGGAGCGGTATTTATCTACTTGCACTTTGACATGCTTTCAAACTGCTAGGTTGGCAGGAGCAGGGACCAAGCAACAGGAGCTGACCCCGTTGTGGGGATTCGAACTGCCAACCTTCTGATCGGCAAGTCCTAGGCTCTGTGGTTTAACCCACAGCGCCACCCATGTCCCGCCCCATGAAAAGGTCATCATTAATATGCCTAGCTCCTATATACATCCCTGTTTTCCCCAAACTGATGTACAGCCAGGGAAATGAAGTTCTAATGCAAACTTCAAACTGACGATGTTCCTGGGTGCTTAAAAGACGAAGGAAACAATTTTTTGCATGCATTTTTAAAAAGGTATAGAGATGTATTTAAGCCATTGATAGCATTCACCCCACCATTGGGCAGAGTGAGGCAATTGGCTCAAGTGACAGTGGTAGCCCATCAGCCATTCCTTCTGGCCCCCTGGACATTCCACTCTGTTGGAAATCAGAGCTATGGGTGGGCTACAAGCCTGTCAAGCACCCGCTAAGTGAGCACTAAAGGGCACTACCCTGTAAGTGCAAAAGTAAGATTCAGCTGCCAGTCCAATTTCCTTTAGGTGGAAGTGGGTTGGATAGAGGGCCATCTTGTTCTTTGCCTCAGGCAGCAAAATATATTGGAACTGGCAAAACAGGTAGATGAGGACAGAGCATGCTAAGAGGCCATGCACTGTTGACTGCCTGGGAAAGTGAGAAGACTGGAATGGAGTGGACTTTTGAGGAAGAGGGTATGGTTGTCTGACAAGAACAGTGAACAGGAACACACCCCACAGCAATGTTTTGTTGCATTGCAGCATAATAAGGTATGACTCTTCAGATTAATTACCTCCCACGGAGTAACAATAAGAGACAGTGAATGAACATTGAGCAAGGTTCTGGTGAAAATAATTCTGCCCCTCCCCTGCCATGGCCTTAGGCAATCTTCTTAATCCTTCGCCCAGGAGGAAAAAGCAGCCGCACCCTCCTTTTCAGCAGGCCACAGTGGTTGGAGATTTCAGGGGAGGAGGGAGTCGTGACAATGAACAGGGGCCACAACTGCTGCTCGTATTTTGTTAGCTAAAAAGTGGAAAACCCAAGAATTGCCAACAATAGAAGAAAGGCAGATGAAGATGATGGATTTTTCGGAGGTAGCCGACCTAACCAGAAGAGTCCGCGACCAGAAGGAGGAGGAGTATCAGGAAGAGTGGAATAAATTGAATGATTATTTAGTTAAATTTGTTAAGTTAAACTAACTGAAAATAGCTTGCAGATACTTAATGGGCAAGGGTGCTGTTTATGTTAAGTGATGAATTAATATGTTTAATTCCATAAGGTGAAGATCTAAGGATGTAATGTTTAAGTTAAATTTCATAAAAATTGGGATTTGGAAAACCGTTAAAAGGACATGCAATGAAATTCAACCAAGGGGAAGCGAGGAAGTCACTTAACAAAGTTAATAACAGTAATTTTCAATAAGGCTATGATTTATGTTTGTTTGTCTTGTGTGTGTGTGTGTTTGTTTGTTTGTTTATAATATTGTGAAAACTAATAAAAAAAAATTGGGGGGGGATTAAAACACACACACAGGAAAAACAAGAGAAAAATAATGTTTGGAATGACAACAGGAAAATAAAACACAGACATGTGTCAATGTCAAAATTTAAACTTGGAAAATTACAACTTATGGTTAAACCAAATTACAACGAGCAGTTTCTCTCTACAGCAGAGGTACTAGCAGGAAAGTATGTTTTAGGGAGCTTAAATCTAAAGGTTCAGTAAAGTCTGGTGTACCTCACGTTCCAGAAGATGATTTGCTCTTGTGGTAGTTAGAAGTCTGGCAACTCCTTCAAGTAGCTGATCTGTTGTGGAGGCTGTGAATGCCACGGGGCTGCACATCTCCTACCTGCCCCGTAGAATCCTGCTGTTTGTGAAATAAGTAGTGGCACCACTTCACATAAGTGATGGGTTCATTCCATCTGAGTCATGGATGCCAGTAAAAGCTGAGTCTGTAAAACCTGAAAATCATTCGTTCCAATCTGAAATCAGGATGGGTGTGTGATCCTCTGCCTCATTACAGTCCAGATATATTAAACCACTAAACGCTACTGCATGTTGGAATAAATACTAGTGGTCATGGAAAACCAACACCGTGTGGCTGAAAGCAGGCATTTCGCTTCATCTCCTTAAAAATAATCCACTTCTAACTACAACACAAGCAATACTGCCTGCTTGTAGACTGGAGTGTGTGGTTTCTAACAGCTTGGTTGTGCTTTGCACGCCTCAAATAGCCCTGTGTAAGTCAGGCTCTGACATTTGAGAAGTCTGAAGGTTGTCATGAGGAACTAGTCCAGGGATCTGCAACCTTTAAGACAAAAAGAGCCACTTGGACCCGTTTCCGAAGAAAAAAAAACTTGGAGCCGCAAAACTCATCATTATAAAAATAACTTTTTTGTCACTTTTTTATTATTTCTTTGTTTGACCCCTCAGAATTACTCCTCCTCATAGAAATAAACGTTAAATTAACAAGTTACCTTTTTGTGTGTGTGTGTTCTTCACTCCCCTTCAAAACAGTGACCAGCGTACATGCCCCCTTTCAATGCAGTGACCAGCGTACATGCCCCTTACAATGTAGCAGGCGGGAAGGTGACGTCGGGACGGTGCGTGACTAACGCACGCACCGCCCCCATGCGACGTCACAGCCAGTACAGCGCCCGCCACAGTGGGGAGTGTCGGGGTGCACAATGCGCCTCCTCCCCTCGCTGGTATCCGCCCCGGAGCCGCAGCAAAGGTGTAAAAGAGCCACATGCGGCTCCAGAGCCGTGGGTTGCTGACCCCTGAACTAGTCCATCGTCAGTGCTGGATTTACATATAAGCTAAATAAGCTATAGTTTAGGGCCCCACTCTGTTGGGAGCCCCCCAAAAAAATTAAAGGAAAAAAACCTGGATGTACATTTCCAAAATATAAGATAAAAAACAAACAAAATAAAACCTACATACAGCAACAGTGTTTTGTGTTGTGCAGGCTCCTATGATGTAAATAATGGGCTCTGCCTGCTAGCCTGCTCCCTAAATTATCACTGATTTACTTATTTCTATATCAATTACTTTGATAAAATACATATTTTGTTATGTGCAAATGGCGTTAGATACCTATTAGGTCCATAAATTACCATATAGCATATATTCAACACAAAAAACAGTGACAATTTGTTGTTGACAAAGGACAGCTGGACATATAAAGGGCCCCATTACCTTCAGTAGCTTAGGGCCTTATGAAGCCTAAATCTAGCCCTGTCCATCATCCTGTTCTCACGCTGGCCAACCAGATGTCTGTGGGAAACCCACAAGCAGGAAGCACGCACAAGATTGCTCTCCCCTCCTGAAGTTTCCAGAAACTGGTTTTCAGAAGTATTACTGCCTCTGAAAGAAAGGCAAAGCAAGCATGAGGGGATTGTGGTCTCCATTTCATAACACAAGCACTGGAAAGACCCACAAATAGAAAAGAATATACTTTTAATGTCCGCAAGTAAATAAATAAAAAAGAGGCAATGAACAATATGCAAAGGACCTCTTTGTTCCTCTTTAATATGTCTTTAGAGTATTTTTCATACTTTCTGTGGTCTGTGGTCTGATACATGAGGGTCCCTTATTGCACATTGTGTGGCATTAAATGCTTTGCTTTAGCTGCCCCAGGGTTTGTTTTTAATGAAAGCCAAGCACAGGAGCAGCCTAATCTAGATTAGGACCACAGTCCACAAGAAGGAGAAGTTTAGCTCTTCCTTCTCCCCCCGCAATCCCTATACTGTATTAACCTTTTAGGTTGCAAACCTGTACCTGCTTACCAGGGAATAAGCACCATTAATCTCTGTGAAACTCATATGTATAGGATTGTGCTGTTTTTAAAGATTGTTGCTGCTTCACTGATATCTTACAATTATTTATTAAAATTGTGAACTGCTCTTCATATTTTATAGAAATAGAGTGATTGCCTGCCTTGCATGTAGAACACTCCATATTCAATAGTTGTCATTGTGTAGACAGTAATGAGATTGATGGACTAGTTTTTCCAGTCCATTAATATTTCTGGGTGGGAAATTCAGGTTGCTTTGTTACAGTTGCTTTGAAGCTCTTGCGCAACAAACCACCTTTCCCCGCAAAATTGGATGTATGTATGTATGTATGTGTGTGTGTGTGTATATCTATTGTTGTTGTTTAGTCATTTAGTCATGTCCGACTGTTCATGACCCCATGGACCAGAGCACGCCAGGCACCCCTGTCTTCCACTGCCTCCCACAGCTTGGTCAAACTCATGCTGGTAGCTTCGAGAACACTGTCCAACTATCTCGTCCTCTGTCGTCCCCTTCTCCTTGTACCCTCCATCTTTCCCAACATCAGGGTCTTTTCCAGGGTATCTTCTCTTCTCATGAAGTGGCCAAAGTATTGGAGCCTCAGCTTCAGGATCTGTCCTTCCAGTGAGCACTCAGGGCTGATTTCCTTAAGAATGGATAGGTTTGATCTTCTTGCAGTCCATAGGACTCTCAAGAGTCTCCTCCAGCAGCATAATACATATATATGTATACATACATACACACACACATATATATGTATACATGTATATGTATATGTATATGTATATGCATATGTCTATGTCTATGTATATGTATGTGTTTGCAATAAGGATAGGAAAATCCAACAGAAAGGGCAGGATAACGCTTGAAGCAATGTCATCTCATTTGTTTTAACTGTTCGGAATATTGCATTTTAAAAATTGTTGTAACTTGCCCTGAAACTTCATGGCGAAGGATGGACAACAATTCAAATAAGTAATATCAAAGAACGTCCCTGCAAACTTCATATGAACAAACCAGAATGCTCAGTAACCAGGTAGTCTGGAAGTGACCTTGGAGAGTAGGGCAGTTTCCTATGAGTGTAAATATAGGCTGAATTGCCACATGTATAAAAAAAATGCTGTGAACATGCTTTTTTTTTAAAAAAAAAAGGTTTAAAATACTGTACTGTATACCTGTACAGTATATGTAATTTGGCATTAGCTTACCATCGCCATCTGGTGTCACGTTTGTATAATGCACTTAAAACACACCTAAAATGTTTTATCTGCAGCTGTACAGCTGATTACTCAACAAACATGTGAAACGAACAATGACTTTTGAGCATGGGAAAACAGCAGAACCTTGTGGGATGTTAAAGCTTCCGGGGTGGCGCCATCGGTAATGGCGGATTCCCTCTGATCCGGAGGGGCTGGCTCCACGGAAAACGGGTCTGTTCCGCTACGGCGAAGCGGGGACCCTTTAAAAAAATCACAGGCGGATGAAGCCTGTGACCATGGGACTCGGCGGGCACCATTTGCACCCCCCCAACTTGTAAAGGAACCCAATTACAGGCTCCGGAGCGAAGAGGGGCTAGTAGCGCGGTGCTGAGAGTCAACTGCTTCTTCCGTGGAGCGAAGCCGCACAGCCGTTGCCGGAGAGCGCTACCTTTTTCCTGGGACAATTTGGCTATAAAAACAACTACCCGTGAGCAGATCAAATTTGGACAATTGGACTTTAAACAACGATCTGTGAGTAGAACGGAAAATTGGATTAAGAAATTCCTCTTAATTTGGCACTGAAGCGGGAAGGTCTAAACAGGAAGTCAGCCTTCCGTTTCTTGTAGATAGATTAAAGCAAAGACATGGCAAACTAGAGTTTAGAAAATCGTTTGTAAAGGATCAACTTTCATCATCTAAAACTACTGAACCCCCTTCGGAAGCAGGAGAAGAGGGGGGATTTTTTCCGGATTGTTTAAACCTGCAGAAGAGAGTGTAAAGAAAAGTAATTTTCCACCGTCTTGAACCTGGGAGCGGGGTGTCAGGACAGATGTTTTTGGGAAGTTCATTGACTATAGACAAATGTTTTTGACAGATGGTTAAAAGAAGAGAAACAAAGTGATTCCATTGTTCTCTTTCGCATTTTAAAGGAACAAATACTGACAAAATATCTGAAAAAGGAAACTTTGTTGTTAGATCTGCTGTTAAAAAAAGAAAAGAAAAGAGATTGATACAAATAGAAGTTCTTCCCCTAGAGGGAGCTTGTGAAACTGTTATTAAATTTGAACTGGGGAGCTTCGTAGCTGCAAACAGATTAAGATCGTGGGAACAGACTTCTGACCTTGCATAACAATGTATTCAGAGGCTCTGGTGCGTGCTTTCTGCAAGACAAGTGCTTTATTGGAACAGTTACATGAGAAGACGGATTTGATGACTGTTGCGATTAGAAATTTTGGACAGGTAGTGGGTATCTATATAGAACCCACCCAGGAATCAACTCAGGAGTGTGCTCTGACAGATCAGATGAGGGAGGAGGTTGTTGTTGGACCTCGGGTGGCAGAGATGGAGGGAGCTGTGGCCCAGCAGGAACATGAGTTGTTGGATTTGACAAATGAACTTGGAAAAAGCCAGATTTGGAGAGATAGAGTTTTGTTGGGCTTGGAGATGGGGGGCTGGATAGACCCCCCTATGCAGGGATGTCTTGACTTTTCAAGTCTGGCAATGGGCCGTGAGGAGTTTGGGGTTGTGGGGGTCCTCAACTCTGGAGGGACCTTGAAACATGCTTTTAAATACCACATGGAGTTCAGTGTGGACTATGGAAAAGGGGCTGATCTGTCGAGAAGGGACAAAAATACTGTCAAGTTGGAGTTTCCACGAGTGAAAGGACCAGGAGACAAAGTAAAGTACAGGTATAAATATGAAGAAGATCTGCGGAAGGGACATGGAAGAGACTTAAGGGCCTCGGACATAAGATTACCAGGTTAATGAACTAGATGGATGGGATAGAAAGGACTGACAAAACCCGGGACCAGGAGGAAGAGACGTTGGATGAAGATTGGAAGAAAGTTTTAAATTTTTTTTATTTAGGATTGTTTTGTAAAATTAATGAGTATTAGAAAAATGTTCGAACGAAACTATTTGGCTTTAGCAGAAATGTTAAAAAGAACTATGCAAGAATATGTTATGGTTATGAGAAATTGGTATAAATAAGATTTAAGTTTTAAGTTTTAGGGTCTTTTATAGCAAGATAAGGTTAAAATAGATTAAGGTAATTTAATGACAGAATATTATGAAAAATGGGAAGGATTTGCTGTGATAATTAAAAACTGGAATACAAAAAAGGGAGGTGTGAGGAGGTCGATGAAATAAGGCAATGACAGTTAAGGATTTGGGAATATTGGATCTGTTTTTAAATGTTTGTGGTTTACATTTGTTTTTTGATTTTGATGTGTTATGTGTTTTGTTTTTGTTTTTTGATTTTGATTTTTATCGAGTTGTATTGTTTGATTGCTGTTTGCTTTTCCCTGGTTTTTTCTTCTTCTTTGTCTCTTTGTTTTTTCTGTAATTTTAAAATGCTTAATAAATATCATCTTAAAAAAAATAAAAATAAAAATAAAGCCCAGTCGCACCCTGATTGTGGCATGCATGGCCAACCTGAATAAAATATGGCGTGTCCCGTCCCCCCGCATAATCAATCACATGATACAGTGCACACACACCATTTGAATAGCAATGGTCATTAACTGGGGGGGAGGGAGGGAGGTGCCAGGGCCAGATTTAGGTTTGATGAGCCCCTAAGCTACTGAAGGTAATGGGGCCCTTTATATGCCCAGCTGTCCTTTGTCAACAACAAATTATCGCTGTATTTTGTGTTGAATATATGCTATACGGTAATTTATGGACCTAATAGGTATCTAAAGCCATTTGCACATAACAAAATATGCATTTTATCAAAGTAATTGTTGAACTGAAATACAATTAAGAAGTATATTGATATTGAAATAATTATTAAGTTCTAACTTACAATGATTTTTTATTCAAAACAATTATTTTATTTTTATTTTTTTCTTATATTTTGGAAATGTACATCCAGTTGTTTTTCCCTTGAATTTTTTTTGAGGGGGCCGCAAGAGAGTGGGGCCCTAAGCTACAGCTTGTTTAGCTCATACGTAAATCCGGCACTGGCAGGTCCCCTCAAATATTTTATTGTAGGGGGTGGAGGCGGCAAAGCGACCTCGGCCTCGAAGAGTTGGCTCCTAGGGTGGCACACGTTTTGGCAGGCAGGCATACATGCACTTCATCCTATGGAGAGGATTGGGGCATGTGCAGAGGGTCCTGAGAGGCGCACCCTCCCGCACCTCTTGACGCGCGCGAGGAAGATTCTGGCGCCAAACCTGCAGGGCGCTTGGCCCTGGCCAATCGCGACGACTATGGGGGAAGCGGCCCGGGCGCCCCCAGGGCGCTGCCAGGTGGACGGGGCGGCGCGCGCGCGCGCGCGTGGCGGCACGTCACACCTTCGCCTCCCCCGCGCGCGGCAGTGGTACATCCTTGCGTCTCCCCCCGGCGGCTGCGGCGCGAGTAGTGCAGTCGGCGGCGCGAGCGCTCTCCCTGGACGGAGCAGGTTTCTCCGCCTGCGGGAGGTGGAGGCGAGCGCAGAGGGAGCGCAGCCCGCGTCGACGCAGCACGTCAAGGCAGCAGCTGAGCGAAGAAGAAGCAGAAGCCCGCATTGCCAGTCCTTCTTCTCCGTCAGGCATGGCGCGGCGAGGTGGGCTCTGGGCGCTGCTGCTGGCGGCGCTCTGCGGCGCGCTGGGCGCCTTCGCCTTGCGGCAGCCGGGCTCCGAGGCGGAGCAGCCCGAAGCGGCGGCGGGCGGCGGCTCGGCGAACCGGCGTCGGCGCCTCAGCCAGGAGGACGGCATCTCCTTCGAGTACCACCGCTACCCGGAGATGCGCGAGGCGATGGTCTCGGTGTGGCTGCAGTGCTCGTCCATCAGCAGGATCTACACCGTGGGCCGCAGCTCCGAGGGCAGGGAGCTGCTGGTCATCGAGCTCTCCGACAACCCGGGCGAGCACGAGCCTGGTAAGGGAAGCCCCTGACGCAGCCCCCCCCAGGTAGTGCTGGGTTGGGGGTGTCCTGGATGTCTCCTCTTTCCTCCACCCCACCGCCCCCATTTTTTCTTTTGCTTTCTCAGGTGGAATAAACAACCTCTCTTCCTTGCAAATTCCTGCCTTGTTTCTCAGCATTGAGGTCACCGCGATCCCCTTGATGGCGGTGGGTCTATTTCGGGGATCATGAGCTCATGCAGGAAGGAGAGTTAGGAGACCTTTGAAATCCTGGCCATGGTGACCCCCTTTTATGGCAGAGAGAGTACAATGTGCTGTGTTCCCAGTATGGTACAATGTGCTGTGTTCCCAGTACGGTACAATGTGCTGTGTTCCCAGTACAGTTACGTGCGTGCGCAGACCTGGAAACGCATGCAACGGATGCTATGGTGATAATGATAATCTTTCCTGGTAACCAGGCTTTGAGGATCTCTGCCTACACCTTCGCAGCCATGATTTTGACTCGGCTTAGTGGGCTGGCTGAGCTGCTTGTGTCATGGCAGAGGCCACGTGCGACGCATTTCACCGTGGAATGACTTTGGATGGGCAGCTGAAACCTTCCTGGTTTAAGCGAATTAGTTGGGAAAAGGATTCATCTGTGCCAGCCTTATTGGAGGGGGAAGAGAAGCAGGTAGAGAGCCATTTGGTGGGATGGTTTCTTATAGACTTGAATCTCCAGATGCCATTGAAGCTGGCCCTCCCATAATCTTCCACCACTGGCCATGCTAGTTGGGATTGATGGGAACTGGAGTCTTAACTACACCTAGAGAGCCACAGGTTTCCCATCCCTGTTATAGATCAAGGTCAGGTTGCATAGGAAGGCCTCTGTCTTCAATCTTTAAAGAGCCAGTAGCCATTGATGGAAAGAAAGCCGTATATGTATCATGACTTGGTGGAGACTAGCTCCATCTTTTTCTGTCTCTCTCTTCACACATGCTTCCGCATGCACGCACGCACACACACAATGTTAAAAGAGTAACACGGTTCCTCCTATTCAGAGAAATGCTTCTCCACAGCAGCTGCTCGATGCTGCTGTAGTAGTAGCTAAAATTTCTCTGAATACATGAATCGGTCAAATAATACCGATAATACCCATGCTGGTGCTGCCAGGTTCCATGGTGGCACACAGTGGCCAACAATATTTACCATACAGTCTGGCTGGTAAGGAAATAGGTTCACACAAAAAATTATTTATTTGCTTAGTGATTTGTAGCCTGTTTTTCTGTCAAAACAATTCACAAAGTGGAACAGAGTGACAGAATTGTGACATCCTCCTGCCACTTCAAGATATTTCCTTTTTTAGCGACAACCATACGCACTGAAATAGTAACCTCTCTCTCCCATCTGCCAGTAGACTGTGGGTGCCTTGAGACAGGAGGGAGACCTGCCTGCAGCCCGATGTGGCACTACATGCTTTTGTTTACTAGCTCAGTTCTTTATTATTTAAATACTTTCATTTAATTAAATAATTTCTATACCACTTTTCATTAAAACACAAAAACAAATATCAAAGTGGTTTACAACCTAAGAAAACATTACGGATGAAGATCAAGTATAAAACACACATTTTTTAAATCAGCATAATTAACAGGAAAGTATGATATTCTTTTAAACATCAGAACATTACAGATAAAAATCAAATACAAAAACACAATAAACTCTCCAAAACAGCACCACTAGTAGCTAAACAAAATAACTGAGATAAGGAGCTGCACCCATCCACAGTGATGCCTCCCAAATGCATCCTTAGCAGTCTTCCAAATCAAAGCCTCACATTAGTGCATTCCAACCAAGCATACAGATAATTAATCCCCAGTCAAAAAGTTATTAAAAAGTGAACGTTTGGTCTACAAAAATACATGGCAGAATTAAGCATAATTTACAACCAGCTCATTCATTCTAAGGCAATGTAGTGTCATATAACTAGCAACAAAACTACTCCCATCTAGACGCCCACCCTCATAGGGTTGTATTCTATACCGGTTCAGTGTCTCACACTGAGTGGTACTGAACAACTTTGAAATGAACAAAAGCATTATAACTCATATTCTCACTTCAGACAGCAAAAACTACCCAACAAGGCTGGCTCAAGACATTTTGGTGCCTGGGGCAAACCACAAAATGGCACCTCCCTCCCCACGAAGGAAGAAGTGGGGAGTTAAGATCTACTGTACATCCAAATCTGCTACCCTATGGGTTCTGCCACCTGAGGCAGTCACTTCACTTTGCCTCATGGGTGGGCCAGTCCTCCTACCCAATATTACATCACTTCTTTCTTCTACTTGGATAATGCATTCCACAGCACAAACTTAAAGAGGTTGGTGCCCTCATGCAAACTCCAAAAGGTTTGCACTGTAGTGTGGCAGCAAGCCAGGTAGCCATAGATGTTTTTCTATCCTCCTTCTGGAATCAGCAATGAAGTGCTGGCTGGTTGGCATCTAGCAACAGAGTGGGCAAGCAGATGGAATGGCCCAGGAGCTCTCACTAGCAGCAGCAGTAAAAAAAAATATCAGAGCAGGTCAGCATCCTATTAGTTGTTGAAAACAGAGATAGCTGCAAATATCAAAGCTGCATGAATCAACACATGGGGCAACAGGCAATATAGCAATAGAAGTATAATGATGAGATACCATATGAATGAAAACATTTCCATTTGCCATAGCCTTTGCTGTCTATTACTGTCTGCCACGGTAGAATGTGGACTTTCTGACCACTTGAATGTTATTTATTGTATTTAATGTTTTCAGTGGCTTTACATATTCTGCATTGTATTTTCTTATTTGCTTTGAGGTGCCAGCATAACAGGTGGGATATAATTATTTAATCAGTAAATAATGAACATACAATTATCATAAGTCAGACCTGCCAAACGAATATCTAGACCTTTGAGAGCATCAAAAGATTCTGATGATAGATGCATACACCAGGCAACAGCGATGATGAATTCTAGAATATCTCTCTTACTGCAAGATAGAGTAAATGATAGAATGACACTCAGGATTATACATTGACTGATGAGCACCAGCTGTATAAGAATAAATCGAGTTAATTAGGAAATCATTGTATAATAATGGATAACTTGCTCTGTTTTAAAAGCCCTAGAACACTGGGAAACCAGTGTGGACTTCTTCCTTGCTTGTACCCTTGAATTATGCCAAGGTTCTGGATTAGGTTCTGTTCACTTCAAGGGGACTTCACAGTTTATAGATGACCTTATTTGTTGGCCACACACAATGTCCTGGTTTGCAGCTTTCTTTTGAAAAGCTTGCTGAGCTCTTGGGGATGGGAAGCTTGAGGTTAATTGTTCTGCTCCTTTTATGATTTTTCATGACAGCAGTTCTGTGAGAGCCAGTGCTTAGAGTCTGTATGGAGCATGACATATGACAAGGCAGGGTTCGTCTTCTTGACTTCAGATCTATTATCCCTCAAACTAGTATTTCAAAGGGAAGCTGCCCATTGGCTACTGTGTCGCTTTTAGGAGAGGACAGTTTTTATGATGTCCATAGATGGAAATGCTGGGTCATGTTAACAATATTTGTGAATGGTGAAAATTGTGTTAGGCTGCAGTCTTGTATCTATTTATTTGGAAATAAATCCTATCGAACTCCATGGGGCTTATTTTTGAGTAGACATGTACGGGATTGCACTGTTAATGCGTATGTTAATGTGTGAAACTTATTATGTAGTAAGTCTGGGATGGGAGTTGGAATATCATTCTTGTTGAAGCAGTGCTCCTGCTGTCTTTGTCGTCAGCAAGTTGCCTGCTGACATACTGTAATTGTATTGTACTGAAGTACATGGACATATGGAGGCTGAAAAATCTTGGCTGTGATGGGTCTGACATTAAAAAAGAAGAAGCACAACAGAATGTTTTATATTTAGCATTCCTGTTAAAGCAACCAAACATGTCCCATAATCTAAAAGATAAAAAGAGGTTCAGCACTTTCTAAAATTAGTAAACAAGTGCTTTTAACTATAAACTAAGATTTAGGCTTGCAATATATCAGGAAATAGGAATAAAAAACAAAATAAAATGGATTATACAGCCTCCATGGTATCATCAATGGTACTGATGGACACTTCTCAAAGAACTAATACTATGGCACTAGTCTGCATAAATTAGAGCAAGACTCAGAAGCTGCTCTGCTGCTTTTTTGTGGTAAAGCTACAGAATGTACCAATTGTCCTTCATTGCCTGGAAAACCCAAGTCTTCAAAAGTTTTCTTTTCGTTCTTCCTAGGAAAACCTTGGCTCGCCTCAAGATTCAGCCACATGTTCTGTCAAGCCAAAATAGTTCTTAGCTGCTAGCACGGCTTAATCTTTGTTTGGTTGTGTGTGCCTTTGAAAATTCCCAAAGCTGTACCCCTTCTAAGCTGAGCAACAGAATGATTTGACTTTTTAATTTGCCAAAGCTTTATTTTTATTAGAAACTCAGTGTCTTTATACCAAGAGATCAGTGAATTAACCTTGGGTTTTGTGAATAGAGGCTTGATTGTGAGAACTCCCAAATCTATTGGGAGAACAGTGTGGGAGTGATGAATACTGCAAGTGTCAAGAGCTAAGGAAGACATTGAAGGGAAGGAAAAGATCATGAAGAAAACCTGCTTGGGACCATATGTTTGTGAAACATGCACACCATGTAAGGATGAAAGGGGGGGGGGCTGTTTCAAGTATGTGTGTATGCGCACACACATATTTAAAGGGAAATATTCCACAAAACAACTTATAACATGTTTAAAAAGACAAATCCAGGCTTATAAAGCTGTTTAGAAACATACAGTAAAACAATAAAATCAATGCTCAGCAACAGCAGCAATGACTTATCCACACTCCACTAAACAACCTCCATTTAGGACCCTTCCCTGCCCATTTTATCCCCCCCCCCCTTGAATTTTTGATAGTATTTCAAATATACATTCCAAGATGTCACTGGTATCTAGTCTGGATGTTATACAAAACAGAAAAGGCAGTGGTCTGTGACTCATATTTCTGCTATTCTCACCCCTGCTGAAATTATATGAAGTATGAACATGTGGGTCTTGTCTCTGAGGAGTTCTATAGGGGTTGTGTCCATGAAGGTTGGAGCCCCCCCCCAAAAAAGTAAGAAAGGTATCATAACAAGGCACTACTTCATCACAGGCTGAATGCAGTTTATGCAGAAGACTTAGCTGCATTGAAATAATTTCTGTACATTAAAGTGTTTCAGCTTGTCAATTAACCATCGTACAATCATGTTAAAAACCTGTGTCGTTGTGGGTTCCTCGTTGTACTCAACATTTCCAGGTTACTTGTTCTACATGATTTTGCACTTTGGGGGCATCGCACCATATTTTGGAGCTTAGGAAGTGGCTAAGAATTATGTTGCATGTTAAGAGCCTAGCAATCCCTTTGCTAGCCCAAACCATGGCAGTTTCAAAAGATTTCCGCCAGCACAAGAATTGGGTCAGCCTAGGTCTCCATCCAAAAACATGGAAATGGCATTTGAACCTGAGGGGAGATTGCCACTTTGAAGGTAAGATTTGAACCTGGGACTGTCACTTACCAGAGAAGATAGCTTGTAGATGCAACTACAGTAGTACCTCGGGTTACCGACGCTTCAGGTTACAGACTCCGCTAACCCAGAAATAGTACCTTGGGTTAAGAACTTTGCTTCAGGATGAGAACAGAAATCATGCTCTGGCAGCGCGGTGGCAGCAGGAGACCCCGTTAGCGAAAGCGCACCTCAGGTTAAGAACAGTTTCAGGTTAAGAACGGACCTCCAGAACGAATTAAGTTTGTAACCCGAGGTACCACTGTATGGATGTCTTTAGATTCTTGCACCCGGCTCAGCTATTTCAAGAGATGCTGAAGTCAGATTAGAAGGTCAGTTTCCACAAAACTTATTCAAGTTACATTTTTAAAAGTGGTTTAAAAAAGTAGTTACATCCCACCTGGGACACGGGTGGCGCTGTGGGCTAAACCACAGAGCCTAGGACTTGCTGATCAGAAGGTCGGCGATTTGAATCCCCGCGACGGGGTGTGCTCCCGTTGCTCGGTCCCTGCTCCTGCTAACCTAGCAGTTCAAAAGCACGTCAAAGTGCAAGTAGATAAATAGGTACTGCTCCGGCGGGAAGGTAAACGGCGTTTCCGTGTGCTGCTCTGGTTCGCCAGAAGCGGCTTAGTCCTGCTGGCCACATGACCCGGAAGCTGTGTGCCGGCTCCCTTGGCCAATAAAGCGAGATGAGCGCCGCCACCCCAGAGTCGGCCACGACTGGACCTAATGGTCAGGGGTCCTTTACCTTACATCCCACCTTGTTTCTAGAATAACAACAGGCACACTTAGAACATACATTTAAAGCATTGTGATACTACTTTAAACATTCATGGCTTCCCCCAAAGGATTCTGAGTGTTTGCTAAGGGTGCTGAGAATTGTTAGGAAACCATCTGTTCCCTTACAGTTCCCTGTGAAGCGGGATTGGTCATTATACCACTCTGGGAATTGCATTTCTGGAAGGGGAACAGGGGTCTTCCACCAGCCCTCAGCACACTTATCAAACTAAAGCTCCCGTAATTCTTTGGGGGAACCAGAGACTATTTAAATGGTATCATAGTGCTTTCACTGTTTGATGTAAACGTGGCCAATAGGTTAAGTACTCTCTGGAAGGCCGGTAATTTTATTAGACTGATAAGTTAACAAATCTGGTCAGCTGTTGCAGTCATATATAATGCACATGTCTTCTGTCTGAGTGCATACTTCAGGGAGCTTAGATTTCATAAACAAGCTATACATATATATATATATATATATCTATATCTACAGTATGGGTTTATGTTCTTAATCGTCTTGCAAAACTTAGAAAGCACAAATTAATACAGTTGTTGGTCTTCTGTTTGATTTATTGAATGACACTGAATAAGAATGCTGCTTGTTAAATATTGTGACCTATGCTGATTCTTGGAGGAGATCTGAAAAAGGAAGAGGCTTAGCCTGCCTGCTAAAACTTATGGCGTATAGATCTATGCCTCACTTTGTGAATATGCATATGAGCATATTTTGTTTCATGTATATCAAGCTGAACTTTGAGGCGAACATTTAGGCCTTAAAGTGAGCCTCAATTGTTCATTGGCAACAGAGGCTTGCTATCACCACCAAGCAGCTGACTGCGCTACAAAGTTCCCTAGTAGGGACTCCATTGTGCACCGAACCCCCCACCAAAAGCAGATCTTGAAGTTGGCATGAATCAGCTGATTGGCGGTGACTTCAAGCAACACTTGAATCAGCTTGGCTCATCCTTTTGTGCAAGGGGAAAATGAATCACCTGACAGCATGGTGAAGTCAGGTGGTTGACAGGTGGGTGCCTACCCCCACCCCACCTGCAAGAGTGGCCCACTGTGGGTGAAGGAACCCAGGAACCCATGATCTGGCTGCTGGATAGAAAAGTTTCAAAGATAAAAATTGCATCGGACTGAGCTGCAGTTTATACATGGGATTTTTTTTTTTTAAAAAGAAGCAATCTCAGACATATTTGAAAGGTAATATTGCATCGTATTATAGCGGGACCAAGAAATTGAACCCTGGATGAGGTTGTGCAAAAGAAAGGGCAGGACCATACATATAGGGCCGTAGAGTAAATTTCAGTGACTGAAGTCACTAGGGGTGAAGAAAGCAGATGGAGAGAAACATGTTGAGGTATTGATTAGATTGCACAAGCAACTAATCTGATTTCCAGAAGGCATCCCAATCCCAGGAAAACAAGAAGTTACCTTATACAGACCATTGGTCTATCTAGCTCAGAGCTGTCAATAGTATACTAACTGTCAGCAGCTCTCAAGGGTTGCAGGCAGGAGTCTCTCTCAGCTACACCCAGAGATGCTGGGGATTGAACCTTGGACTTTCTGCATGTAAAACAGGTGCCCTGCTACTGAACCATGGCTCTTCCCTAAATATTTCTACCAGTGTTTTGTGTGCCAGAATAAAGTTACTTTAGGGTTGGCACAATTGGACACGGCTCTAGAATATTGCTGTTGAAACACCATGTACTCCTGAGGACTAATGGACTGGTGTCATTCATAGATAGATAGATAGTTTTAACATTTTCCATAACATCCATATTTTATATCTTTTTTTTACAACTTCATTTAACCTTCAGGCCTCCTCCCTTCCCTCCATGGATTTCTAAAATCATGGGGTCAAGTATGCTTCCCCACTTTAATTCTGACCACCCTTTTAATATACTCCAGGGTGGTCTTTTAGCTCGCCACTGCTTGTTAGTTAATAGAGGTTTACTCAGCAGATATTAAAATAAAATACAGTGTGTTCGCACTCTTTATAGCTTGTAGAAAACTTCCTGTAGCTCACCACAGCCGGGATGGACCTAATGGACTGGTGTCTTGAATTAGTTCAAGAAAAGATTTTCTTTCTAAAAAAAAACCCCTTCAACAACATAAAACCCTTTATTTAAATACCCTACAAATTATACATTAGAGACAAGAATAGTTCTCCAGGAACAGATCTGGCTTATTGTGTCATTCTTTTAAAAGTATCTTGGCAAATCTTGAAAACCAATTATGCACTTTAAAAAATACAGAGTGCCTTTTTCCTAGACTCTTCTCCTAGAGCTGCTAAATGTTAAAAATGGGAGAATGCCAGCTTTTGCTTGGCCAAAAGTCTTTGATGGTTTATTGAATGCTAGCAAAGGATAATAGATTTTTTGTGTGTGTGAAAAATGTAACTGGACTACAGAGTTTCTATTTACTGTGCCCTTTCTCAGAGATAAGTAAAACAAAAATGTAGACCTCAGGAACAAGTTGCCCCACAACACCTTGTCTGAAGAACTTACATGATCACAGGCTATATCTTGATTGGAATTTGCTAAATGTAGTTTTGATGCTGCAGCTTATTTTGATCAACGATATAAAGGGGTCATATTAGCTGTAGTTTCCATTGCCTCACAAAAAAGTAATAAGTTGTCTTACTCCTCCATATCGATGTTGCTTCTCTGTAATAAATGGTTTGTGTCTTCCTTTTGCTAATCGGATCAAAGCATGACTGATGACTTAAATTATCTCATCTGGATTCTTCACAGCATTGCATTTCACACCAGCAACATGAATCACAGCAATTGAGGCAGATGATGTGCAAGAAAAGAGGAGAGTGACTTATCTATAGCATACTGCATTGCCTAGATAATGTAAGGCTCCTCATGGCAGAGGACCCAGAAATTGTAGGGATATGCATGTGGGGATATGTAGGGACTTTCCATGTCCTAGTGGTTCAAAAGTCAAATGCTGCCTTAGTCTGGAGGGTTGTTACTTTTGGCAGTCTTCCCTGGGATGCCTGGATTAAGTTATGATTCTGAAAACCTACAACATAAAGTGGCTTGGGACTATGTTGTCTGAAACAATTGCGTCTTCGTTGTGGCCTTTCCTTGGCATCATTCTCACATACTGAAGTAATATGCTGAATTATATTAAGTTGTCAAGCACAAGGCACGAGAGGCTCAAAGCAATTTATTTATTTTAAAATTATTTTTATTTGCCATTCTCTGGAGGTTTGTGGTACCGCTACATTTTCCATGTTGTTCACTTATTGTTATCTTTGATTACTTTTTATTCTGACTTCCTCTGGTGGTAACTGAGAAGAGCCCTGTTGGATCAGTCCAGCATCCTGTTTCATACTGTGGCCAACCAGAGGCCTTTGGGAAGCCCATATAAAACAGACCATGAAAGCAATAGCTCTTGTCTGGTGTTCCCAGCAAATAGTAATTTGTAGGCATACTGCCTAGGAATCAGAGGCAGGCAGTGACTTTAACTAGAGTTGTAGAATCTGATTACATTTTGGTCAGTCCTGGCCCTTGTACCATGGATGGTTTCCACGCTCAGTTGCTTTTCTTGGTGAGAAAATAGAGATAATGACTGTATACATATTCTCCTTCTTTTGACGGATTCTGCTGTAATCTACAGCCTTCTCTGTCTCCGAAGCCCAAGCGTGGGGGAATGGAACATAGCAGCAGTCAAGCAGCATCATTCCTGATACAGCTGTTGCGGCTCAGATATTTCTTGGTACTTATAAATAGTGGCATTCAGTTGTATGTCATTTTTATTCACCTAGCTACAGAAATTCCATGTGCATACAACAATGTTTTGTTCTGCTGTAGTTATCTGGCTTGCACGTCAGTGAAAATTAAGCATGCCTGAATCTTGTGTGTGTTTTAAAAACTAGAATCTAGTTACTAGGTGTTGGCTTATTTAGCATTCTTCAGTGTTTGAAATGAGTTGATCTCACTTGGTGCGGAGCATAAGGGGTCGGCTTTCTATTAAATGTAGTGCTTAAGCATGGGGCTAAAAACCTTCCATTTGGCATAAATATAGGACAAATGCAGTTTCAGTCAAAACCAGAACCCAAGTAAAATGCTTTGCAGCGTCTTCAGCAAAGGGGAAAAAAAAGATTCTGTAGGCTGAAAGCCACATGCTTTGCAATTGGTTGATCAACATGTCCACCAGTAGTTTTTTATCATCATCTTCTACTTTTAACATGTTGGCACTGTCTGACTTCCCCATCATAATTCTGATCACCTTACCTGACTTGCATTTGTATTGCTCTACCTCTAGCTGAACCAATCACTGGAATGTGACCCTCAAGCTGAAAAAGGTCCTCCCCCCTGGTATATGTGATGGAGGGCATTTCCATCTCAACATATCTTCATTGTAAGGGAAGCTGCAGGCATGGTGCTTGAAATAAAGGATCTGTATGTGCTGTGGAGCTTTAATGCCAAAAGAGGCACTTAAAGTAAGGAACACTTGGCAACTCTCTTAGGAAGTAAGCTGGTGCATGAGGACAAAGAATGGGTCCTTTGGGGATATCTTAAAATGTCTGAAAATTACATGTGAGTAAAATTTAAACATGACTCAAGAAGATATATTCCAAAGGTCTGTATGGGATGTTACAACAGCTGAGGGGCTTGAATATTCATGCGCTATTATTGTGCTCTCCAATGTGGGGTTTGGGGCTGCACTTTGACCGTTTCTGCTACAATCAAAGCACTTAAGCAAACTCCCTTTTCCCCAAATCTCTTGTAATATCTAAATAATCTTTTACTCACTTAAACTCCCCAGTGATTCAAAGGGCCTTGTTGAGTTCAACTTACAGCAACATTTTTCTTTCTCACTGGTGAAGCCATAAAAATGTGCACGCTGAGGGGTTTTTTTTATAGGGAATGGGTGTATTTCCTGCATTTGGCAATAAATGTCAGTTTAATTTACAAAAACTTGTAAAATGTTTTGGAAGTGCACTGGAATCTCTACCTTTAAAGGGATGCTTTTTCAAAACAAAAAAGATGTTAGCAAATAATTGGCTCAAAGAAAAAGAAAGGCTGCCATTTTAAGAAAGTGCTTTAACATTATTTTTAAAGATGCTTGTGGGTTCATCCAAAGGTTTTATCTTTTGCAGTTATTTTTTAAATTGATGGAAAACAGAGATACTTGGATCTGTGAAAATTCCAAGGCTAAAGCATGTATACAGATGTTCACGCAAACATTTTCATTAAACAAGACAAGATATAGTGAACATATTTGTTGTTTATAGTGGCTTCAAAAATCGGTGCTTCAAATACGACCATGTTGCTATTTTACAGACTACCATTCAGGTTAACAGAAGAGGCAAGCATGATTATATGCATCAATTTGAGTTGACTTCTGTGGCCTATTTATTTGCTATTGTAATTGTAGGAATGTTGATGCTACAGTGTAACATCTTGTTTTGGTGTGTTACAATATGCTGGATTGTTCCTCCAATAGATAGTAAACTTAATAGAGGCTAATAAAAGAATCACTTTAAATTAAAGGAACTCTGTGCCAAAGAGAGATAAGTACCTTACTTGGAAAATTCCTCCTTGTGTGCTAAATACCACCCATGCAGAGCTACACTAGAACTATATAGAAAGTAATCATTTGTTCTAGTGAAGCACTTGGCTCTTAGGCTAAGCTTGTTGCATGGGTTTTAACATTGAACAGATTCTCTAGAGAAGTTTCTGACCTTGCCAGAAGGATTGGATTCAAAGACTTTATATACTCTTTTCATATTTCCTATAAGATTTCCCCAAGCAGCATGTTGTAAAAACATTATTGAACCTCTTCAAACATTGTGAGTATCAGTGCTAGAAGGAAAAAGGGGTGGGAGTAAGAGAAGATGGAGACCAACATGAAGGTGTGTGTGTGTTTAGGTGAAGGTGAAAGAAGAGGACTGGAAATTTTCCTATTGAAAGCTTGCACACTTTTTCAAGAATCCTGGAGCCTTTCTCCTTCAAACTGTTTGATGGTGAAATGAGAGCCTTGGAAGGTGGTAGATGACAAAGACTGGGTGGCCGCCTCTCAGGGGTGATGTAGTGGTGGATTTTGTCCTTTGGCACAGGTTTGACTAGATTGGGTTTCCCCAGCTATGGTCTCACATCGGTTGCATTAAGTATTCACATATACTGCATTTTTAACTGTATTTTTATTACTTCTTTGATTTATTATATTGTATTTTATTGCATTATAATTTGAATTGTATGGGATTGTGGTATAATAAAATACAATATGTAAGAAATAAAAGAAGCAATAAAACCATTAAAAATCATACAGCATTTAGCAGAGTACATTACAATTTCCGCAACAGGCAAAAAAATAAAATAAAAATTAAGTGGTCCACCAAGATCCTTGGCAATTTTCAAGTGGTTTGCAGGGGAGAAAAAGTTTTAGAACCAATGGAACTTCCAATTTTATGATCTAGCTTGTAAAAAACATGGGAGTCAGAGTGTTTGTTACTCATGACTGCTGTGCAGATTATGTTCGTTTCCCTGAGGCTTTCAAGGCTGCAGCTCAAAAAGACGTAAAAGAAGGTTTCATAATAATAGTTAAACTTGGTGGATTGTGTCCAGTGTTTACTCATTGACTTTGCACTTTTACAACTCCATTCCAGTTGCATTTAATAGAATTTGAGGCTCCGCTAATTTGGGAGAATATGGTTGTACTTGTATACTTATGATATGTTGTGGGACTTTTGTCCAGCTAAGAAAGGTGAGTTATTTCCAGATGGATCTAGGGGCCAAATGAGACATGACATTACAGATTTGTGACTGGATCCTCTCATGATGTGAGCCTTTGTTTCTATAACTCCTAGTAATCTGAATGTGCACCCTTTTAGCTTTTCTGTACCTCTGATGTGTTGCCGGAGAGCAATATTCTGCCAGTATTTTATGTGTTCCCTCGCACCTCGACTCTAAAACAGGAGTGGGAACTCCTCCAGATGTAGTTTGCCCTCCAGATGTAGTTTGACTCTCAACTTCCATCTGCTGCAACCAGCATGACCAATAGGCCGGGTTGGGAGCTGTAGTCCTGCAGCATATGAAGGGCCAAAGATTCACCACTCCCCCTGTTAAGGTTTCCTTTTGCCTGGGAAAAGGAGCAAGTGAGGATCAAGAGCACAGGGCAGATCAGGTTGTAAGCGTCTCACCAAAACACTCTCTTGGAAATAGACACGGGAGTAGCCCTCAATCGCTATTCAGCTGGCATGGGATCTTATATAAGCATGTAACCTTCCTCAGGGTCTCTATTCATCTGTATATATTGTGGATATTTTGTTTTTCGTTAACGGCATTAGTTGCGAGATTTTCATACCTGAGAGTAGGTGTTCTTGAAGCCAAGTCACTGAGAGTTAGGAGTCTGATTTCTTTGTATGGTGTCAGTGGCGTAGCGTGGGTTGTCAGCACGTAATTTGCGCCCCCTAACCCGTGGATTTTAGTAGGGGCAGAGAGCTGCGAGTGTGAGCGCGCCCCCCCCAGATGTTGCGCCCGGTGCGGCCGGCCCCCCCTGCACCCCCCACGCTATGCCACTGTATGGTGTACTGTGTTGCTGGCTGCATTTCCCTCTGCAAACAGACTCTTTCTGTCTCTTTCTGTTAGATGGAGCAAATACTTTTTTTCCTGTGGAAAATTTGTGGCACTTGCAGAATCCTTCTCTTCTTTCCCTGCCCTCCCAAGTTTGAGAAGCCCCATTTAAGCCACGCAGAATGTTCCTTCCCTGGTTTATGATTTTGCAACAGCTGATATCAGTTCAGCCTCATGTCACAAGACGTGCCATATGGAAACTGATAACTGCATAAATCTGCATAGGAAAAACGAATTCAGGCTTTCCTCTCAGTAAAATCTCTTGAAATGTAGTTTCCTAACACAGGAGAAAATATACCTGGTTGCATTAGTAGTGTTGAAAAAGAGGTACTTGGACTCACGCAGGCCCATATGACTTGAAAATCGTGGAACTGTCTGAAATAGAAGTTGCTATGGTTACAGAGAGGATTAGCCGGCTGAGGCTGCTTCCATTGGTCTGCGACTAGCACAAGTTGCTTGTTTGAGTAGCATTAAAATGTTGTCTCCTGCTGCTTTTATGTCAAGACCATCTGGTGTAGGCAGTATTTAAAGGTGCAGCCCTGCTCTGAAAAACGCTGGGCAGCATGGTGTTTTTTTTAATTTGTTGTAAATGGAGCTTATGAGGTTCACAGGTTTTCAAAGGGGGCAATGACACCTTAAAATATTCTCAGTACGTGTATAATAGCAAAACATGCTATTGGCACAGCAAGCTGCCACAGTGCCTTTTATGTTGATTGCACATATATGTACTCCTGTTTATTTCTTGGAGGTGCCACCTGTTTAATCAACTAGTATTTAAAATGTCTTTACATGTAGGAAATCTCTGTATATAAATTATTCTGGTACGTGGAATTTGCTGGCAGTTGAGGAGACAATTTTTGCTGTTGGAGGCAATATATCTCTGAATGCCAGATCTTGCTTGCCAGCTTCCCATGGGCAAATGGCTGGCCTCTGTGAACAGAACGCCAGAGTAGATGGGCTCTTCTTATAGTTTCAGGATTTTGCTTTAACTGATTCCTTTAGTGTGAGAGATGTTACCTCTTCATGTTTATTTATAAAGATCATACAATTCTTCAACTCTGATTTACATCAGGTGCTTTTGGATTTCCACAGATACCCCCCCTTTTGCTTTAGTGATTTATGCTATAGCAATTCATTATTCCCAAGAATGTAAAAATAGACGATTGGTTCCAGTAATATCCCATTCTAAACAAAAGCAGATCCCATCAGATTGCACAGAAAAATGTGCTCTTGGGGCCAAACATTGTGTTATATATCTTGCACTAGGTGATTTTCAGGAGGTTAGCGCGAGTGTAAGACAACAGAGAATTCAGCCCTCTGCATTGAAACTCAGCCAATTTAAATTCAAATCTTGATGAGAGCAGTACTAGGAAACTGTTATGTAGGGCAGCAGGAATGTGCTTCTTATTTTAATTTTGCTAATACTATACATTGCACATGCACACATGATTTTGTCCTAGGTGGTTTGAGGGCGTTGCAGAATGTAAAGTGTTTTCCTGCAGAGGATGCTGTAGCATCGGACAATATCAGATAATGAGCTGGGGGGAGAGATGTGTTTCTTGTGGGCACTTTTTCTTTTCTTCTTCATACCTACTTCATTTATATGCTTTCATGGTTGCCAGGCCCATTTAGTTTTGTTAAACATTTTTTTTTTTGCTTGGGCAGTTGTGCAACTGAAGAGGAAAGGGGATGGCCCTCCTGCAAGGACAACCCACCCTTTAACTGAATAATCCTGCCCAGTGTGAGTGGCGACCCATCCTAGGACCTGCTCCATCTCCTGCAGAAAAAAAACTTATCATGGGTTAGTCCAACATTTCGTTTAACTGTGTGACAGGGCAGTTGCGTAATGAAGAGGGGTTTTTAATCTGCTTCACTAATCCACAGATTTCTAAGCCTTCCTATTAGAGCTTTGGCTTCAGTGCAGTTTTATTTTTAATTATTTAGAAACACAAGAGTTGCATTCAACACTGTATGAGCAGCATTCCACTCATGCAATGGGACTTCCTCTTCCTTACCCTTAACACCCCTAAGATCTGCTGCAGAGGAGTGGAGGGGGGAGTTCTGTTGTGCAAGCAGAAGTCTGTTGTGTGAGCAGAACAGCAGTGTTGGACACAACCCATGATTTTTAGTCTGCCTGTTGTCTTCATTGTGAAGATGATTGCATTAAGAAAATAAACTTGTTTGTATGTATACACTCTTTAGCAAGGAGCAGACCCTCTTGAACAAGTTGGCTCTGGACCCAATGGATTGTGACAACTATTGCCCATTTGAAACAACTCCAGACATTCCTGGATAAAAGTGAAAATCTGGATTCATTTCAGCCTTGGGACTCAGCTACATTAGTAAAGAAAAGTGTTGTACAGTATATGCGTTATAACACTGAGATGGCGCTGTGGAGCCCCGGCTTTAGCCAGTGTGATTTCCCATTATGAAGTTTACAGTGCGTTTTCCTGAAATGCTTTTTTTGGATGTGTCTAGATCCAGCCTTGGTCACCTTGATGGATGACCTTTATAGAGAGAAGCTCGGGGAGAGTGCAGCCCTCCTCCTTCTGCTCAATGTCTTAGTCACTTTTGGTTCCATTGGTCATGGTATCCTTCTGAACTGATTTTGTGGGATGGGTATTGGTGACAATGTTTTTCAGTGGCTGTGTTCCTACCTGCTATCTCCAAATAACAGCATTGTGAAAGTGTTCTTCAGCTGCTTGACATTTGTGCTGCAGAGCACGAAGGGGCACTTTATTGTCCCTAGTGCTATTCAACATCTATATTGTTGGGAGAAATCATTGGAAGTTTTGGAGTGAGAAGACATCAGTGTACTGATGATACCAAATTCCATTTGCACATTACATCTGAGTCAGTCTATGCAAGCCCTGGACTGATACCTGGATACAGTGTGTGTAATTCCTGTTTCTGGGAGATAGATCAGCTACCTTTTCTGTATGGGGTTGCAGGTCCTCTGAGCAGGTGTGCAGCTTAAAGATACCCCTTCATTCATCTTTGTGTCTAAAGGCCCAAATGACCTTTATGGCTAAGAATACATTTTACCAGCTTCTTCACCCACGCCAGCTGCTCACTTCCATCTCTAGACTGGGATAGAGAGACCACAGTGGTCCATGCATTGGTAACTGCCCTGAACTCATTTTGGAGGATGGGTGGGATAGAAATATAATTTTAAAAAATAAAATAATTTTCAAGACTTAATTACTGCAATGCCCTTCATATGAGACTGCTCTTGTATCTGGGCCAAAAGTTGTGGCTATTGGCAACAGGCTACTTCTTGGCCAAGAGAGCTGCTCTGATTGCCAATTTGCTACTCAGCCAGGTTCAAGGTTATTGTGTTAATTCACAAAACTCAACACAACCTGGGCCCAAAGAACCTTAAGGACCTCATATTTAACTTCAGATCTTTTGGTAGAGCACTTTTTGCAGTCCCCAGTCTTCATGATGGACTAAGCCTTTAGTGTGAAGCTCTTTTCAAATATAATGAGTCACCCCTGGTTTCTTTTAGATAACTTTTGGAAGCTGAATTGTTCAAATTGGTCTTTGTAATTTGAAGTTTTGCACCCACCAATGTATTGACATGCTGTTGATGTTTTTTTAGATATTACAGTAGCCTTGTATTTTTTTGTCTGTTCTGTACTATTTTATGTTATGTACCACCTTGTTATATTTCTAATGAGAAGGCAGTCTATAAATATTTTAAGAAATAAAAATAAATATAAAGTATGCTGTTGTGCATCTGGCACTTGTATTTTCTGTAGAAGTATATAAAGTGGGTGGGTGGGGTCTATGCAGGAATAAATGTAAGAACAGTACAGAGTTCATAGTGCTGTTTCTGTTTCAGATGGCATCTTCACCTGCAGGCTATGAATTTGCTGTGGATGAAGGAAGAATGCCAAAGTGCTGTTTAAAAAAAAACCTTGATTAAACCACATAATTGCATCAACTTGTCAACAAGTAAATTGGGCCAAGTGAACTGGAAAAGTAGGGGCAGGAACTGCGGTTTGCCTGGAACTGTAGACAGAATCCTCAGAGAATATCACTTCTGTGATTTAACAAGGCCATCTTTCTTTACTTTGTATGGGGTGGCTGTCTTTTAAATTATGAAGATACAAGTGAAAATGTTTATATGCAAGTGCCTATTTAACCAGTATAACCCCCTTTCTCTCTCACACACATGCATATCCCCCCTCCCATTTTGATCTGTCTGTATTGCCCAAGGGCTCTTAGTCTTGATGAGACTTGCCTTCCTGATGCTTTCAAGCAGCATGCTGGGACATGGTCCATCAACCACATATAGATGCTCCTTAAGCCCTTAAAATAACCTCCTAGATAAGACTAAGGCTTCAGTTCTATATCCACTGCCTGTGAGTAAGTCCCATTGAGCTCAGTGGGATTTACTGCTGAGCAGACAATGTGGGCTTGTACTGTAACTAGGATTTGAAGCCAGGCTTGATTGATTGAATGATTAAGCAGCACACTGCGTACTTGAGCAGGCTCAGTAAATCTAGCTGCACTACTCATGTCATGTCCTTATTTATAGACATAGATATATACAGACATAGATAAATAGACTCTATTTATTAATGAAGGCCCCAGTGGAGGATGAAGCCATGGCTCAGTGCTAGAGCCCATTGCTTTCATGTAGATTCAGCCTGCAGTCCTACACACACATAGGAATACGTCCCATCAATCTCAAGTAAACATACATAGGGATGTACTGTAAATTTCTAGCATCTCCAAGTAGAGTTGTGGAAGACTCCAGTGTGACTTGCAGCATATCTCCAGCATTTCAGCATAAGTAATACCAAAGATCCAATGTCATACGTTCAAATAAATGTTCCAACAAATAACTTTGAGCCAAATATTGATTTCAATTTGCATCACTTTCTGTACAGGTAAAATCAATACAACTGAAGAAAGGAAGTATTGTCTTTGTTTTTAAATGATGCACAAATATGTCTATAAGAGGCGTCATCTTAGCAGAGACAATATTCCTGTGTGCAGCAGAAGAACAAAGGTATCTTTCAAGATGATGCTTGCCCATCTGCAGCTTTTACAAGTCCTTGTATTAAAAAATACTATTTGAAAACAAAAATCAAGGACATCTCTATCATTGATTTGAAGAGGATTCCCATGGCCGAGAGATTCTGTAGTGAAGCAATAGCCATAGCAGAAGCCTTGCCAGCTGGCAGAAGGTTTGGTGGTGATGGAGAGTTTTGATTCCAACAGGAAGGAAATTATTCACCAGCTTCAGGGCTGACATTGTACTGTGCCCTTTTGGGGTCATGTCCAGGCAATGAAGGTCCTTAGGATCCTATATATCCATGTCCTCCACTGACATACCACTCCTCCCACCAATGTTTGGTGCAACATGTATGCCCACACAGCTTTCTGTGGGTATTCAGCGGTGCATGTTCTGGCATCATGAGTGCTTCCCACTGATAGGCTTCTCTCTCCGGCAGAGTGGCATTTATGCTGCAGTCCGAGGAAGCATATCAGTTCTGGAAATCACAAGAGAGAGAGTGGCTGTTTTGCTCAGATTCTCCTTGTATGCTTTCTCAAGGCATCTGGTTGGCCACTGTGAGAACAGATGCTGGACCAGATGGATCACTGGCATCCTCCTGATTCTTATGCACCAACAGCCTCTCAGATGCCCTTTGGTCAGTTTTAGGATTGCTCTGCCCAAAGTTATTTTTACAAAATAATTTCATACAGGTGTGGAGAACCTTTGACCCCTCCCAAGATGTTGCTGAAATACAATTCCTATAATCCCTGGCTATTCACCCTGCTTGCTACAGCTGATGTGAGTTGTTGTTCAACAACCTCTAGAGGCCCCACACCTCGTTTAATGTAACCAACTAGTCAGTTAACTCTTGAGAGTCCCATGGACTGCAAGAAGATCAAACCTATCCATTCTTAAGGAAATCAGCCCCGAGTGCTCACTGGAAGAACAGATCCTGAAGCTGAGGCTCCAGTACTTTTGCCACCTCATGAGAAGAGAAGACTCCCTGGAAAAGACCCTGATGTTGGGAAAGATGGAGGGCACAAGGAGATGGGGACGGCAGAGGACGAGATGGTTGGATAGTGTTCTCGAAGCTACCAGCATGAGTTTGACCAAACTGCGGGAGGCAGTGGAAGACAGAAGTGCCTGGCGTGCTCTGGTCCATGGGATCACGAAGAGTCGGACACGACTAAACGACTAAACAACAACAGTCAGTTAACTGTTGCAACTTTTATCTATAGCTATGTCTTTGGTGCCAAGATCCAAAGAACTAAGCAATTTGTTTAGAGAGCTCAAGGGCAAGATGTGTTTTCTCTTTCCATAGCATTAGCCCTTCTCTGCCCTGCAGAAGTAAGGAGAATGACTTTTCTATGTGTGTGGTCAGACTACAGAACTGTCCACTGACAGAAACCCACTTTTTCTATTGTGTATAGCTGCTGAGTGAAGTCTGTTCTCTGATTCTTGTGTTTTGAGTTCTTGGCTGTTGTGATTATTTAATCTTCTGTCCTGATACTTTTATCTGCTGCTTTGGATTTTTATTATGACTGATTGTTAAGCTACCTCGAATGCCATTTATAGCAGAAAGGCAGCATGCTGCATTTTCAAAATCAATTGGTCACATCGTTTTTAACTGTTAGTATTGAATGATAATAAACACATGACTTTCCTACTACTTTGCCAACTTCCCCTTCTTGAAGAAAGTTGCTTTAGGAGCTGTCTTCCTTTCCTGGATTCCTGCCAGTCTGGACAAATCCTAAGGGTAGTCTTGGGCTGCAGTCTTTTATGCAGGCCACTTAAACCCCATTAGTCGGTAGCGAAGTATTTGCATAGCAAAGCAAATTATCGTTTCTTTTGATGGCTTCCTAAGTCTTGATTTTCAGTGCTGACAAGCATTTTTAACGTGCCACAGCACAACATCTTTGTGTAGAAATACCTGCCAGCATTTAATAAAACAGGGGATCTGAGCAAGGAACACAGCGACTGCACAAACTGTTTCCCTGTGCACCCAAGCAATTAACATGTCATCTTTCCTGTGGCAATGCCCCAAGAAAGGAGGCAGCGATGTCTGGGCTTATTGCAGTTAAACTAGCTGAGTCTCAGTTCCAAGTGCACTGATTTGTCTTGGGACATCCTGCTAGAACTACTAAATCAGCAGCACTGCTGTAGTGTGGTAAAATACCAGTAGCAGGGTGAACCCAAAGGAGTGAAACTCATTTAGGGAGCAATAAGGGTGTGGGTGCCATCCTTTGACATGTTGCAGAGAATGGGTCACTCACTCCTGAGTGAGAGACAGAACCACAGCAACCCATTCTGTTCATGATGTCAGAAAGATCCTGGTCAGGGATAGTTAGCCACTATGACTCATGCACTGGTAGCCTGACATTTAGACTACTGCAATGTGCTTGATGTGAGGCTTCCTTTATGGATGGTCTGGAGGCTGTAGCTGGCGCAGAATCCCATAGCCTGGGCAGTGAGTGATGCCCTTTACTGGGTGCATACCACACCAGCAACCTTCTCTTGCTGAACAACCACCAGGAGTTTCAGTCTCACCATTGTTCCTTTGGTGCAATTCTATTTACCTGCCCTATACCTGATGCCACATACAGCATCAGGTGTGGGGCAGGAGGGCATTGTTTAGGAAAAACTTATTCATGGGTGGGCCAAATTAGGACTCTTTTGGGCCTAATTTGGCCTGCAGGTAGGAGGTTGGCTTACACTTTTCATTGGGAAAGGAGCATGACAGAGTGGATACGGAAATTTCAAGCACTTTGTTTCGTTTTGTAGGAACTGCAAAATAAGAAGAAGCAAAAAGCAAAAAACACCTGCATCTTCCCTTGACCTGAATATGAGGCATTCATAATGTGCAAGATAAAATGCACAAACTCTAAGGTGCAAATTGTGGAAGAAGGGACAGCCTAGTTACTATTGATTTAGCATTTTTAAATGTCAGTAAAATGACACTGATTTAAATGACACTGATTTGTGTGTGCCTGTTTGTGAATCTCAGAGGGAATGTGAAATGAGAGGGAACCGAATCACTTTGATCTTTTGTAAATGAGGAGCTGTGTGATGTTGTATACAGTGATCCCCTTTTCATCCTTCCTCAGCTTTCAGTAGGGAACTTCTCCATCAGATCTAAAGTTAGTCACAGAATCCTGAGATTCTTCCCCTCAGCCCTGCCTCTCAGTTCAGAACCAGGATTTTGGGGCTAAAGCAAAATTGGCAGGGGAGGAGGGAGAGAAAGGAAGTGAAGAAGGCAATCTAACAACTCTCCTGGGACTGCTCCACCCCAAAATGCGTGTGAAAGATCACATTTCATTTCTTCTCCCCTGCAAAACCCCCTGCATATGGAAAACTAATGCATTAGGCAGAAGCATATAGCCAGGATTTTTGTTAGGGGGGCAGGCCTTTTTTGGGAGGGCAGAACCTCTGTTACCTATGTATTTTTGTTGATTTGGGAGGGATGCTGCCCCTCCCTGCACCCCTTGACTATGCCCATGGGCAGAAGGCTTGGGTAGAACTCTTCTTCCTGAATTGTTATCTTTCCACAGGCAAAAACTGGACTGGATGCAGTCCCATGATCCTCTAACCTGCATTCTAAGGTAGCACAGTCCCATGAGGTCTGAGCCATATTTTTAACTTTCTCGTGATGAAATGCTTAATTTCCACAATAATCTTTAACCTGCTAAATTTGCTAATGAACTTCCAAATGGACTAAAATAAGAATTTTGCTCAAGACTGGAAGGAAAACTAAATGATCATTTAGATGAAGGCAGAGGGCTGCCCTGGTATGATTAAAATTATTGATTGTGGGTGTGTGTGAATTGACATAGAGTGGTACTTACTAGAAATATTATGGGAGTCTTTATTCAAAGTAATGTAAGAATCTCTTCTCACATGAAGAGGACTTTCTGAGCAGATGGGTGGTTTTTAATTAGAGAAGAAAATGGAATGTTTTGTGCCTAACCAAACTGAAGTTTGCCAAATACCATATTTTTTGCTCCATAAGACACACTTTTTTCCTCCTAAAAAGTAAGGGGAAGTGTGTTTGCGTCTTATGGAGTGAATGCAGGCAGCGCAGCTATCATTGAACCCAGCAGAACAAGAGTGAGAGCTGCGCAGCGTCTCTTGTTCTGCTGGCTTCCCAGCGAAGCAGGAGGAGGAACGGAAGGGAGCCCTTACGGGCTGCACAGCTTTCACTCTTGCTCTTCTGGCTTCAGCGATAGCTGCGCAGCTTGCTCTGGCTTTTCAGGGAGGTGGGAGAAGGGACGGAGGGCAGCCCGTCAGTCCCTTCTCCCACCTCCTGGTAAAGCTAGCAAGAACCGCTCTATCTTTAAAGAGCCGCGCGGAGCGAGAGTGTCTGCGGCTCTTGCTGGCTTTTCTTGTTTTCCTCCTCTAAAAACTAGGTGCATCTTATGGTCGGGTGCATCTTGTAGAGCGAAAAATATGGTAAATGGCTTGCTGACCTTGAGATACATCAAAACCTGATAAGGAGAGGGCATATCTGAGACTCTGCCAGTCAGAGTAGACAATGATAGATCAATGTATAAGGTAGCTTTGTATGCTCATACTGTGGGTGTGATCAACACAATGGGGAAGATAGCAATATTTAGAGGAATTCTAAGAAGCACTTCAAAGTAGTGAAATGAGGTGCTTACCTGAGTGACAGTAGAAGGATGACATTTACTGTACGATGCCTTGGGAAATGAGCTCATGCAAAAATATGCTCAGCAGATTGGCTGGATAAAACATGAAGAGCTTCTGATTCAGAGATCTTGAAAGCGGCTATATAAATAAAAATCAGCATGTTTTCTACAACTTTAAAGAGTTTTTTTTTAAACTGACAGAGTGGTTTAAATGTGAGAAGGCTTCTTTTTTATCTTGCTGAAAAGCAACGTGCATTAAAGGCTTAGTAAAGTTTAAGGTTTCTGGAGTGAGTTTTTGATTCATGATTGATTCTTTAGACTACGTTGCTAATCAAAATGCCACTGTGAATCATGATAACCTTCAGAAGCGCTATTATTCTGGGTCTGCACTTCTCAGCAGTTCATTTCGAATAAGGACAGAAAAAGCCAGACACAACGTTTCTCCCTGACGCCCTTCATTTCCCTATGTAATCTACAATATAAAGTTCTCAAATCACAAAAAGTAGGCACTAATGGCAATATCTGTAATACAACAGCAATAAAATAATAATAATGCATTCATTTCCTTATGCTGATTTAACTGATTTTTAAATTGCCTATAGCGGTATTCCTTTGAAAGCAATTATTCTAAAAATAAATTATTATTTCTTTTTTAAAAATCTCATTGTACTAGTAACCCCTTCTTCAATCAGAGCTTAGAATGTAAGGTAGGTCATATAAAGCACCTTCCCATTTATTTACCATCTCTGTTCAATATGAAGCAGTTAAGTAATTGGCCAATCCTGGCTTTTCACATGCCATTACATCCTTGATGTATCCTAAAAGAAATCTTAATGATGACAGATCTGTAGTAATTTGTCTAATAATAATTACTTTACATTATGCTCAAATTTGTACACCTTCTGCCCCCAAGCTTATGAAAGTCACGTGCTCTGAGTAAAGCTCATCTCCAACAATTATCTGTTATTGTCTTACCCATTTTGCTTAAATGTGAAGGGGTTAAGTATCAGTGATACAGAATGTTGAAGCGACATTCATATAAAGCAGTAGCAATTGAGATTTACAAAAATACCTTCCCATATGTTTAACCACTGTGCTTAGTTTTTAAATCATGTTTTCTTCTTCCTTTGTTTACCTTATTAATCAAGCCCCAGCTGTTAAAAACCTGCTTTATTTTTAAAAAGATAGGGTTTAATCCTGTGTAAGTTATTTTTGCTTTGGCCCTATTGAAATCAGTGGGACTTCATTTAGTCATGACCGATTTTTCCACATTAATTTCCATGGGACCTAAGTCCATGTAACAGTCTGGTTCCAACCCATTTCTTTTTAATGATTTATGTTGTATCTTGAAACAACCTTAGTTTACAGCATTAATAATGTTCTGCTCACACATATTATTGTGTAGTCTGTAACTCTGGTTTTCCACGCTACCTTGGGTGAGCAAACCATGTGAAGTCTGGTATTTACCACACCAGTCTCCCTTCCCCAGTGTTAGCCTATTTTGCTTTTAACCTGGGAGTAAGCCCTAGCAAATTAAATATGACTTACTTCTGAGAAGACATGGTTAGGCTTGTTCTGTTATTATCTGCCATATTTTATTCTTCTTTGTCATTCCTCTCTACAAACCGCCCTGAACCTGGCCATTTGTGATCATATTACATGGATGCTTGTAACATCATAAGTGTGATATCGAAAATGCTGATTCGCAACAACTTTTGTACTCCATGCAGTCTTCATAGAGTTCAATGGAACAGACTCTGTGAAAACCATTAGCTGTTAAAGTGCATGAGAGCAAACTGCACAGAAAAAACATAGAAGTATAATTCCAAATAAAACTAGAGGTGCCAAATGCTGAAGACAGTAATAGCAGGTGTGAAAATTCATGTTAACTTTAACTTGTGCTTGCCTTTAATTTTAATTTAAAATTTTGAGTTCTAGGACTTTTGTTCTAGGATTTTTCCATCCCTTATGCCTTGACTACATAAGGCTCTGCCTTCTCTCCATGACAATAGTAGGCATGAACTCACAGGTACAATTCTCCAGGCACTATATAACTTGCAGCTCATTAGCTGCTCTTATCCAGAGAGTTTCAAGTTTTTCTTTGAATGAACCTTTTTATTGATTTGTATTTTATGGCACTGAGTGGTAGGAAAGCTGCTTCTGCCAATAATACTAATAGGATAATACAAATTAATAATAGCATTGTTATCCATCTTTTTATATTTGAGGAAGATTCTGGGGAATAGTAGAGTGCATGCAAGAGTTCACAGGATCCAGTATGGTTTAATGATGAATGTTCTGGACTAGGATTGGAAAAACTATGGCTCAAATCCCTGCTTACCCATGAAGCTCACTGGGTGAACTTGGGCCCTATTATCAGCATAACCAACTTCACAGGGTTGTTGTGAAAATAAAATGTGTGTGTGTGTTTCTTGGGAGAAAGGTAGGATATAAATGTAATAAATTAGGGTTGCCCTATTTTGAAGAGCAAAAAAGAGAATGCATTTGCTGACTTCTACTTTTAACAATGGATCGCTATGCGGCGCTCATCTCGCTTTACTGGCCGAGCGAGCCAGCGTACAGCTTCCGTTTACCTTCCCGCCAGAGCGGTACCTATTTATCTACTTGCACTTTGATGTGCTTCCGAATTGCTAGGTTGGCAGGAGCAGGGACCAAGCAACAGGAGCTCACCCCATTGTGGGGATTTGAACCGCCGACATTCTGATCGGCAAGCCCTAGGCTCTGTGGTTTAACCCACAGCACCACCTGCGTCCCAGATATGAGTATAACGCACTAGAAAAAATTTCTTTGGTTACTGTAAACAAAAAAACCAAATAAAAAACTCCAGACATTTTGCCAAATTTTAAAAATAGGCCTGGACATTTTAATTCTGAAAAAGAGGGTGTGTCCTGGAAAAAAAGAGGGCATATGGCAACCCTAAATAAATAGATAAAAATAAAATGCCTACTGTGAACCCCCTTTGTGTTGCAGAATATTATGGAGAATAGTCTAGGAGGCATTCTCAGTTCATATTTTTTATTATTTCATTAGATTTATTACCTTCCCTTCTCCATGAGATCCCAGAACAAATTACAACAATTCAACAATATGGGATCTGCTGGGGCACTGTGTATGGAGAGTGAGATCTTGCAGCATATACTGCAGAAAAAGAAGCTTCACTGCCATTGGTGGTCTTACTTATGAATGAAGACACGTTTCTTGTGAAGTAGGAAAATGTTACTATGGTTTGAAGAAGACTAGAGCTGTAAAATTAGGAACTGGGAGATATTGGGGCCAGGCAGACCACAGAGGCTGGGAATCTAGAGAAATCAATAAAACTGAAGCAATGCATTAATTTAATTACACCTAAAAAAAAATAACAACGAACTGTTGCATATGGAACAGGTATTAACTAAAGGTTTTGTAAGGCTCTTATGCAAAATGAATTCTATCCTACACACAGCTTTTGTGTCTGATCTTTGTTAGGACTAGCGGAAAGAAGAACAAAAATGATCCAAATATTTCCACAGTAAAACAAACAAGCAACAAACAAACAAACAAACAAACAGAAATAATAAACTGAATACTTCAGCAGGAGGATACGCACTTAGTTGATTTTCAAAGGAGAACTGTGACTAATTGCTGGAAAATAACAAAATAGTCACCTCCCTTGAGAAACACAATACCAGGTCTGTTTCTAAAGCTTTCTTGTATATTGAGACACAAAGTGTGGAAATCTTAAAGGCTCGCTGTGCATCTTAAATACGTCTTACTGCAAAATGAATGGCCACACAACTTTAGCTCTGTGAAAATCTCTTGGATTAAAATAAAAAAGAGAGGAGGAATTCTGAAAGGAGTGTTAATGTGTTGCTATGAGTACAATTGTAATTTAAGTGATTGGAAGTGTTTACGAAGTACTTTCTATCATAATAGGTGTTTTCTGAAAGGAGGATCAGGGGACTCCAAATGTTTTCTGTCTGGGGGAAAAGAGCTGCCTTCTGAAGAATATGTTGTCTAGCGTTTGCTTCAAAGGAAAAAAGAATGTGTAGATGCGTTTTAAACAGTCTTTCAGCTGTGTGGGTGCCATTTTTCCATGAACAGCTCCTGAGCTGTTGGGAGAACTTTAAAATGAACCCCCTCCACAGGAGTTTGTAGGGCTTCACCAGTGTTGGCATTCTCTTCCTTAGTGCAGTGCTGATTTTGTAGGAAATACACATTCATTCATTCAGTATCCCACCTTTATCCCTGACAAGGACTCCTGATCACTTGGTTGGGGAATTTATTTATTATTTTATATTTATTTAATTAATTTTGATGCCATACACGACCCCCAAAAGGGCTCCCTCTCAGCTTAGAGTTCACTATAATATATATCCCTACCCTCAGATTTACAATGTAAAAAGACATGACACAAAAGGAGAATGGATTGGGACTGAGGAGGAAATAATCAATCTTGGGCACCAGTTCTTAGTTGCAAATTCTTCTAATGACCAGCTGTGGAGGAAAATTTCAATGAGAGGAGGAGATAAATGTTGCTGGCCTCTCAGTTATGATGACTGAGTTTCCCTGCATCCCATCGGCTGCTACCAGGTGACATTTATTTGTTCTCCTAGCCATGTGGCAGGTACTGATGGTGCAGTTTGACTAGATGACATCCAGGGTCCCTTCCAATCCATGATTCTGTGGTTCTAAATTTGAATTGATTTATTAAACTTGCATATTAAACTTTGTATGAAAGAAGTCCCAAAGAGATTTACAACTTGTATTAGGCAACGGAACGCATCAAAACAATGACCAAATCTGTGCAGTAACAATGATAAGAAAAATATCCTGATGCTCAGTCACTTGGGGAGGTTTATGGCCAAATGGAGCTGGCCTTCTGTATCCATGTCCAACCACTACACCATACAACCTGCTGTCTTCTAGAAGGCATAGCCAAACAAAACACAAAAAATGTGTTGTGCAGATGGGAGACTTAGCTGAAGGTGATGATGTTTACCCACAACAACTGGAGTGTTGTCAGCCTTTAAAATTAATACTTTTATTTTATTACAGAGGAAAAATTGCTAAAAGAGAGAACACAGTGGCAGCTAAAAGTTCACATCACCTTCATTTCCCCCAAGGAGCTAAAATTCAGAAGCTGCATTTGTACTTGATGCTCCAGGGAATAACTCTTGCCTGACAAGTTGGTTTTATATGGTGCATTACTGAGTTTGCGGCTTATTGTTAGCCATTCTGCACTATGCCTAATACATCGGAATGTCCTGTAAATGTACCTCTTAGGCTAGAAGGAAACCAGCTTCTTTTTTTGGGGGGGGGGAGCAAATCTGAGAAATGTATTAATATAAACCAAGTTTATACATTTTGAAAGTTACGTTCCTTGGCCCCATGAGCAAATGTGTGGAATCTTAACCTATATGAATGTGCAGCAAGGAGATGCAAATGATAGGAATAAGCTGAGGATTCTTTTGAGAGCCTCTTGGTGCTATAAAGTGCCATGTGCCCCACCTGAAATGTCTACATGCACAAATCTAGTTTACTAATAGAGGAAATGAGAGAATGTTCACCCTTGTACTGTAATAAGGCCCACTAATTTCAATGTGTAAATGTAAAATACGTTTCAAGGGTAACTTGTCCTGTTCATTATCATTTTGAAATATTAATGTAACTAGAGATGGGGAGCTTAGTTTTTCAATAAATTATTCATGTAGAAAACAGCATCTACGTTGTGTTAATTTTAGTACATTAGCAAACCAGCCTGAATTAGCATCGGTTTTCCCTTGGGCTATTACTTCACATTGCTCTTGTGGTATAATAGAAGGTAGGGTGAAATTTCTAGAATGAATGTAGCCCATACACTTTTTGCTACCAATGCCGAAGAATTGGAAATTGCCATTTTTGTTGGCTTCTTCTTTTTTTACATTGTTCTGCTTTGCACTTTACACATTTGCACTGAAATGAATGGTATGGAGGTAATTATGTCATTCATCACGCTAAATTCGTAACTTGCATAAATATTGCTAAGTAGTGGACAGGAAACGTATAATGTGGTACTTGGGGGAAACCAAACTGCAGCAGAACAGAAACCGTGCTGATTGTGACAAAGACTTGTCAGAATATTGAATTCATTCTATGTTGATTGAATTGTTTATTGTCTTGTTGAATGTGAGCCATTTTGGACACAGTTCCCTGTAGAAAGGTGGCATATATATATAAACTAAACACATAAGAACATGGTTTGACTTTGCATTATGAACATAGGTACCATGAAAGGTACTGTGTATTGTGTGCAGCCAAGATCCCAATAAAACAAAGCAATCATGTTTCCTAGTTTAGCTTGAATGCAAATTATACTGCAGTATTTTCAATTAATGGGTGCCTATTGCACGGAGCCTCAGCCAACTGGAAGTTTGCTGTAGCAGGTGCCAGTGTCAAATGAGTATCAAAAACATGTTTAAACCCACAAATTCAACATACTTAATGTTTCGCATATAGGCATATGGTATAAATTATAAATACCACAATTGTGGTCCTCATTCTGTTACTTTTGATTGAAAGGCTTTATTTCTCACATTTCTCTCTGATGCCCTGGGGGTACAGTTGTGTGGCAATCCTAAAATAACCTCACTTGGGATAACACCTTTTGCTGTTTTCCTTACAGAGCATTGCTATTTCAGTTTGGAACTGTAATTGCAAGTAACAAAGACGTACATGCTTTATATATATCTCACTCACCACCCCAGCTGGATAGCTCAATTGGTTAGAGCCTGGTGCTGATAATGCCAAGGTTGTGAGTTCGACCCCCAATAGGGACAGCTGCATATTCCTACATTGCAGGGGGTTGGACTTCATGATCCTCAGGGTCCCTTTCCACTCTATGATTATATAAATCTATGTGAGCACCTGCACACTCTCTTTGCCCCAAGGAAGCAGCAACTGAATCATCATATGATATTTTCTCCCCCGCCCACCGTATTGGACCTATGTCTGTTATTCACAGAAAAAATATATTGCTATTGATTTTTGCAAATATGTAATGAACCTTTTGTCAATTACAATGTGGGCTGAGGGGGCTTAGTAGGTCTTGTACTTTCTGTGAGCATGACTAAATATCTCCCTGGGGTGCTTTAGGTTTTTGGTGATGACTTCTACCTTGCAGAGGAAAATGGGGGTGAGGTAGAAAGATCTTTTGCCAAAACTGCTCTGAGGAACTTGTGTATTTGCCAACTAGATATGTGAAGGCCCGGGGGCAGGAGGAAACCTGGGGAAAATGTGTTTCCCCCCTGAAAATTTTGGATTGTGATTTTTTTTTGGGGGGGGGAGAATGATGAGTGAAAGGTTTAAGACAAGGTGTTCATATATTTACTTCACCAAGATAATTTCTAAAACCTTTATGTTAGACTATGTACAGTATTAGATCATTACAATTACAAACCAAGTTATACTAAATCCACTTTATGTTTCTAAAGTAACAAAGTGGCTTTTGATCTGTAAAGGGTAGTAAAATAAATTGCCCATTTTTCACATTTCTCCATACTCATATATTGTTTTGGCAAGTGCAAATTAAACAGATTCAGCTTTAAATGCGTACTGGATAACATTTATCCTCCATCTATTGTCTGCACCCTCCCTAAGGCTCACATCAGAAAAATGAAATGCTGCCCCACCCAATATGAGCCACTATGGAAAAAAAGAGAAGCTAGGCCAGTTTATAGGTGTAATTCAGAGGCACAATTCTGTTTCTCTTCCAGCCCATCAATTATTTCCTCCCTGCTCATTCACGTGCTGCTCCCATGTGGTAATGTACCTGCATGTGCCAGTTGTTCCAATATCTGAATAAAGAGCTTTGTAGGGGAAAGGCAGGTGTAGTGTGCCAGCTTTGTACTGCCTATGTAGGACACAGACTATATACGAAAATGAAAATCTCAATTTACACAAGCCTTGCAAACCTCTCATATTCATACCGTGCTCCCAGTAATCTCTTTCTTTTACTTAGTCACAAAGCACAACCAAGGAGCAGCAATATACACGCCTTTTAAGTTAATAAGAAAAAAGAAATGTGAAATTTATGATTTCTGCCTTTGAAGCCAACCTAGGATTTGAACCAAACTTCTGCAGATAACATATTTCCTTAGATATGGGACATTAATCCCTAAAAGAGGCATTTTTGGAAACCTCTCCTCCTTGTTCTTTAATTGAATATGTACTTTCTGTGAAACCAACTCCCCCACCCCATATAATCTGACAGTCAGTGAGAAAGAAAGCATACCCTTTTAAACATTATTTTTGGCAGCTGTTATAGAACAGACCATAAAATATAATCTTGAATTGTCATTCATTTAGCCTGTATGCCTGAACTGGGAAAGGTGTAAGGCCACATGAAGAATAACATTCCGTTTTTGTTTGAAAACTAAAAATGTGTCACTCATTAAAACTGTAGCTTGATTTTAGTGTGGCCTCTATAGTCATCGCTTACAAAAATGCATCACCGAAAAGAGAACGGATGAGGACTTGCATATGCTGATGCAGATGTGCAGATGTAAATTGAGAAGTAATGACTCTAATTTCAACAGAAATATAAAACAGCTTACCAAAATGGAGAACACTGTGACCTGTGAGAGCCAGTGTGATGTAGTGGTTAAGAGTGGTAGACTCGTAATCTGGTGAACCGGGTTCACGTCTCCGCTCCTCCACATGCAGCTGCTGGGTGACCTTGGGCTAGTCACACTTCTTTGAAGTCTCTCAGCCCCACTCACTTCACAGAGTGTTTGTTGTGGGGGAGGAAGGGAAAGGAGAATGTTAGCCACTTTGAGACTACTTAGAGTAGTGATAAAGCGGGATATCAAATCCAAACTCTTCTTCTTCTTCTTGTAACTTGCTCAGGTTGCTGTCCAGGTGTTGGCTTTTGACTGACAAATTCAGGGTCTCTCTTGCTCTCCCCCTTTGTGGTTCTTTAAACTGGACTTGGACCAGACAGGTAGAGGACTGTCCTCTGTAAAGTAGTCCACATATGCACATATCATGATTTTGAGATGTGTGTGTTTGGGAGGGGGTTGACTGTGTGTTTAGTAAAAATGTTCCTGCATCAGAAGGCCTTTGAGCCTTGGCAAAGCTGATTTCTGTTGCTTCAATACCCTCTCTCCTCTGAACTAGTTTTCCTTTGGAATTTTCGAATCCCCATCAGAATTCAGTGAATCCATTTAATTATTTGAGCATTTGTTGCCAGGGCATAATACAACTGTAATTTGTAGTGTTCACAGGGCGTAACCAATTGAACTATCGGGGGGTGGTGGTATTCATTTCATGTATTTCTGTGCAACATAGGATTTTTAGTTAGGAATGTAAATATGGCTTGATAAGAAAGGTGATATGAAGGGGCTTAGTGAGACGATGGGATAGTTGTAAAATAGATTAAATATGACAAGAGCACAGATATCATGACACTGTATAAGTCCAAGGAAATTTCCCTCCAACGTGTGGAAGAGAAAGGGATAGGCCCCAGAATGAACAAAAGGAAACTGAGCTTTTGGGACTATACTATTCAAACCCCCCCCCAATGGGAAATTTTTATAACAAGGCTAGTTCCACTTTATAAGTAAATAAAACAAATGAATGGCAGTTAATTGTTAGAGGCAAAAGCTCACAAGGTGAGTAGAAATAGGGCAGGTAGATCTCAGAGTTTGAAAGCCTTGGTACCATGACAGAAAAGGTCCACCCTTAGATTGTGAAGGGAACACAGACCAGAACTCAGTGTTTGGGTGGTTTTATATGATGCCAAAATGCTTCTGTACATTTCTGATAATGATGAACAGATGTGATGGAAGAGAGAGAAAGTGTTTAATGCAGGAAGCAGGCAATTAAAAAAGCAGGGGGGGGATTTCAGAGGGAGTAAGAAGAGGCAGGTGAGAAGTTCAGTAAACCTGAAGATGGATGTGACATGACATGTGAATGCATAATCAGCAGCTGACTTTCAGGCTCCAGGTTCCCTGAGCAACAAGTATGGGAGAAGGTAAACTAGGAATTCCTGTGCAATGTGGCTTCCTGACCGTGGGGATGGAGATGCAGGGGTAAGGAAGGGGATTGGTTGAGACCCAAGTTCTTGAGTCTATGGGATTGATGAAGCACAGCTGTAAGACCAAAAAGCCTTTGGGATCAGAAGGCTGGGGAGAGGAGGGGTGCCACTTTAATATTTCACCTAGTCATAGAGAAATGTCATTTGTGGCCTTTTATGTTTCTAAGTTGGTTCTATCTCTTTCAATTACCTTTGACATGAACTTTGTTAGTTTGTAACTGAATTCATCTGTTTGGTAAATAATGACGAGGTTGTGATCATTATTATTATTAATTATTATTTGGTTGTGGGTGGTTGTGTTGGACAACCTTCTAATCTTATAATTTGTCTTCTGCTGGTTATGTCTTCTGTATTGCTTGAGAAAACGGTAATAAAGTGTATGGAAACATACGTTACTAGTGAAAAAATGTATAATACCGATCAGATATTCACATATATAATCTTCCAACCCTTCAAACTGTTTCTTCCGGAATTTCTTTGGGCAGCAACCATGTTACTTACAAAGAAGTTCAACATACACTGCTCTGCTCCCGTACATTATCTGGTCATGGCATACACAGAAGTTTACACTTCTGTGGTCTTTGCCTTCTGGTCCTGTTTTCCACCCACACAGTCTCCGGAGATGAGTCACGCAGATTAGCTCTCTGCTTCTGTTCTGTGCTAAAGTGTAATCGACAAAATTCTGTTCAGAAGTGGCTGAAATTGGATGGATTTTTCTTCTCTAGCTATATAATGCGTCTTATTGAACTTGTTATATCTTCTAAATGTCTCTTTAAAATCAGGCGGGGTGGGGAACCTTTGACTGGAGGGCCTTCTTAGCACTTGCACATACCGCTGCCTTTGCTGATGTCCCTCTTTCAGGTGAGGGCAGGAGAGTTTTTGTAGCCAAAAGAAGGAGATGAAGAAGATGAGATGAGAGTTCACATTGAATGTGCACCGAGTGCAGCAGCTTCCACCTTCCCTTCTCCTTGCTCTGCTGTGCTTCTCCACCCAGAGAAAGCAGTTTTGCCAATTCCTACCCATGCCAGTCCCATCCCCCCCTCAATCCAGAATTCCCCTGTGGTGTAAGGACAACAGAATCTCTTTCCTGGGGGTTGGGGGTTGGGGTATGGCTTCCAGCAAAGAATGGCATAAGCAGTAAGTCAAGAAAGACGGGGTGAAGGGAAAGGGGGGAGCTTTGTGTTAGTGCCAGTGATGCAAACACAGAACTGGCATTTTGAAGGTCTTGGCCCCAAGAAGCTGGGAAAGCTGAGAGGTACTCAAGCAAGATCAATTTCACATAGCAATTGGAGCTTTATCAGCCAAATCTTTGGCTACAGGCCACTAGTTCTTAAGTCAACACATCCTTCACTATTATGCTCCAGCCATGATGATGTTTGCTTTTGCTCTGACTACTTTTTTTTGCACACTTAGCAACTCTGCATACTGGGTGGGGAATGTCATTTCATTTTTCCTCTTGTTAGTTAGGAATTACTAATTGTAAGAAAGGTGTCATGCTAGCTGACATGTACATTCCTGGCATTTCCTCCTTCTTTTTAAAGGCAGGAGGTCCAGGACTTCTCATTATCTGAAACTTGCTTTCTCTGACATGGGTTAAAGTTACTTAGCAGTGGGTGAGGAAATACACTGAGTTGCACTTTTCCACTTTTCTTCAGTAGATGTTTCCATCCTGAGTCCTAGCATCAGCATGCTAAAAGGGTTTTGGGTCTGGACACGAAGCCTCCTCAGCAGAGAGATTTTTGCAGTGTTTTGCTTCTGGTCTTCATGTTGGCTTCCCATGTTCTATCCGCTTCCTAGCTATCCATTCTTAACAGCTGCTATTTTGGGAGCTGTTCATTGGAAGCCAGTGTTTCACATTTCCTGAGGCTTTCTAGCACCCATCTTTCAAGCATCATAGCAGCCTACATAAAGGCTGTGAATGTTAACTGAAACCATCATGATGCAGCCGCAACTGAAGTGAAGAGAAAAAGGCAAGAATGTGACAACAGCCTGATGTTTAGAAGAGGGAGGGATTGGCATTTTGGGTGTTGGCTTAATTTTTTACTGTGTTCTCCTGCAGATGGTTTGATTCCATCTACATATGGAAGACTGAATTGCCGGTTGCAAATGTCCTTTAGCATTTTAAAAGAGAAGCAGGGGGAGTGGCAGTGGGTTTGTTGTGAGGGAAAAGATGACAAAGCTGAAAACGCACTTATTAAATGTTTTAAAGCTAGAAACTTGCTTAAGAGCAAGGGTTCCTTCCTCCACAATACACGTTTCCTGTTCCAGACTTGCACATGTCACATTGAGGTATAGCTAATCAGAAGTCCCCTGCAGAACAGAGACATCCAACTTTTGGGGACCAGTGGGAACATTTAGAATATTGAGAAAGGGTTATGGGTGCCAATAACAAAATGGCTGCCAAGGGATGTGGCATAACACAAAATGGCTGCCTCATCTAAAAGAGCAGAAGAAGAGACAGGACCACAGAATTGTGCAGGTATATACATCCCCATCAGCAGGAAAAAGATGCCTACATCAGCCACTAATGCACTGACTCTTCATACCTCTGTTCAGAACAGAAGGAGGGGAGGGTGTCCACTTCTGGCATCCAGGGACAGGTCAGCATAAGTATGTGTCCAGTGCAGGAGAGACCAAACCAGTGCAGAGAGAAATTGAACAGGAAGAGCAAACAGCCTCATGTGGATTTTTGAGGGGATTTTTTCTCAGGCCTTATGTGGGCATCATAGGAGGTACTGGCGGGCACATTAGCACATGCCAGAATCAGATACAAATGTGGTGTGCTCAAACATGTATTTTGAATCTGTGTATTTAGCATGCAGAATAAAATATGCAAAAGAGCATAATACATAGCAGCTCTAAGAACAGGATGTTCCAGAGAGAGACTACAACTCCTCTCATGTCCCAGCTGGCACATCCAATGGTCAGGGGTGATGGAAGTTGTAATTTACAACATTTTACTATCCCAGGTAATACCAGCAATGGCATGCTACTTTGGGGTCACTGCTGTGCTGCCTGCTTTTTTGTTTTGTTTTTAAATCTAGCTAAACTACTCTCTTAAGAGATTTCCTCAACTTTCTTGCAGGCAGTGTTAAATAATGCACCTTTTAATCTTCTCTCTCTTTGTCACTGTAATCATCTAACTGCAGTTCATCCCCCTAACATATTTATCTTCACCTGTTTATTTTGGCAAGACTGCATAAGGGGATAAAGTGATGCGACAGTGTTAATCTGCTCTGTTCTTCCTGTGTTTGTTTTTCCTTGAATCAATCAAACAAAAAGTCACATTTTACGTTATGGAAGCTTTCTGTAAGCACCGTGTTTATCCATAAAGGGCAATGGCTAAAGCTAATGAGCATTAGGTATTAGTCATTTTTACCTCTGATAATGGGCATATAATGTTATTAAAAGAAAACATCACACCCTATTGAACAAGGGATGGCAGCTCATATTTAGCCTGCTTATACAAAGTTGTCTTCTGACTATAGTTCTGATACCAATCATATGCTTCTGGTGGTGTTCATTGCTGTTGGCACTACAGGCACTATAGTATTCATTCAAGATAGTTTTAAATGTCCTGTGTGTTTTCATGTAAGTATGCATGCATGCATACATACGTGGTGTGTGTTTGGAGAATGCAGCTTCTATTGTCTGTACATTAAAGCAGACAAACTTCAGCAATTCACCCAGTTATATGCATTTCCAAATATGACAAACCTGAACCATTTTAAGGGAAAATATTTGGATAGAGAAAGGAGAAATGAAACCAAGTTATGAAAGTAAAGCCACTATCATATTTTTCCTCTACATTGAGCTTATGTTTGTTCACCTAGTTCCTGATTGTTTCTGGACACCTGCAGTCTTACTAGTGCCAAAGTGACATTTTCAATGTGGGCTTCCCTAGACATCCTTTTATTGTTCATTCATGATGATTTGTGCTCATGGTGGTATTGGAGTGGTTATATGCAATCCTGCTTTCAATACTTTGCACCTGCAAATGTTTTGGGGCAGACATTTCCACTAAGTGTGTTTCCTGTAACTTTCTCAGATTTTCTAACTTTTTGGACCTGCTTTTGTTGCACTAAGGCACAAGGGTGGCCCTCCAGGTGGCAATAATGTGCTAACAGTAGAACGATGTGTGGATGTTCCATTATAAATCCACCACTAATATGCTATTTTTGTGTTAATAACATGTTGCAGAATACATATACAACAAGCAAGCAACCAGACCCAAATCTGGACAGGCCCTGTATTCTTCTATATACTTAACAAGGAGGATTTTGTATAGTAACAGACTTCCATCAACTCAGTTGAGCATCACTATAAAGTGTTGGATGCATTTCTTATTGGGAGCAGCTGCACTGTCATCTGCTATGTGCTGCTGGATTTTCAATTTCCCATTTATTCATACAGTAAACAAAGAATGAAATGGAACTGTCAAACCGAATCCTATTGACTTGATGGACGGTTGGGCAGAAATGAAATGACAAATCTTCCACAGTCTGCAAAAGATATATTAAAAATGTCAAATATACCTCACAATGTCTCACAATGAACTATCTTACACAGATTACAAATAGTTTATAATTATTATCAAAGTATACATATATGATACGCTAGCTGGTCAGAGAAATAATGCACACAATAAACAGAGGAATCTAGTCAGCCCATGGCTTATATGAATAAAGCAACCATAACCAGCCTGGTATCCTCCTGACGTTTTGAAATACAACTCCCATCAGCCCAGTTAGCATAGGCAATGGTCAGGGCTGATGAAAGTTGTAGTCCAGCAACATCAAAAGGGCACTAGATTGGGAAGGCTGAAATATCTAAGTCAGGCATAGGATGCCACCTTGAACAACGATGAAAGTCACTTCCCCAGGATGACAGGGGCAGGAACAAAGATGCTGTTTTCTCTCCCGAAAGAGCACTTCTACTTTCAAATTGGTTTGTTTGCTGCATCTTTGGAGATAAGAAGTTCCATCTTCAGCTCTCATTGAGCCAAGTGTTGTGATACAAAAGGAGAAGAGCTAGAGAAGAGCAGTGAATATATGGCCTCTCCCTATACCATGTAATAGTGGATGAGGAGGCTAGGCTTGTTGCAGAGGAGTTATGCCATTCTTTACACCCCCTTAAATAAGAAATAAACCAGTGCCTAAGTCGGAGAAGTGAAATGCATAGTTTCACAGAATTAAATGGTCCTCAAAGGAAAGTTCCAAAAGTAACTCAGCCATATTGGGGCGGAGGGGTTATGTCACTGAATTGCGTAAGAGACCCAGTCAGTATATGTGATAATGGTGTGAATCCATTCCATGCTGTGTGTTCATGGTTAGTATGCTTTCTGTATCTGGGAAAAGTATGAAATTATGTGCTTTAAATGTGTGGGAAATGCAATATCCTCACAATGGAAGGAAAGATATGTGCACTGTGTTCAAAATCCTCTAAAGCTTGGGATAAGCCATCTGGTATGAAATTTGTCCCACTTACTGGCCAAGAAATTGCAAGAGGGAAAACGATAACTGTTTATTGCCCATTTTTTGGGAGAAAGCATTAACACTCGCTTTGATCGCTGCTCCAACACACTGAGTGAGTTCTGGCATGAGTAGCTTTCCACAGAAACACTTAAATCCTTCAGAGCCCCTGCAGTATCATTAACAAGACTGCTCCAGTAACAGCCAGCAAGTAAAGGAAAGTGAACAAAAGAGCCAAATAATTCTTAGGTCGAGGAAGATCTAATGGGGCAGGGAAGACCACTGTGAAAACTCACAATGTTCCAAAAAAGTGCAATGGCAACATTCAGCCCATACCGGTAAGCTCAGTGACCTTGGCATTGAAGCCTAACACTCTCTGTCTCCCTAGTTTGGCCATTAAATTTGTTGGTATCAGGTCTGGAAGCCTTCAAGCTCATCATGTTCATCAGATGGTTTTCTCCTTTTCCCCAACCCCAATGTAAAGTTCACAGCTTTTAAGGAGCAATTTGGTAGAGGAGTAGAGAAAACGACTCTATTTGAATTCAAGACTGCTCCATGATGGCAGTAACTTGTGCATCAGACAATAGTGTGAATTAGACAGCTTTTACGTCAAATAAATATATCTTATATGGCTTAGTTGTTGGTTCCCAGACGAAGAACTCAACACTTTGTAGCACTTATCTGACAAAGGACATGAACATGGTGTTTAAGTATTAGGGAAGCAAGGCCTATGGTCTATTTTCTCAAATGGAAGAGGTCTAGGATTGTGATTTTTTTGCTGTGTAGATTCTTGCAGCCCACCTTCATTCTTTTGTTCTTGTGTGTTTTTGTCCTTGGAACATTTCCTTCCAGGATAGTACAAAGGTTTTGAGAGCCAGTGTGGTGTAGTGGTTAGGAGTGGTAGACTCATAATCTGGTGAACCGGATTCATGTCTCCACTCCTCTACATGCAGCTGCTGGGTGACCTTGGGCTAGTCACACTTCTTTGAAGTCTCTCAGCCCCACTCACCTCACAGAGTGTTTGTTGTGGGGAAGGAAGGGAAAGGAGAATGTTAGCCGCTTTGAGACTCCTTCGGGTAGTGATAAAGTGGGATATCAAATCCAAACTCTTCTTCTCTTGTTTGAGGAGTGAATTCCAAACAGCTCTCAAACCCACCTTCTGCCATTAAAGTAAATACTGATGTAATGCTCCAGTTAACATTAGTGGAAATAGCTCTGGGATTGTCCTGAATGCTTCTGGACATTGTTGCATGGGATGCTAATATATAACCAGGTACATAGCTGATTAAACCTAATTTAATACAGCAGATGTTGCCGAGACCACATTAGGCTTAAAGAGAAGCTATTCTGTCTCACTTGATTGTGAACTAAGCTGTGTACAAGCTGCATGACTTCTCCTCCTACACATTCAGTATTAAAACTGCACAAATCACAGATTTCCTGCATGGCAGATATTACTTTAAAAACCTGTTTCCCAGATGCCTTGAAAACAGACAGAGCTTTGCTTTCCCCATAATTGTCATTTTCCTGTGAGCAGAATGTTCGATTTCTTTCTTGCAAAATTGTCTTTTAAAGTGATTTCTGGATAATTTCACTGTAATTGAAGGCAAAAACACGACAGAATTCTGACTTCAAATACATATAGATTAATTAATTTCCTGTTTCTTATGGTGTTTATATTTGAAAAAATGTATGGCTGCAAAAATTGTGTACATATTTTAATATTTAAAGCTGACAGGGAAATGGATATAATCAGAAACACCAAGCTTAGTAACACACAAGTCACACTGGATTTCCCCTAATGTTTAGTAGAGAATAGAAATAACATTAGAAAGTACAATTTTATTCTAAGTTTCGGACAAAATGCTGCTCACAAAGAAGACTAAGCCTTAAATTTTACTCTGTAGTCTGTGAGGTTCTATTTACATAAAATTGTTATAAAAACTGTTCAGGATTTGTTTCTGATATTCAGACAACAAGTAACCTTGTATCTTCCCCCATGCCCAGTATTTTTTGGACTTTCTGTGAGTCCATTTATAATTTTCAACAATTAAAAGATCCAGGAATCTGGCAAATCTTATAGAAGGGTCTCATGCTTCTTCCTTCACAAACGTGCTTTCTTTGTAGCCGTAATATAAGGCCCAAGCTTTCAAAAGCAGATTCTAACCTTTGGTTGTATCAAAAACAAATGTAGATCAAAGAGCATTTTTCCAAGTAATTTGTCACTCTACTCTAGCCTTCTCCAACCAGATGAGGTTGGACTCCCAATTCCAGTCAGACCCAAACAGCATGGCCCAATGACCAGGGAAGATGGGAATTGTGGACCAAAACATCTGGAGGGCGCCAGGTTGGGGAAGGCTGCTCTTCTTTACTATGAGGTTGCTAGTGTTATGGGGAACCCACAATCAGAGGTATGTTGCTACCAGCCTTCTGTTGCCTCTAAGGTGAGGTGAGGTCAATTCCCATGGCTATGAGATAGCACTAGGTCCACTCCAGGACACTTCAGATATGAAGTACTTGCTATTATTACAGCCACATATAGCTGACAGATTAATAGCACTTTCCCACATTAATTTATGGAGATTATGATCTTGTATCACCAAAATTATATTTTAGGGCACTTGTCAGATGAGATTTCTTCATTGCAGGAGGTTGGACTTGGGTTCCTTCCATGATTCTATTATTATTTTTTCCCTTGTTCCGAATGTCAACTAACTTACTATTTATTATTCTGGTACACAGAAAACTGCATTTCTTAATAGAATGAATGAAGGGGAAAGGCATTTGAAATGGGCAAAACAAAACATTAGATGCTATTGTGGTTTGGGGGGATTAGAGACAGACTGAAAAGCATTTTTTTTTTTTTTTTGTAATACACACTGATCATCTCAACATAAAGCTCCTTTTTTGGAAACAAGTGAAGCCTTGTTTACTAAAACTGTGACCACATAAATGCAACACAAACATTTTTCATATACTTGTTGTTGTTGTTGTTTAGTCGTTTAGTCGTGTCCGACTCTTCGTGACCCCATGGACCAGAGCACACCAGGCACTCCTGTCTTCCACTGCCTCCCGCAGTTTGGTCAGATTCATGTTTGTAGCTTCGAGAACACCGTCCAGCCATCTTGTCCTCTGTCGTCCCCTTCTCCTTGTGCCCTCAGTCTTTCCCAACATCAGGGTCTTTTCCAGGGAGTCTTCTCTTCTCATGAGGTGGCCAAAGTATTGGAGCCTCAGCTTCAGGATCTGTCCTTCTAGTGAGCACTCAGGGCTGATTTCCTGAAGAATGGATACGTTTGATCTTCTTGCAGTCCATGGGACTCTCAAGAGTCTCCTCCAGCACCATAATTCAAAAGCATCAATTCTTCAGCGATCAGCCTTCTTTATGGTCCAGCTCTCACTTCCATACATCACTACTGGGAAAACCATGGCTTTAACTATACGGACCTTTGTTGGCAAGGTGATGTCTCTGCTTTTTAAGATACTAAGTTTGCCATCGCCTTTCTCCCAAGGAGCAGGCGTCTTTTAATTTCATGACTGCTGTCACCATCTGCCGTGATCATGGAGCCCAAGAAAGTAAAATCTCTCACTACCTCCATTTCTTCCCCTTCTATTTGCCAGGAGGTGATGGGACCAGTGGCCATGATCTTAGTTTTTTTTATGTTGAGCTTCAAACCATATTTTGAGCTCTCCTCTTTCACCCTCATTAAAATGTTATTTAATTCCTCCTCACTTTCTGCCATCAAGGTTGTGTCATCTGCATATCTGAGGTTGTTGATATTTTCCCGGCAATCTTAATTCCAGCTTGGGATTCATCCAGCCCAGCCTTTCGCATGATGAATTCTGCATATAAGTTAAATAAGCAGGGAGACAATATACAGCCTTGCCGTACTCCTTTCCCAATTTTGAACCAATTAGTTGTTCCATATCCAGTTCTAACTGTAGCTTCTTGTCCCACATAGAGATTTCTCAGGAGACAGATGAGGTGATCAGGCACTCCCATTTCTTTAAGAACTTGCCATAGTTTGCTGTGGTCGACACAGTCAAAGGCTTTTGCATAGTCAATGAAGCAGAAGTAGATGTCTTTCTGGAACTTTATAGCTTTCTCCATAATCCAGCCCATGTTTGCAATTTGGTCTCTGGTTCCTCTGCCCCTTCGAAATCCAGCTTGCACTTCTGGGAGTTCTCGGTCCACATACTGCTTGAGCCTACCTTGTAGAATTTTAAGCATAACCTTGCTAGCGTGTGAAATGAGTGCAATTGTGCGGTAGTTGGAGCATTCTTTGGCACTTCCCTTCTTTGGGATTGGGATGTAGACTGATCTTCTCCAATCCTCTGGCCACTGCTGAGTTTTCCAAACTTGCTGGCATATTGAGTGTAGCACCTTAACAGCATCATCGTTTAAAATGTTAAATAGTTCAGCTGGAATATCATCACTTCCACTAGCCTTGTTATTAGCAGTGCTTTCTAAGGCCCATTTGACTTCACTCTCCAGGATGTCTGGCTCAAGGTCAGCAACCACACTACCTGGGGTGTACGAGCCATCCATTTTTTTCTGGTATAATTCCTCTGTGTATTCTTGTCACCTCTTCTTGATGTCTTCTGCTTCTGTTAGGTCCTTTCCACTTTTGTCTTTTATTATGGTAATCTTTGTACGAAATGTTCCTTTCATATCTCCAATTTTCTTGAACAGATCTCTGGTTTTTCCCATTCTATTGTTTTCCTCTATTTCTTTGCATTGCTCGTTTAAGAAGGCCTTCTTGTCTCTCCTTGCTATTCTTTGGAAATCTGCATTCGATTTCCTGTATCTTTCACTATCTCCCTCGCACTTTGCTTGCCTTCTCTCCCCCGCTATTTGTAAAGCCTTGTTGGACAGCCACTTTGCTTTCTTGCATTTCCTTTTCATTGGGATGGTTTTAGTTGCTGCCTCCTGTATAATGTTACGAGCCTCCATCCATAGTTCTTCAGGCACTCTGTCCACCAAATCTAAATCCTTAAACCTGTTCCTCACTTCCACTGTGTATTCATAAGGGATTTGACTTAGATTGTATCTTACCGGCCCAGTGGTTTTTCCTACTTTCTTCAGTTTAAGCTTGAATTTTGCTATAAGAAGCTGATGATCTGAGCCACAGTCAGCTCCAGGTCTTGTATGCTGACTGTATAGGACTTCTCCATCTTTGGCTGCAGAGGATATAATCAATCTGATTTCGATGCTGCCCATCTGGTGATGTCCATGTGTAGAGTCGTCTCTTGTGTTGTTGGAAAAGAGTGTTTGTGATGACCAGCTTGTTCTCTTGGCAGAACTCTATTAGCCTTTGCCCTGCTTCGTTTTGAACTCCAAGGCCAAACTTGCCAGTTGTTCCTTTTATCTCTTGACTCCCTACTTTAGCATTCCAATCCCCTATAATGAGAAGAACATCCTTCTTTGGTGTCGTTTCTATAAGGTGTTGTAAGTCTTCATAGAATTGGTCAATTTCAGTTTCTTCAGCACCAGTGGTTGGTGCATAAACTTGGATTACTGTGGTGTTAAAAGGTCTGCCTTGGATTCGTATCAAGATCATTCTATCATTTTTGAGATTGCATCCCAGTACAGCTTTTGTCACTCTTTTGTTGACTATGAGGGCCACTCCATTTCTTTTACGGGATTCTTGCCCACAGTAGTAGATATGATGGTCATCCGAACTGAATTCGCCCATTCCCGTCCATTTTAGTTCACTGATGCCCAGGATGGCAATATTTATTCTTGCCATCTCATTTTTGAGATGGCAAGAATAAATATACTTAGCTATTTTTATTAGTTAATTATTTAGCTATTTTAAAATGGGAGGCTATATGCAGGTACCAGCCCTTAGAAACCTTGGTTTTAAGCAGTATATATATTGTTGAGATAAATATTAAGATGCTTCCAGTGAAGACTTTCTGATTAATCATTTCACTAAGAGCTGATTAATCAGCTCACTAAGAGATACACTATCTCTGTAATGCACATTTGATTGTCACTAGTGAGCAATGCAATCTCTATGGTGCCAGGGAAGGCCCAACTCACCTCATGTTTCCACAGTGAAGCAAGAGCTTCAGCAGGAACACTTGCTCTATCCAATGGAAAATCCCCCAGAGCCATCAGAAATACCTCAGAATCCATCAGCTTCTGATGGCGGACCATCCAGCTTGGTCCCCCAATCCTGCAGACAGAAGTAGTTGATGCTAGATTAAACTTCACCAGAAAGTGGACCATAACCATGGGATAATATCTACCCTACTTCCAGACCACTCACCTCCTCACAAGGAGCAAAGATCAAATCAAGGGTATGTCCTGCTCTGTGTGTCGGGCGAGTGACCATCTGAGACAGTCCCAATGGTCACCATGGAGACTATGAAATAACAAGCTGGTCTCAAGGCATCCTCAGTATGGATGTTGAAGTCATCCAGAGAGGCTGTTGGGCAGCAGGGTGGATGGTACACCAACAGCATCCCTAGTCTGCTTCTTTGTCCCAGCACCAGATGCAACCTCCCAAGGAGGAGAGGGAACTTCATTGGCCTACCACAGTTCCCCCACCTTGTCTCTCCAGCTTGGCTTGGTACCTTACCAAATACCCAGGCAAGCAGAGCTGCATTATGCCCGGCCCATCTTGCTCCCCCACCTAGGTTTTAATAATAAGTGCCTGGTCATACCATGTTTGTTTAAATATAACTCATATTACGGTTTTCTCATATGCCTAATGTATTTTGACTCTTGGTCTGAATTTACATTTAGAATGATACTTTCTAGTGCAATCTTGAAACGTATTTTAATATTGAAAATGATTATTATCCAACTCTTTCGCCCTTTAGACAAAACAGCTTATATGAATCAGAGACTATATTATGATTTTGTTGCCAGACCTAAAAGAAAAGTCACATTACCAGATGCTCAGATTGTATTTCTCAGCACCAGCATTGCAGCAGCTGTAGATGTTGAAGAGACCCAGTATAGGGTTTTAATAGCTCTGCTTGCTGCTCCAACAAAGTAATGTAATAATATTGTTAATATTGGCAATTTGTTTATGTATATGTATAGTGTATATAAATTATTGTACACTCATATATTCAAAGACTCTGGATTGGTGGCACAGAGCCCCCACCCTGGTGCCACCTCACCCTTCTCCCTCCCAGTAAATGCCAGATATGTCTCTGGGAAGATAGCATTGCATATCCCACCCCACGAGGTGAGTCATTTTGAAGTATAGTCATACCTTGGATCCTGAACGACTTGGTACTCGGATGTTTTGGCTCCCGAACGCTGCAAACCCGGAAGTGAGTGTTCCAGTTTGTGAACGTTCTTTGGAACCCAAACATCCGACGGGGCTTCTGAAGCTTCTGATTGGCTGCATGAGCTTCCTGCAGCCAATCAGAAGCCACAGTTTGGTTTCCTAATGTTTTGGAAGTCGAACAAACTTCCAGAACAGATTCTGTTCAACTTGCAAGGTACGACTGTATAGCATACATGCCAGTTTTACAGGGTTCACTGGAAATTCTGTTACTGTAGACAAATAACTGCATTTAAAAAAAAAAAAGTCTGAATGGGAATCTTAGAAAATCAAATACGACAACAACAATAATGCAGAATGCAATTACACAGGCTTGCATTATTATTTCAATTGGACATCACTCCTTGTTACACTGTACAGGACTTTAGCCCGTCAGTGTGATCTGATACATGTTGGCTTGGATTCTAGGTTGTCATGATCTGGTGCGCATTAACTTGAGTCCTGACTTTCCTTACATGAATACAAGAAGGGGAGCCTTAGATGTAGGTGGGAGGTGATAAAAATCACTCCCTGAACTGAGAAGCAAACTAGGATCTGGGTGATTTTATTATATGATTGTATGATCTCTCTCTGCGTGTGATCTGATGTGTACATTATTCATTTTGATTATTGTTATGTGTATATGCCCAACACCACATTTTTCTTTGTGTTTTAGGGGAGCCAGAATTCAAATACGTTGGCAACATGCATGGAAATGAAGCTGTGGGAAGGGAGCTCCTCATCTTCTTAGCTCAGTACCTCTGCAATGAATATCAGAAGGGCAATGAGACCATCATCAACTTGATTCACAGCACACGTATCCACATCATGCCGTCGCTGAATCCAGATGGCTTTGAGAAGGCAGCGTCACAGGTATGCAAGCAGTAGCCACATAAGCAAATATTTTCATTAATAGAATTTGTTGAATGCATTTACCAGTGGTATTATTGCTCAGTGCAGCAGGTTTGAAATGAGGAGTTTACAGTGGTGGCTAAAATCATCACTTATATTATGTCCTTCTGGATGATATACAGGATGGAGTGATGGCCACCAACATGGCCTCAGCCCAGTATACCTGAAGTAGTGTTTGCATCCCCATCGTTCAGCCTGGACACTGAGGTCCAGCTCTAAGGGCCTTCTGGTGGTTCCCTCACTGCAAGAAGCCAAGTTACAGGGAACCAAGTAGAGGGCCTTCTCAGTTGTGGTACACACCCTGTGGAATGCCCTCCCATCAGATGTCAAGGAAATATACAACTATCTGACTTTTAGAAGACATCTGAAGGTAGTCCTGTTTAGGGAATATTTTTATATTTTGTTGGAAGCTTCCCAGAGTGGCAGGGGAAACCCAGCCAGATGGGCAGGGTATAAATAAATTATTATTATTATTATTATTATTATTATTAAGGATTAGACAAATTCATGTAGGATGAGGCGGTCCATTGCTACTAGCCACATAGGCAATATTGTGTGGTTAAGGTTCCTGATCATGAGTATAGATCCAGAACAGCATGTACAGTTGTACATATGCAAAGTCATTTTTGTACATTCCTCCCAGCGTGCAGAAATTGGGGCCAGGGCCAGGGCCAGTGGATTGTCTCCTGATCTAATGCACACATTTATTGAATGTGTGGATTGGGACGTAAGAAGAGGGCTTGTTTCCCACCCTGACAATGACCTCCCCAAGGGCCTTCTAGCTTTAGCAATGTAACCATAACATATACACTTGGATTATTCTGTGTGTGTCATGAGTGAAAGGCCACTTACATGGCACTGTTCCTTAGTGGCTACAATGCCACAAACATTTGTTTATAAAAAATCATACCAATCTCTAAGTGGCTTACTTCTTCTTCTTTGGCAATTACTTGTAGCTGAGTAAGATAGTCTTCCATAAACACGGTTTTAACAGTGAGTCCGTAAGTGACTGTGGAGGCCAATTCTGGATCCACATGTCCTTCCACAGTGGGGACATAGGTTTTCGGGCGGGAGTTGATTACAGTGAGTGTTTGCCAAGCGTGCCTTCCTCTTAGCACATTTCTCCCTTTCGTCCTGAGTTTGAGCGTCTTCAAAGTCCATGATACCTTTGGTAAAGGCTGTTCTCCAATTGGAGCACTCGCAGGCCAGTGTTTAATAGAATCTTTAAGTGGTTTAGCTTACATAATGTGCATAAATAGGTATTCATCGTTGTCATCCATGCCTGGTGTTATCTCACTTCCTCTCACTGGCATTCTACATGGAGCATTTTGCAGATTTCACCTAGCTTCTTTCAGTTTCAGATACATTGTACATGCAGTTAGAACTATCCCAAAGTTACTTGCTGATAAGTGAGTCATGGTTGCCTTGAAACACCAATAAATTATAGATTAGGGATGTTCAGTGTGGGAGCACCCTCTGGTGGCTCCATGTTACATTTTCTCATGGACACCTTGCATTTAAACACAAATTGGCCCAAAGGAAAGCTTTTCTTTTTCATATTTGTCCTGCATTTCTTATTCCAAGAACCAACATTGCTACTAATACTTTGATCAATACATAGTAGATGTGTGCATTTATCTCATATTGAACTATTATTTCTAAATTTCAAGGACTCCTAATTTTATACAGCCGTGAGGAAGTGGCTATTAGAATGTCTACTCATTTTTTTAACCCATGTAATTTTCAATATCTACTATGTATTTTGGAAATTTGTTTGTTCACTGTACATTTGGACACCTTAAGATATCATAACCAAATTTTGTATGACGGTTCCTGAGATTGAGTAGCAGGTTTCTTTTTCTCTCTCTGGATACCGATAGACACCCTTTTGACTGGAGATAGCTGGTGGAACTTTTCAAAACTGCACTGATTTTAATCACTATTTTCAAAACTGCAGTGAATTTTTTATATATATCGAATTCCTAAGCAGTGTCAGGTATGAGGCTGCTAGTTAGCTATATTTTTTGGTTAATTTTGGTTAATTCACTGTGGCTAAGCACCACAGAACTTGCGTATCAACTCAGACACAATTCTGTCAACGGAGACAGTGAGTGTCAGTCATCAAGTGAAGAATATGCATGTGTTAAATCAGCCACGAGAATCAGTATGCTTCTGAGGACTAGATGCAGATACTGGTGAATGTTTCCAGAATGCCATGCTTTTGAATTTTTCTGAGAGTCTTTCAAGTCACCACCAAGACAACACAGTGATGATAGATAGATAATACTTTATTCGGCTATAAGCCCACAAGGTAAAACAAATCAATAGATAAAAATCAATAGATAAAATCAATAGCATTTTACAATCTAAAATATCAACTAAAATATTTCAACGCATAATCTCTAACTGTACCGTGTTATGGCCTTGAAGATAAAGATGGTGCATAGAGTTTACTGAATTTTTAATAGTCATGCAGCATTCCCTGAAGTCTTTTATAAGACAGAACTGAGATCAGGAATCTAGCAACCTGTAAAGTTCTATAAGAGTCAATGTCCTGGAGTAGATAAGCTAGATGTAATTCAGGTGGTTTAGCAGCAATTTCCAGGATGATTGAACTCAGGATCCTTGATCGGGGAACATTGTATAAGGGGCAATTAAACAAGATATGATAAAGGGATTCTATCGATTTGTTGTCACATGCGCACAAAACAGAGATTTTACCGTTAGAAAATCTATTGCTCAGCACATTTGAGGGGAACACATTAAATCTGGCTCTAACAAATGCGAATCTATGCGACGCAGCCGATAAAGTAGACAGATATCGAGGTATCTGGGACATAGATGTAATGCCCTGATATATCGGGGAACATGTACCTCCACCTGTGGTAAGATTTTGTTGTAAATCTACATCCTCCAATCTTTGTTTGATGACCTTTTTAGCTGTAATTAGATCTAAATTAAGTATATCGGAGGGAGAGATTCCATAAGACAACAGTTTGGAATGGATTTTTGTTGCCCATGGGCTGGTGAATTCATCTCTCCAAAGGCACTGAATAAGATGGTAGTTTGGCAATTTATGCCAAAGGGACAGCCAATAATTAAAGGCATGTCTCCACATCAGAATCTCAAGGGAGGGGGTCTTAAGTTCTAAGCGAATGGCAGAGTTGCTTACACAGGAGGGTAGTTTCAAAAGGCGTCTTAGAAAAAGATTTTGCAATGTCACCAGAGGCAAGAGGTTTACAAAGACGCCCCATAAAGGGACCGCATAGGCCATAGTTGCAACCACTTTTGCACTATAAACTTTTAAGGCGGATGGAACATGCATAGCCCCTCAGTAAAGAAGAAGCGTAGTATAGCGTAGATAAGGGCTTTCACCTTGTTTTGTAAATATGTGATATGCGCTTTCCATCCCATATTATACTGGAAGTAAATTCCTAGATATTGAAATTTGTAAACTTGTTCAATTGGCTTCCCCTCAAGTTCCCATCTATACAGTTTACGACTCCTGGAAAAAATTAGGACTTTAGATTTGGAATGGTTAATAGTGAGTAAATTTGTTTGGCAATATGATGCAAAAATCTTAAGGGCCCTCCTCAAACCGATTCGAGAATAAGAGAGGATCACCGCATCGTCAGCGTACAATAATAAGGGGCAGCGATAGTCTGCAAGCCTGGGTGCATGAATGGAGGTTTGGGCCTCAGCTAGGGGCGTCCTCATGTCACTAATATAGAGGTTAAAAGATAGGGGGCAAGGATACACCCTTGTCGTACCCCCTTGTTTATTGGAACTGAGTTTGTTAGATCGCCCTCAGGTGTTAACCTCACCCTAGCAGCCGTCCCTTCATGTAATTTAATCAATAGCCACAACAGCCTTTTTTCTATGCCCCACTTTGCCAGTTTTTCCCATAACAGCTCTCTAGAGATACTGTCAAAAGCCGCCTTCAGGTCTATAAAAGCGGCACATAGAAGACCATGAGTAGGGGAAGAATATTTCCGCGCCAAATGATATAGAATTATAGCATGGTCAATAGAAGCGCGATTTGGTCTAAACCCGACCTGTTCATGGCCTATCAGATTGGAATCTTCGGCCCATTGGGTTAGTCTGGTTAGCAAGAAGCGAGTGTAGATTTTTCCGATGATTGATAATAAACTGATATTACGATAGTTTCCTGGGTCCTCTGGTGGTCCTTTATATATAGGAATTATGATGGACTCCTTCCATGATGTAGGTATCTGGCCCGTGGCATTGATTGCATCAAAGATTTTTGCAAGAATTTTAGCCCACCATATTGGATGTTGTTTAATAGCTTCCGCCGGGATCAGATCGGGCCCTGGGGCTTTATCAGTTTTCAGTTTGGCAATTAAATCTACTATTTCCTCCGGGTCAGTATCTGGCCATATGGGCAAGTGACTTGAGAGAGTATCAGATTGGATGTTAGAGATGTCTGTCTGGGAGAAATATTTTCTTAGAAATTGTTCCCATGTCGGGGCTGGGATAACCGTCAATGGGTATTTCCTCGATCTTTTGTTGATTAAATTCCAAAAACCGCGAGAGCTGCGAAGCTTAGAGGCAGCAATCAGCGCTTGCCAACGTCTTAGCTGCCACTCGTGCTTGGCTGACTTCTGAGCCTGTTTGTAAGCAATTTTGGCCTGCAAGTACTCTGGGGGGAGAGTTTCAGCTCCAGAGGCTTTATATCTGTTGTAGATACAACAGAGAGAGAGTCTAGCTTGCTTACATTTGGCATCAAACCAAGGTGCACCGAACCTGGGTTGATCACGGTTAGCGAGGTGAGCCGGCATCGTAAAGAAACTAGTTAAATCTGCAGAGAAGTGGGAGAACCACTCCAGTATCCTATTTGGTTCAGACAGCTCCGCCAATGAAACAATAAGGGATTCGGAGCTATTCCTCTGGAAGAATTCTGCATATTTTTGGGCCTGTTTCATGGACCATTTAATGCCTCTTACTTGAGCTGTGGCATTTAAACCTACATGAATTGGGTGTGTTCCGCTAACCGGGTGCCAGTCAAGCGTTAGCTTGGCCGCTAGAGGTAGGTGATCACTGGATTGTACATTATCTACTTTGAGATAAAAGAAATTTGAAAATAGGTCTTCTGAGACTAGAAGATAATCTAGGACACTATTTGATTTTGTGCCCAAATGAGTGAATTCACCTGGCACGTCCGGAGGGCAGTTGCCATTTAGAATGTTCAAATTCATACGAATGGCCAATTGATAAAGAAGGACTCCCGCCTCATTCACTCTGTTGTCCTTAGATCTTCTTGATGTGAAAGAGATTAAATCAGATTTTGGGTAGGGGAGATACCCACCACTTGGCCTTAATTATCCCATTCCAGTTGGCAGCTGTACGTGCATTGAAGTCACCACCCATTATCGATGGAATATTAGGGTACTTAACATAGCATGCCAATAAATGATCTTCCAGAGAATCCCATCTATAATGAAGGTCTGATATCAGACCACCTGGAGGAAGATAAACATTGGTGATTAATAGTGAGAATTTTTCACTTGAAATCAGACCAGTAAAAGCAAAAGGAGGAAAGGTATGAACTAGCGAGAGTTTAGCTCTCATTTTAAGCGATATGGCGATTGCAAGACCGCCTCTGGACCGGCCACCTTTCTGGGAGGGGATAGCTGGAAGTGATATCAGTTCAAAGCCATTTATATCTATTTTATCTTCTTCCCATGTTTCTTGCAAAAGGATTATCTGGAAAGAGTTTATATAGGACAGAAATTCGGGATCTAATCTTTTCCTTTTCCAGCCAGCAATGTTCCAACTTAGGACTGCTAGCTGGGGACTTCTATGTTGTTCTTTTAACAGTCAAAATGGAGGGGGGGCAGACTCTCTGTTAGAGACAGAAGATGTAACAAAAAAGTCAGTTATTTTACTTTGGGAGGATGGTAACTGTGAGGCGCCCTGCAAATTAAAGTTTTTAACAATTTGGTTCGACTGTTGGCACACCGTGGATGATCCACTGAAAGTAGGTCTCTGAACAGGAAGTCTCTTCATTTCGAAATTCTTGGTACAACTTGACAGAGAAATACCCAGGTAGGGGAAATTGAGTCCGTCGGGGTAAACCCTCTCGCAGATTTGTCATCCGACATTCGGATTATTTTATTGATGCGTCCCATCGGGTCTTCAATCATTTCTGACGGCGGGTCCCGAGGTGTAACATTCGCAGTTTCCTTTGAAGGAGGTAATTGAGGGGGCATCACGGAGGTGGAAATTGCGGAAGACTCTCTCAGGGGCATCACTTGTGGACTACTTCTATATCTGGACGAAACCGGAGAAGATTCTAGCTCTGGCATAGATGAGTGAGTTAAAGAGGGATTTGAGTCAAGCAGGGAAATCAGAATTTCGTCCTTAGATATGTTGGTTGATGAATATAGATGAAGGTTCAGTGAGGATGGCAGAGCCTGGTCGTCTCGTGATGTAGCGCACGCTGCAGAAGCAACTTGAAGATTTGAGTCTTGTCGGATGGTTTTTGAATTCAGAGTGGGACTGAGCTGAAGAAGGTCAACCACTTCTGTCCGGTGGGCCCAAGTGGGATTATTTGAGACATCGTTAGTATCTTCCCCTCTATGTTGGACTTGCAAAAGCTGAGATTTAAGCGTGTCAAATCTTTGCATCATCACCGACTGTTCTTTCGGAGGAAGGGCTCTGAATGAATCAATAAGTTCCCTTTCGTCGAGGGCAGTCTGCAGATTATCATCCTCATATATAGCAGTTTGAGAGGGTATCGAGTTTGGTCGCGGATGGCACGCTGCAGAGTCATCGCGATTGGGCCTGACAGTATTTTGAGGTAAGGCAGAGTCTCTTGTCCTAATGTCCTCACCGCCAGGGCACCTATTTAGAAGGGGTTTGATCTTGCTGTCTGTAAAAACCCTCGTTGCTACAATGTCGGCCATGGACAAAAGCGTTTTCCTCCTAACAATAATAGATGGTATCTTTTCAGAGTGGAACGCAAGTATCACCTTCAAGAAGTTGGTCTGCCGGGAAGGGGCATTACAGCATATAGGTCAATCTGATATTTCTTAATTTTTAAAAGTTTGCTTAAGCAGTCTTTAGCTCCTTCTAGCGTTGACCATCTTCCTATTTCCGACCTGACAGAAAGGCAACTTTTCTTGGGTTGCAAAGTTAATATCTGATTGTTCAATTGGGAATTTAAGACATATTTAGTTTTAGTCTCCAGTATTTTATCTGAATGGGGGTGAGGCAATAAGTTTTTGACCTCACAAACTGAGGATTGTGTTGTTGATTCAAGTTTTCCGATTTTCAGCAGGATATTGGATAATTGTGAAGATACCTCGTCCAGCCTTTTAAAAATACAGTGAAGGGTCTTAATTACTAAGTGTAACTGCTCACAACTGGGGAACTCCCCCATAACAGATGCCAAACCATCTTCCTGCGATGGGAGTTTTTCTTTCGTATTCTCCTTTACAGGCTTTACATTTGAAACATTTTGAGTCATCGGAATCGGAGTAGCTTCTAATTCAATTAGAGGTTGGAAGCGATTTTGGGTTTTCACTGCAAAGCATTGCTCGGCATGGTCACTCCCTCCTCCATTCCGGTGTGGCACCAACCTTGATAGTTTTGGTTTAGGGGATGATAGGGGCTCGTCAAAGTCTCTCAAGCGTTTTTCTGACCCATGCTTTCCTCAGGCCAGAGATTATACGATTCTTAAAATAACATAACACTTAACACGCAATTAAGATAATGGCGTTCTCAACTCCTTTAGCAGCTAAAGCCAGCCCGCTGATATGAGAGAAACAAAGAGCGGCTTGCAGCAGTCTGGAGCAGGGCCAAATCTCTCAAAGAGTTTCCAAGGTATGCGGCTGCAGCAATTATAAAATACTTCAAAAACTGACTGAGTCAGTTGAGATAAAAGTATAAAAGATTAAAAAGATTAAAAGAAGTCCGAAGAGCACCGGTAAGCGCGTCTTACCTCGGCGCCATGTTCGCAGTTCCCTGGAGTTTCAGACCAGAGCCTTTCCCCACACAGTGATGAGCTAAATGGGCCATTTCTCATGGAAACTATGTTATACTATTAAATGATAGCATCAGTGCTATTTTCTAATAATCCCTCTTGATTACTTCTTCTTTTTAGCCTGGTGAACTCAAAGATTGGTTTGTTGGCCGAAGTAATGCCCAGGGAATAGACCTAAACCGAAATTTCCCTGACCTGGATAGAATAGTTTATGTCCATGAGAAAGAAGGAGGTCCAAATAATCACTTACTGAAAAGCCTGAAGAAAGCTGTGGATCAGAACCCAAAGGTAAATAATTGCAGTTTACCATCAACATTATAGACTGTCATCTGTTTCTCTTCAGAGAGTTCCATATGCCCTTTCAATCAGGGGACTCATCTACATTAATCAAAATACAGTGATTTGAATGCGTTATAAACATGCAACACCAGATGGAGCCAGATAGAAAAAAAACCTTTCTATAATGATTTAATTTCTGACTTATTTATAGTGGTTTCTTTCCTGTGTGTAGATCCACCCAGGCATTAAAAAAAGAATCAATCCACGGGGGTCTGAAAATTTAATAAATAAAGCAGAATTGGGACAGAAAGTTGTATTGATTCAAATATTTCAGCACATGATAAACTTTTCTAGATTTCCGTAGCATGTTTCTTTCAGATGACTAGTTTTACTCTACAGAGGAAAGACCTTCCCCTCCCCCACCTTTTGGTACTCCTCTCCTTTTGTCTATGTGGTTGCAGATGGATGTAGACAAATGGCCAGAACCTATGTATAATATGGTCAAGAGCAAGGTGAAAACCAAAGGTTGTGCAAAATCCAGAGGAGTATTTTTTTAGGTTTCAACTTGAGGTCTTCTCTGGACCAGGAATGCTGAAAAGGCAAGCAGACAGGATCAGAACTAGGAATTCAAGATAGGATGGACAAGGGCTTCAGGACAGGACATGTTAGTGTTTTTAAGAGTATGATGCTAGAACATCTTTTTAAAGAGCATCCTTTTTTCTTGCTAGAGTAGAGCAGAAGGGCATACTTGACCTCAAATGTATTCTCAACACTTCTTTGTTCATTTGTTTTAGTATTTACGGGCCATTTTCCCATTGGAAGACCCTCAAAGTGCCTTATGGTACAAACAAATACAGCAAAAGTCCAATGATCACAATAATAAAACATTAAAAACAGAGAATACAAAGAACAGTAAAGTTAGGCAATAAAGAATATCAAAGAGGCCATAACTAAGCATAAAATTCCTTAAGGCTAAAGGTCTGACAAAATAAAAGTCTAGCCACCCAATGACATGCTTCTAGAGTGGCATATTTTCTCCCCTACAAATTCAACCTGCTGCTGCTTAGACATTCCCTGGAGATCCAGATCTCTTCTGAATATTCAGTTGGACCCAAGGCCAGAAATGGGTGAAGGCAGCAGGGGACCTCTGTGGGCTTCTTCACATACACATATTGTGTGACTCTGAGGCCTAAATCCAACAGAGAGTTAAGATGGCTGAAGCCCATTAATGTGTTGCGTTTAGGCCTAAGTCTACACTCAGCTGGGACGTGGGTGGCGCTGTGGGTTAAACCACAGAGCCTAGGGCTTGCCGATCGCAAGGTCGGCGGTTCGAATCCCCGCGACAGGGTGAGCTCTCATTGCTCGGTCCCTGCTGCTGCCAACCTAGCAGTTCGAAAACACGTCAAAGTGCAAGTAGATAAATAGGTACCACTCCGGTGGGAAGGTAAACGGCATTTCCGTGCGCTGCTTTGGTTCGCCAGAAGCGGCTTAGTCATGTTGGCCACATGACCCAGAAGCTGTACGCCGGCTCCCTCGGCCAATAAAGCGAGATGAGCACAGCAACCCGAGTCGGTCACGACTGGACCTAATGGTCAGGGGTCCCTTTACCTTTACGTTTTACTACACTCAACTTGTGTAATGCACCTGTTAGTAAACTTGTGTGTTGTAATCATACATCAGCACCTTTTATTGGTACATCCTGAAGATATAATGTAATTCTGATTCAATTTTCAGAAGTCATGGAATTTCACAGGACTCTAAATAAAGCTTATGTGATAGCGCTTGTTATACAGTATTAACCTATTTACTGGCTTTGAAGTGCTGGTGAATAATACATGTTTCTTCTTCAATAGCTTGCGCCTGAAACAAAAAGTGTAATTCACTGGATTATGGATATCCCCTTTGTGCTGTCTGCCAACCTCCATGGTGGGGACCTTGTAGCAAACTACCCTTATGATGAGACTCGAACTGGTATGTACAATATGCTTGAATGTGCAATCTGTTCATTTCAAAAGCATGTGAAATATGCCATCATTTTGGAGCTGTAGAAAGTTCAGTGTCCATAATTCTGTGGCAGTATGTAATGTCTTCAGAAAGATACAGTATTTCTGCATGCCACTGGCAGCTGATAGAATTACTGATCACAGCTACAGTGTAAGAGAGTAAGGTTTAGAACAGGATTAGGCAACCTAAGGCCCAGGGGCTGGATCCAGCCCAATCGCCTTCTAAATCCAGCCCACAAATGGTCTGGGAATCAGAGTGTTTTTACATGAGTAGAATGTGTGGTTTTATTTAATATGCATCTCTGGGTTATTAGTGGGGCATAGGGATTCGTTCATTTTCCCCCTCCAAAATATGGTCCAGCCCCCCCCCACAAGGTCTGAGGGACAGTGGACCGGCCTCCTGCTGAAAAGGTTTGCTGACCCCTGGTATAGAATGACTGTAGACACCAGAAGTCAGCAGTGGAGGAAAGGTGGCCTCATTCAGCACCCTGCAAGGGCATGGTTGCTTACTAAAATGAGCCAGTTTCAAACTATGGTGTATAAAACTGGCTTGTTTCAACATTAAACACAGGTTAGAGTTTAGACATAATGTTCACACACTACATCTTAAGTATACTTTAAAATATCTTATATGTAATCTTTATAAAATGTAAATGTGTAAATGTGTCCCTAAATGTTGGTGGCTAAATGACATATGTGAGATGAACGCACTCTGCTTTTGCCCTGTAACTTGAAACGACATCCACAGTATGAAGACTTCATTGTGACCAACTGATCCATGCCATTGTGCATCAATTAAAAATCCCAAAATAAAAATAAAAATTGTGAAAATAACAACCATCTTATTTCTCTTTGGTGAGCATCTGGTAATTGATCTCACCGTATTTTATTTTTCTTAAGAAATATTTGCAGATTAAAATGCATTATTGTTGCTCAGATAATTTTATTTTATTTTTAAAATAATATTTATTGATAATTTCAAAATTACAAGAAAAAAAAATAACAAACAACACTACAATACAAAAAAAAGAAAAAAGAAGAAGAAGACAATAAAAAAGGAGGAAAAAAAGGAGAAAAAAAGGAGTAAAACACAAAATGTGAAAACCCATATAACAATACAGCAATAAAAAAGAAGAAAAAAGAGAAAAAAACCCACAAATCCCAAATTGCATATCTATAATTTCCATTTGCTTGTTTCATTGACCTCCTCACACCTCCGTTTTTGTATTCTAGTTTAGTAATTATTTCAGCAAATTCTTTCCATCTTTCTCAATTTTTGTTGTAAAATTTGCCTTAACAATTTAACCAAGTAATTAGCTCAACAAATCCTTACCATCTTTCCCCATATTCTATTATTCAGATTACCTTGATTTATTTATCCTTATCTTACCCCTAAGTGCCTTAAAACTTAAATCTTAAATTTCAAATATACATAACTCCTAATATCATTTCTGCTAGAGTCGTATAGTTTCATTCCCACATTTTCCCTAATATTCATTAGCTGATTCTAAAATAAAAAAGTTTCCATTATAAATTCTCTTCCAATCATCATCCAGCGTCTCTTCTTCCTGGTCTCGGGTCATGTCAGTCCTTATTGTCCTTATTGTCCATTCCGTCTAGTCCATCAACCTGGAAGCCTTATGTCCGAGGCCCTTAAATCTCTTCCATGTCCCTTCTGCAATTCTTCTTCATCTTGTTTGTGCTTGCCCTTTTCCTTGTCTCTTGTTGGTCTCTGTCTTAGTTTCTTTCCTTTCTCGTTGAGGAGTAGGTCTCTGGGGGATTCCAACCCAAAATTGTCTCCATCACCCTTCATCCAGCTCACCCATTCCCCACAGTCCCACTCACCACAGTCCTCGATGTAATCCAAAATGAATTTAAAATCAAATTTCAGAATCTCTCCAAAGCTAGAATAATTTTAACTGCTCAGATAATTTTAACTGCAACGTGGCTGCCTTATTTGTATGTGCAATGTGACTAGATTTAAATAAATACAAATAAGGCTAGTTTTAGCTACCTTTGTTTTTGTTTTCATGATTGTTTTATTGTTCTTAGCTCTTTTATTGAACTTGGATTTATTGTTTTAAATGGCTCTGATAATCTTTTAAAATACAAAGTAGTTTAAAAATTATTTGAAATAAATAAATTAAGTGCTTCCAGCCTTTTTCCTATGAGACTCCCCCCACCCCCAAGAGTAAATACTTTGGGCAAAAGCAACAGACACAGAACAACATAGGAAAAAAATAAGTCTATCTGTTCCTCTACATGTTTTTGGTTTTATTTCCTCAGGTAGTGCACATGAATACAGCTCCTGCCCAGATGACGCTATTTTCCAAAGCTTAGCTCGAAGCTATTCATCCTTTAATCCCGCCATGTCTGATCCAAACAGGCCACCGTGTCGCAAGAATGATGACGACAGCAGTTTCATAGATGGAACAACCAATGGTGGGGCTTGGTACAGTGTTCCAGGAGGTTTGTGTCAATCCGTTACGATACTTCAGAGATTCGTTTATTGTAAAGAATAACAATTACAGTGTGTACACATACACCAACACACGTGAATGGACAGTGGGTCTCAGCAGCAAATCAACTGCTGGTTCCCTTCACTGTAGCTAAAACTTGCAACTTCTAAAAATTTGCCTTCACTTATGTAAGTCTAACTTGGCAAAATGTATTACTGTTCCGTCAACACCTTTGCACATCTCTATAGAGGTAAATGTGTCTTCTGAAAGCTCATCTCTCAAATGTGATGAGAGAAGTGGCCCTCTGGGAATAAATGATTTGTACTCACAACAATCAGTGACAGTCATACTGACTGTTGCCTACCTTGCTATTTCTTGTATCTACTACAAAAGTATCCCGATATGGTAGAGGCTAACCACCAAGTAATTTGGAGAGAGAATCCCTGCCACACAAAAAGCTTAATACGTGACCAGAGAGAGGATGTAAGAGGCAGATATAGAATACAGTGGAGGAGAGGGGAGAAACAGCTATGCAATTATACCATAAAACTCAAAAGCTTCTTTGTTCAATTGTACAGGATGACAAGGTACAAAGAAGGACAGGTTTCCTGTGCCTTGAAAATAGTTAAGCAGGACGACAAATTTCAAGAAGAGCAACTTTTCTCAGAACTGCTTGCACCTGTTGAATAAACTATTGACGACATAGAAGTACCTGGTCACCTTGCCTGTATAGATGAATATGAGTGAAACAGTCAATTTTCCCTAAGACACATAATAGCCAGACATTGGAGGGTCTTCCTTTGCTTTTAAGCACCCCTGAGCATTGCTAGTCTGTATTCCTAAAAGGGCTCCCAAAGTGCAGGATTAAGGGACTCTAATCTGATTCTCCTGCACAGAAATAGCACCAGCAAGAAGATTACCTTGTCCTGCAGCCAGACTGCATTTTCAGTGCTGATGGATATATTCCTGTACATTAGCTGCTTAAGTCCTATTGAAGTCAATAGGAGCAAAGCAACTTTACAGGCTGCAGGACTGCGGCCTTTGTTTTTAAGGTGTTGTTAGCGTAGTCTGCAACTCTTGCAGTTGTTACTCATTTTAATTAAATTATTATTGTTGGGCACACAACAAACATTCGTGGCATAGGTTTTACTATAGCAAATGGAGGCTTTGTATAGCAAATACAAAGGGGAACAAGATGTCCTGCATGCAATGCTGTGACACATTATGAAATTAGCAGACTATGGTAATATAGGGCTGACTTTAAAATGTGGAGTTGTAGTCAATTAAGTCCCACTCAGAGTAGACTCAGTAAAAGCAATGACTCTAAGTTAGTCATGTCCATCAGTGGGTCTACTCTAAGTAGGACTAGTCTAGAATACCACATTCAATGTCTAAGGTTGTAATCCTAACCCTACTTACCTGGGAGTAAGCCCCAATGAATACAGTAAGTCTTAATTCCGAGTAGGCATGGTTAGGATTTCACTGTCATTTGCACTGCACATTCATCTTAACATTTATGCAAAATGTATTTACAGTGAATTGCATCAATATCACATTTTTCTTAAGCTTTATTTGTTTTTTAAATGGAGCACCGTTGATTTGTTGATTTAATTTATTTATTTATCTGGAGGTTTCAGAGCGGTTCACAGATAAAATCAACATAAAACATAAACATAACATAAAAACCACAATATATATAATCAAAATAAAAGCAACAACCCAATAACAGTGTTTAACAGTCTTTATTGTGAAAATAACCTTCTGGTACACTGCCTAGAGTTTGCTGGAGATATCAATCTTCAAGTGTCACAGAGTATTTAGTTGCCACATTTAAAATATTTGGTATATATGAAAAACAAAATGTAGCCAAAATCTGGAGACTTGAATGCACGGTTGTCAAGTTGGACATGACTGACAATCTTTTCAAGGAAGCCCCGCCCCCTAAACTCAGGCTTACTTTCCTTTGTCTCCTGTTCTCAACCCTGATGATAAGAGAGAACCTACATTCAGGTCTGCACCTCACCATTCAGGTGATCAGTGCTGACTATGGTGAGCTCTATGTAGGGCATTCCAACTATGTCGGCATTAGAACATTCTGTATATTTACTTCTGGATCCAGAAGGAGATGCATATACAGAAGCCTGCTCCTATTCATTCATTCATTCATTCATTCACTCACTCACTCACTCACTCACTCATCACCGCCCTCCTTCCTTCCTTTTTTATTGGTGAGCATATGTCTTTGATTGGTTCATAATGTCTTAAACATGTGCAGCTGGTAATGTGTACTGTCGACACACATTTTAACATTGGCTCCAACGTTTTAAAGTCTCCTCCACATCATTAGCACTGGTACAATGCCTTTGGTTTTTCTTTTTGGTGAATTGCAAGATTAGGAAGAAACCCCTGTTTCAAATTATTTCTTGAAGCTTCATTGGCTGTGCCATTATCTGTCATTTGCATGTTTTATTGTACACATAATAACATGTTTCCTTGTTCATCTGGAATTAATTGAACTATACCTGGAAACTGTTTTTTTGGCTTCCGAAAATGGAACTTTTTGAGCCAATTGTATCCCAGTGGAATATACGCACCAGATGCAATATTAGGTTTCACACAATCATTACACAGAGCTGTGACTGCCAAGATATTCATTGCACGAAGTTAGCCATTTCGGCGCATTATGTATCTGACTTGAGTTCAAGAATCACATATTGAGTGAATTGTTAGCTGCCCAGGGAGTTTTATATACTGAAGGGCAACATGAATACTTCAAGCAAATAAGAAATAAATATTAGCCCTGATTCTCCTACATTATCTCTGGGTGGCCTTTAGCTAATTTACATTAATTTGAGAGGACAACATTTCTGAAAATTTTGATGCCATGGAGAAAACCATTCTTAAAATTGAAACAACAACAACAACCCTGAAATATATGTGTGAGACTTTTAAAAACAGATTGTAGGGCTGGAGACCTGCTTTCGAGATTACACAGAGACATCTTTTAAGTCCTGTTTTCATTGCATAGAACTCCATGCTTGTCCAAATGTCAACCTGTCTGTATGCTTATAATGCAGGCATGCAGGACTTCAACTACCTCAGCAGCAATTGTTTTGAAATCACTGTGGAGCTTAGCTGTGAAAAATTCCCTCCAGAGGAAACACTGAAGAGTTACTGGGAGGACAACAAGAATTCACTTATCAATTATATTGAGCAGGTAAAAGAGAAGTAGGAAGGGCAAGTTATGGCATGAGTGGGGCAGGAACCAACCCCAGATTAGTTATGTCCGGTTGTTCATCAATAGTTAAACAGTCTTCTGCTTAGTTGCACTCCATATGCTCAGACTGGGGATTTAATCACATATTGATCTATGTTCAAACCACTTCAAAACATGATTATGAACCTAACCACACGAGGCTACCTTTTTACATGAAAGCTTAACCACAGTAGAATGGCGAGGAAAGATTACCATGTGATAATGGTTTTCTCTCAGAAACAATTGCATAAATTCTGCCCCTGCTTGAGGATTAGAGAATAGAATGTGTTCTTGCACTGAAATGTCAGTCCTGTTTACAAAAGATTTATTAAAAGTTGGTAACTTTTAGCTGAGAGCACTAGTTTTCTGAATCACCAGCACTGTATTACAGCTCAAACAAAAGGCTCATTCAGGCTTTCTAATCCATCACACAACTGCAATAGCAAGAGAGGGGATGAGTGTACACACTCTTCCATGAGTTGGAGGCAGGTATCTGAATTGGGGAGTCTGCTATACTCATGTATCCTCCCAAGGCAGTGAGAGTCCTTGGGAGATCAGGACTCCAAATTGTATGGGAGCTTACACGAGTTCAAAAGTTTACCTACTTCAGTAGCTATTCCTCTGCCTTGTGGAGGGAAGTGGGGTGAAGCTAGAGCTTTGGCCTTGTTGCATGAGGAATCTGAATGCCTGACTAGGTCTAATGCATCAGATCCCTCAGAATATCTGCTATTATTTCTAAAAAGTGCCTAATGGTTGTCACTTGTACTGTTCCTGAGTATGGTCATCTCACTGTGGTGGGAAAAGTATACAGGGTGGCATCTGACCAAATCAGAGTAGTCTCATTTAAATTAATTGCCTTAGGGTCTACTCTGCATACTACTTAGATGCGGTCTATACAGACTAACAACACAGTAAGGTAAAAAGGTAGAGGACCCTGGACGGTTAAGTCCAGTCAAAGGCGACTATGGGGTTGCAGTGCTCATCTGGCTTCAGGACAAGGGAGCCAGTGTTTGTCCATAGAGAGCTTTCCAGGTCATGTGGCCAGCATGACTTAACCGCTTCTGGCGCAAAGGAACACCGTGACAGAAGCCAGAGTGCATGGAAACACTGTTTTTCCACCGCAGTGGTACCTATTTATCTACTTGCACTGGTGTGCTTTTGAACTGCTAGGTTGGCAGAAGCCGGGAAAGAGAAATGGGAGCTCACCCGGTCAGGGGGATTCGAACCACCAACCTTCTGTTTGGCAAGCCCAAGAGGCTCAGTGGCTTAGACCACAGCTCCACCTGCAACACAGTGCCATGCAGGTACACTCAGAAACAAATCTTGTTGCCCTGTGAGGCTTATTCACCAAAAGTATCTGCATAGGAATTGCAATTTAAATGTCATATTGTTCTTGCAACAGGATATGCTTACTCGCTGTAACTATGAGAAGTAATAGATTGTAAAACTGCAAGGGTGAACACTTCCCAGTATGGGCATCATAATCACATATTACAGGATTTGATTAGAGATCAATCACAGCACTGCAATCAGCACCCAGAAACCTTCTGTTTCGTAAATAGTTTCTCCAAGGGGAAAAAAATCCATATAGAAGAATTATTGGTTTGTTATGCTTTGTAACTGGTACTATTATGCACTCAGTGTAGTTTACTAGTAAAACTAGAGACGAATAAAAACACATTTAAAACTAGTTTTTCTAGGGAGGAAATGCCCAGTTTGCCAAATAAAATATTCCCAAGGACTGACTCATTCAGTCATGCCTATTTAATTCTTTGTAAAATGTATACAGAGGGCATTGCAGGCTTTCACCCTTTACTACAGGATAACTTTGTTAACTGTTAGGCACTTACTGTTTCACATAGAATCATCTGCAAAGATTCTGCAAACTAGAACGGCCTTATGTAGTCAATATGTTTTTATTTTGTTTTGCTGCTGCAAAGTTACCTTCTGTGTTTCTAGAGTTTATGAGCTTCCAACTAGTGGAGAAGGTGTCCCAACATAAGACGTGTCATGCCTGGACTCAAGTCCTGCGCTCTTTTGCTTGGAAGCCCCTGGTTAAAAGCCCTGCCATTAATGCACCAAATGGCCTTAGTCAAGCCACTGGCTGCATTCAAATAACCATATCTCAGCTTACTTGAGTAAGCCAAAGTATGAATGACCCTTTTGCTTGCACATACAGCCACTTCACTCAAAGACATCTCTATTTAACCATAGTTTCCTGATTTGTCCAAATCATAAAACAAGGATTAACCACTTTGGAACAAGCCGGGGTATCAACCTGCAGTTTTCAAGGGGTGTCTCTGACTGAATGCACCATATTTAACACAAGGGCATTATTGGCCTACCTCACAGGGCTCAAAAGATTATTTAACAGATGTAACAGAGAGCACATAAGAAAAGACAGACTATTGATAACAAAGAAGTATTTTTTTCAGATCCATCGTGGGGTGAAAGGATTTGTTAGAGATCTTCAGGGCAATCCCATTGCTAATGCCACCATTTCTGTAGAGGGACTAAACCATGATATTACTTCAGGTAAGTTATGTCATATGTGATACATTTAAACAGGTGATGACACGGGCTTATATAATGGGTGCATGTCAAGAATAGAATCACATTCTCTCTCCCCACCACTCCCAATCCCATATATACTATTAGTCAAACTCAGAACAGCTCCCACGGCTCCTGCCTCTTTCAAGATGTTGAGGCATCTGAGCTCCAATTTTGGCGCCAACAGGATGTTCGCCAGAACCCCACCTTTTGCTTCCTTGATTGACGCCTTTCCCTGACCCTCGTTAACCTATGAGCATGGGGAGGTTCTGGCTGTCGTCCTACCTCTTCCTCTGACAAATCATTCCCCACCCCGTGTTATTGTCAGAGACTGCTTATCAGTGACTTGGCCTCTCTCCAGCCTCCTTTCGCTTTCATGAGAATTTATCTCTTCTTCTCCTGCTGAGGAGGAAGGTGGTTGCTGGTGACTAGTTTCAAACTGCTGAGAAGGAAGCAAAACTACTTCTTCCTCCACTGACTCTCTGTTCCTCTCATCGTTGCTCTGGGGAGCCCTGTCCCTGCCATCCTCTGACTCTCTGCCCCCCTCCTCATCCTCATCGTCACTCTGGGGAGCCCTGTCCCTGACAAACAGTAAAGAAACCAAAGCAGACCCTGCATATCTGAAGGCTGCTCCTGCTGGTTCTAGAATATTTCTGGAAGTGGTAACATACTGCTTTTTCTACAGCTAAGGATGGTGATTACTGGAGATTGCTCGTACCTGGAAACTATAAAGTGACTGGCTCTGCACCAGGTTATCTAGCAATAACTAAAAAAGTGGCTGTTCCCTTCAGTCCTGCCATTAGGGTAAGTACCGCCTGGTTGGCGTAGCCTTGTATTGCATGCCAGTGACTTCATATTGGTTAGATGTATATTGTGCAATAATACGATGCCCACAAGGTAACCTCATAGGCTCTCTATGTAATATTCCAGGCCTTTTAACATTCCTGGTGTGGGAGCATAGAAGGTGAACATTTGATGTGTTATTATTTATTCCATTTATATCCCGTCATTCCTCTTAAATCGGAGAAAGCATCTTTATGTTTCGTTAGAAGTAAGACCCACTGTGTTCAGGGAAGCTTGCTTTCAAGTTAACAGGCATAAGACTGCAGCCCCTACCATGAAAGCCGTTTCATGAATTTCAGAGGTCCTAAATTTCAGGATGTTACTTCAATTAAAAGTCCAATGTGCATAAAAAATTCTTGTTTTTTATTTTATTATTTTTCTCATGCCTAGGTTGATTTTGACCTGGAATCTCTGTCTGAAAGAAAAGAAGAAGAAAAGGAAGAGTTAATGGAATGGTGGAAGATGATGTCAGAAACTTTAAATTTTTAAGCAGAAGCTCTGAATTTACAGCTTTTAATCTATTACGTGTTGACTTAGTATACTGTACTGTGGAAAGTCCCTATATTTTAGATTTTGTGTAGCTCACAATATTTAACTTGAGTTTTTTGAGTATTTTTTTTAAAAAATCAGTAATCTGCTCTACATAAAAACAAATTGCTAGATACTTTCATGCCATTGTTTGCAGTCCTACATATTCAACATAGGGGAAGAATATCTGAATGAATGTCTCATCTACCTAACTTGAATACAAATCCTGAATGTGTAGGGCAAGCACAATGATGATAATAATACTAAACACACTATAGTAATTAGCAGTCACTTGCAACTTCTGCTGCTGATATGTGGCAGTGCAGGTGAGCAGATGATGTTTTCTAATGTCTCATGAAATAATGGCACTGCAAATGTATGCAGTAAAAACTTGGTGTTGTAAGTAATGCTTTACTGCAATTAAAGTTTGTTTATGTCTCTGTGGAAGAGCCATGTAAAATAAGTATAATGACTTGGGTTTCATCTACTCACATGGAAATAACTTTCATCATTCTTATTTAAAAGAGAAGAGGAATAGTACAACTTTTTCCCTTACTCTGTCCAATAATGTTCCCAAGTAACTTGGTAATCAGATTAAAATTTCTGGATGGATAAAGAATAACCCTATAGTGACTGCATGTTGTTTTCTCTGCTTGCAGTGTATTCTGCTATCCCATTTGTCAGCAGTTGTTTGTGTATTAAGTAGACATGAGTTGCATGAAATGATGTCTGTATAATTTGCAAAAAGAGCAAAATATTAACCCAAAAGCTGCCTGACCCACTGGACTGGAAATTCAGTACGTGGCATGTGCTCCTAAAAGCCCAACCCCAAACAAATTTACTCAAAAGCACCAAGTTTAGTGGGACATGCTTCTCATAAGCTGAAATGAATAGTTTGGATTCTAAGGGTGTGTCTACTCAAATGAGTTTGCAGATGATCAGTATTTTGCAGGTCAACGCTTGCAGTTCAGGGGAGCAATTCCTGTTTTGATCAGTGCTGGTCCACACAAAGAAGCCAGATTGAGATATAACACAAAACCAACAACTTGCCATAACAGACTGGTAGGTCAGTATCTGCAACAGCAAGCAGAGCAGCCATGATGGTTTCTGTGCTGCACTTCCCAGTATATCACTCCTGATGCTGGTCAGCAGTGACATCTGAAGTGCTCTTAGTGAAACAGATGGCATTGTTAATGAGGAACATTGGGCTATACATTGGACCATACTTCAAATCCTTGAAAACCTCTATCTGGCTGAAGAGACGACAATGAGCTTGCAGAACTTCAATTAATATTTAAGAACTATACTGCAACAAAGAAACATGCTGTGTGGGATCAAGCAATCATTTTGTTTCCCTAACAATGTGCCTCTAGAACTCTATCAACATATCCCACTAGTTTGTATATAACTCACTATAAAACAACCCAAATATGAGAAACAATAAATGCAAATACATTTCAGTCATGAAGATAAGCATATTGTGTTCAAACACAGCTGGAGAAATGATTCTGACATTTATTGCAAAAGATCTTGACACCTGGTGAGTGGTAATGAAGACGCTATGAATTTCAAGCTCGTTAGTCATTGTACTTAACTCTACTAATTTCCCCATTTTGAAGCAAAGCCAGAAAATGCAGCCATGCTCCTGTCATGCAGCTGTATAGTAGACTCTGTGTCTAATGCTAGCGCAGATGTTACATCCTGCTGAACCTCAACATGGGTTTCTAGTCTAACTTATAACTTATACATATATTATGTATATAATATATTCTTTTCATGTTGAAGTAATGAAACATAACTATCTTATAAATTGTCTCTTTGGTTTTCCTTTGGTACTAACTGCACCAAAAGATTTTTAAATGGCAGACGTCTTTGCTATGAGAATCCATGGAGACAAAGAGGCAATAACTCAATGCTAAACAACTTTCTTTCCATGGAGTGGGTTCCAATTTCATTCCCTGTCGCCTCCTGTTATAGTATATCACCTAGCAAGGTGACCTCTTCCTGTGAACCTGGAGGGCCACTGTGAGTCATTGTCCCAGTTTGCTCAACTTCTTAAGCATGGTGACTTGGACAAAACATAGTTTCACTTTCCACAAAATGTGCCTTGTCATTATATATACACAACATCATGGTTTAAAGCAAACAACAGTTAAGCATGCCAGCTTCATAAACCCTGGTTTGAACTCTGATGAAAGTTTCTTTTAGAAACACAAGAATAGCTTGCCGGATGAGGCCAGTGGTCCACCTATTCCAGCATCCTGTTCTCACAGTTGCCAACCAAATGCTTATGGGAAACCTGGAAGCAAGACCCATGTTCAACAACCATCTCCCCTCCTGCAGTTTCTAGCAGCCGGTATTCAGAAGCTTATTGCCTCCAATAGTGAAGACAGTTTTAAACAATGACCTCTCATTTATACCTAATGCTGCTCCAGAATTCCTTGAAAGAAAAATTGAACTGAAAAGTTTTCTCCCAGCTGCATGGGAGGAGATGGGGTTAGGGAGTGCATAAAGTCAAAATTCAGTGGCTCATTCCTGCTTGTTTACATAGTACTAAACCATTGGTTGTGCATCATGTATGAATTTGGCCAGGGTGGACAGCACTGGTCTAGGTGTGCCACTGGCCTTTGAGCCCTTCCAGAAGGCCTTTTTATTATTGTGCATTCATGATGATTTGTGTTCAAGATGGCATAGGGCTGGTTATACACAACCCCACTTTCAATGCTCTTTGCGCCCGCAAATGTTTCAGGACAGATATACTGCTTCGTTTCCTATCAGTGCACAGCCCATAGCTTCCTGCTTAAATCTTGTGACTTTTCATAGCACAAGAGTTCAGGTGAGTGGGTGTTGTCCCACTTTTGCTTATTTATTTATAAAAGCATTTCTTTATTGCCATATGAGGGGGGGAAATCAGGGCTGTGTACAATGGCAAAACATAAAACACCATCAAAACAATGCAAATGGTTGTGCTAAAGCTGGAGACTGCCCCTTCAAGATGGTAATAATGCCATATCATTGGGGAGGCACTGCAGAACAATCCATAATGCAGAATGATGCGTGAATGGTTCAGTATAAACCCTCCATTAATACACTATTATTGCATCAATGAAATGTTTCAGAATACACTGCAAAAAAAGAAAAAAGAAAGACTAGAACCCACACCAGTCTATAGGGAGTCCATTCTTTTGCTTCCGGTCCTTGCACTCTTTTCAACAAGGATGCCAAGGTAACAGGAGGAAGAGCTGAGCTGCTGCCATCATAAAGTGTGCTTGGGAGATGGTATCTCAAGAGTCCACAAGCAGCTGGGCTGATATGTGCAGGTCCCTGAAATATTTAGGGCATTTCTACATGGTGACCATGTCTAACAGGAACAAAAACCACAATGAGCATATATAACTGTACAAATATTGGATTGAATGAGGAATGATCCGCTGCAATCACTTGAAATTCTGGTTCAGTGCATTTCTTGCATGGTCTATTCAGGATAATGCCACCGTTCCTCCTAACCCTACCTGCTTTTGAAGACCGGAGTGAGAATGAAGACAGCTGAAACAATAGTAGCCACATCAATGACTGGCACCGGTGCAGGCAGCATATGCAACCCTGCCCTGCCCTTCTCCTCTGATGCTTAGCATAGCCTGAGGCTTATAGTGAGTGAGCCACTATGTATTTCCTGAATGGCATCAGCTACAAACACAAGTTCCTTAATGAAAAACAAAGTTACGAAAAACAAAATAAAATGCAGAATTGGAGTGAAGGCCTTTGATCAGGCTTATTTTTCATTTCTCTAGTGTAGGGATGGGGAACCTGTGATCCTCCACATATTGCTGGCCTATAACTCCCATGCTGGCCATGCTGGTCGAGGCTGATGGCAGCTGGAGTCTCAACAACATCTAGAAGACCACAAGTTCCACACTTGAGAAACGCAGAAGCAATGGAAAATAAGCCTCTTCAAATGCTTGAACTCCAACTTTAGTGGCTAGAAACACAAGCAATGAAAAACAAGTCTCATCCAAGGCTAGCAGTAAAAAACAGAGCCTGTCATGTTGTCTTTTGCATGTGGACCAGCTATAATATACAGTAAAGCTTAGGCAATGAATATCCATAGGATAGTTTATAATACACTATCTTATTTTAGGACACCAGACATTTGCATAATGTTCTGATCAGTATTTATTTGTGCTTTTTGTTTTTAAAACCCACCAGATGCAGCTTGAAATACTTTTTTCTGAGCTAAGGGAAAATAGAAATGTGGAAGGCATCTTGAACTAGGTCACTAGCTGTTTGTTTACTAGTGAGGTGGGTACTGTTAAAAGGTGCCAATGCAAATCCAAATTCACAAGGAAAGTATTCATTGCTTCATATTATCTAAATTCCTGGAACTGCACACTGCCAAATAGCTAGGTCTAGACAGAGAAATCCACGTACACACTAAGACTGGCCAGTCTGGATATAAGCAGAATTTGATCTGACCAAGGAAGTACGTATGCAAGAAAATAAGGGCATTTAGACATCTGAAATGAATTGGCACCAGAAAGTTGTACCAACGCAATCGAGATAGGAAATGAAAAGACTGCGCTTTCAACAACACCATTTCCCCACTAGCAGATATACACTCATATTTGCTGTGTGGCAAGACTCTTCCTCATGGTGAGATAGATCCTTTGCCAGTGCAGCAAGCATCTGAAAATGGGGACCATGGGACTTGGCCAAGTGTATGAGCCTTTCTTTTTTGGCTGGGTGACAACTGGGGAGCAGAGAGAGGCAGAAAGACTTAGAATGTAACTCTGTGTACCTTTATTAGGGTTTAGAAAGCTGGGGCTTGGTTAATGCTTAGAAATAAATGTGAGAGCGCTGGGCTGCACCCAGTTATGTTCTACTCAGAGTAGAGTGACTGAAATTAATGGATCCAAGTTAGTCATGTCTGTAAGTTTTAATGGGTCTGTTAGCATGACACAACTCACAGTTTGGCATTAAAAACAACAGGTGGTTGAAATTAATGGACCTAACTTAGTCATGTTCATTAATTGCAGTGGGTCTACTGTGAGTAAAGCCTAGTTGACTATCACCCAATAAGGTTATTGCTTACTAGCCAATCAGGCCGTTCACATACACAAGGCAATAATAACTGCAAAACAGGAACATACGGAATGCATTAAGTCATGTTAAAATGTGATTAAAAATTATATCATTACAAATAGTTGGCATGTATTAGCATATATTATCATCCAAGATGGTAAGCATCTTCTCCTTTCCTAAAGCCAGTTTTACAAATTTCAGTGTCCTAGATGTCAGGTGGTGATCTGTTCTGGAAAATAGGAATAGAATTTTGCTTAAACAGAGAGTTATTACTAATCCTAACAATAAGGGGTTCAAAGCAACAGATCCAAATACAAAGTGCATTCTAATAAAAAGTGTATCAGAACCTCTACTTTGGGGCAGGACAACGTTTAGCCACCCCATACTGAGCAGTTTAATGTCCCATAACCTCCATCAACTGTAAAGAATTCAATTTGTATTTGTTCAAAAATAGGGATGGGTGAATATGTCAATTTTGGTTCTTCTCTGTTTCTCATTTTATTTATCCTAAGTTCGGCTCTCCACATTTCCACACCAGTTTCCAATTTTCTTTTTTAAAGTCCCCATGAAACTTCAACCAGATCTCCGGATGCTTGCAAAATACTCAGCTTCCTATCTTTTTCTTAACTTTTAAAAATGTCATCTGTTTCCTCCTTAGTATTCCTTTTCAGTGATGCATTTCCTCTTCCCTGGTACTTCTAGATTTTTGTTTAGAGGCTGGCTTTATTCTTAGTGATCACTAGGTGGAGACATATGTCTGCACACAAACGTATTGCAAGCGAAACCTACTGTCATTTCTTCTTTTGATAAACTTGTTGAATATATTAAGGCAGATTTACTAAGAGTGTGCACTGGATACAATATCCATCTCGTATTTGTGTCTATAGCATTGGGAAGCAAACTGATCTGTTTTGGATCCACTCTGTGTCTTCCCCATTTCCCATTCCTAAAACAGATCTGCTAGATTGAATGCTCTGTCTCTTCCCTATTGACTATAATAGTGAATCTAAAAAAATGTATCTAACCTTTTTCCTTTGCACAGAAGTGTATGGAATTTGCAGGTTCCCCCAAGTCTGCCAAACTGCAGGAAGATCCACCCAGGAGTTTTCACACAGGGAACCTTTTAGGTCTCTCTCTGTGTGTGCTTTAAGAAAACTACATATAACTTTTAAATTTTATCTCAGAATTGGATGCAATTTGCAGGCATGTTTGCCCCTTCTGAATGGATGAAATCTGCCAGCTTTAAGAATGATAAGTGCTGTAGTTCCTCTTTACTCTTTGCAGGAAGAGCATTAGATCACTTAATTTTCCTCACTAGTGTTTTGCTGGCAATCATGTCTGAAACTGGTGAAATGAGAGAGGAACCCCATGGTAAATGAGTAATAATATGCTGTCAATGATCAAATTAACTGGGAGCTAACTTAAGGGACAAACAAGTTTACGTGGTGGGGAAAGTACCAGGCCTAGAGAGCAAACCTTTCTCTCTATTTATTTATTCATAGTGGTCCACTGTCACGCTGTGATGAGATTCTGAGCCACTAGAGGGAATAAGAGGCACGTGGACCGAGCCAAGAACTGGAAGCTGGTCCTTGCAGAAATCAACTCCAGAGCCTCAATAGGTCACCCTCGGAGGAAGAGGAGGGCAGGACAGGACAGGAAGGTGTCACCATGACATGCTGGTGGGGCTCGCCTCTCTCTCTCAATGGCACCGAGGGAGACAGATGAGGGGAGGAGAGAGAGAGAGAAAGAAATCAAAATCAGGATGGGGGAGAGAGGAGATATTTTTTCCTTTTGATGGGAAGCTGTTCGTGGGGAGATGCTTGTCTGGAGTGGCTGGGTGCAGAAGATATTGTGACCCTTTTGTAGGTTTGGAAGCTGAGGAAGAAAGAACACACTGTGGTCCTGTGGAAGGAAACAGAGGCATTGGGAGGGAATATGCCGTGGTCCTGGAGAAGGAAACAGAAGAGAGAAACTGATGCAGGGAGATGGGGGTTGGTGACTGGAGTAAGCTGGGGGGTGGGGGTGGGAACAGGCATGAAATTTCAAACCAGCAAACTGGGAGAAAAAAAGAAATGGAAGTGTGTAATAAGCAACAAATAAGCAAACATGTGCAGCAGGAGAAGATGGGTGGGAACGGCTGGAAGAGAAGTCTGCACAAACCTAATGAAAAATAAATTGAATATAAGAATAATCAAAGCAGATATTGTTTGTTGGAAAACCGAAAAAGATTAGAATAATAATTTTAAAAATCATACAAAAAAGCCCTAGAACTGAACTGAGGGAGATGGAAAGTGGAACGGCCCTATAATGAGCTCTACTAAAAACCTGCAAACTTCTCTATTCAAATCAGTGTAGCTGGAGTGCCCTGGAAAATAATCTACTGTGATCAAAACCTAGATCTGTCCATCAAAATGAATGATCCACCCCCCTCCACCTGCTAACCTCTCAAGCTCAGGGCATTTCCCTACTCAGATTGGTTTTACCTTTGCAAATGAAATGAAGTGGTTGGTTTATTTTAAATGCTGAAATGCAGCTTTGGGGGGGGGGCACTTGAGTCCACAGAGCAGCTCAGGATTTTGAGAATCTCTGATCCAACTCAGAACGCTTTATTGACAGTGCAATTCAGCTTTAATATGTGTAAACCTCACCTGAACCATCCTTATTTGTCTCATAATTCGGGCTGCAAACAGAGTTGATGCACATGTCTAATATCTTAGAGTGCTCAGGACCACACAAACCAAAGCTGACCTTGAAACTGTATGGCACATGTTTATTTATTACACCCGAAAGGTCAGTGTTGTCCTCTCACCACCGGCTACCCATGGCTCACTCTAGGACAATCTGTTAAGATGGAGAGCACCTATCAGATGCAATCAATTCAAAACTATTTACAAAATTTACTTAATATTTGGCAGTATTATTTACAGTGTATATGCATGGAATGTTTCTGGGGGCAGGGTATATGAGGGTTGTTTGTTATATGTATTTTTAGAAACTGAAAAAGAAAGTTAAGAAGTGTGTGTGGGGGGGTGAGTAATTCACCACAGTCACCAGTGAAATAACACATTTCTTTGCAGGGGTTAATTTAATCCAGTTCATTTACATTTATGAATATTCAGGACTGCTTGTGTAATTATATTGGGAAATATTTACATCCCATTCAGCAAGGGCAGAGGACAGGGCAGTCACAGACTTCCTGTGCCCTCTCTAAATGTTCATTCGTCACCAATGTTCTCTTCTAGTTACCGTTTTTCTTCTGAACATTCATACTCTGCATCCCTCAAAACAGAATGCAGCCTGCTTACCATCACGGCCAGATACAAGTGCTTTGAAATGTTAGGCCAATCAATCATCCTGAGAGGCTTTTTATCCCAGCTATTCATTTATGGCATTGCATTCACATCTGCAAAAGGATGAGCCACGAACGTAGCACGTTGCGAGAAGAACAGGTGGGTGTGCTAGCAATGAAAGACAATTTAGACTTCATTATTTGGTTAGCAGGCAAGCACAAGACACTTCTCAGATAATATTTAGGTGTAGAGGTAATGAAAATTAATGGGACTAGAAATAGGTCACATCCTTCAGCCGATGCATTCACTCACATCATGCTTAACTGTCACCGGTTCATTTGCAGGGCCCTTTATTTTGGGGAAGAGACGTGGATGTCTTGCCTTGAAGTTATTGGCATTGCTGTCTTCTAAATTCAGGGCTTGCTAATGTGGGAGCTTCTGGGGGCCTGTGTTCCCACCAGTACTTTCTGTGGCGACTGCGAAAGGTCTAATTAAATCCCCCCTAGAAGTTCACACTGCACGAGAGACTGTTTGCTATTCCTGTTACTGTTTGCAATGGGTTGGCCTCCTCTACATGCCGTCACAGCGGCCATTTTGTGAATGGCACCCACGGCACCTTTTCCAATTTCCAAATGTGCTCCCTGACTCCCCAAAAATCTGGCATCTGCCTTGCCTTAAACATCTGGTTGGCCCCTGTGAGAACAGGATGCTGAACTAGAGGGGCCTTTGTTAAAATCCAGCAGGGCTCTTATGTTCTTCACCCCTTAAACTCAGACGCCCGCTTGGCAAACGCCACATTGGGGGCAGAGAATTCTATGGAGAACCTGCAGCCCCTTTCTTTTCTTTTTTGGCTGTTATAAAACCCGGTGCATCTTAATTTCCTTTAGCATCTGCCCCTTCCTCAATAATAGAGCACTGCAGTGTGGCATAGCGGTTGGAGTGTTGGACTAAGATGAGGGAAAACAGGATTCAAATCCCCACTGAGCTCCGAAGCTCCGAAGCCAAGACCTGAGGTCAGCCAGTCATTTTCTCAGCCTAAGTTACCTCACAGGGTTTTTTCTTCTTTTTTTGTGAGGATAAAGTGGGGATGAAGAGGACCATGTACAGTGGTACCTCGGGTTAAGTACTTAATTCGTTCTGGAGGTCTGTATTTAACCTGAAACTGTTCTTAACCTGAAGCACCACTTTAGCTAATGGGGCCTCCCGCTGCTGCCACATGATTTCTGTTCTCATCCTGAAGCAAAGTTCTTAACCCGAGGTACTATTTCTGGGTTAGCGGAGTCTGTAACCTGAAGCGTATGTAACCTGAAGCGTATGTAACCTGAGGTATCACTGTATTGCCACCTTGAGCTCACTGGAAGAAAGATGGGATATAAATGTGGTAAACTGCTTTTTGGGGAACCGCTCTGAGGGGTTTGTTTTTGTTTTTTCCAACAATCCAGCGGTGTATAATTTTTTATTAATAATAAATAAATGTCATAGATAAGAGTAAACTTCCACCCAGCTCGATGATGTCATCAGGAAGGGACAGCTCTGTTTGCAGTTGGTTGCAGAAATCTGTCCCACTTCTGTCAAAGCGGCCGATAAACCTGCTGCTAGCTCAACAGAACTAGGTCCTGCAAGTTAAAAGCAAGCCCCCAAAGGTCTCAAATCCCTCAGGTGCTCAAAAAATGCCAGGAGGAGTACAGCAAGGGGAGCCAGAGGACAGTTTGAAGAAGGCGCTGTAAAAGAAACATGGAATGGAGAGAACGAACTGCGACATCGCAGTCATGCTTCCTTCCCCAGGCCACACTGGAAACAGTCAAGTCTGCACCAGCAGCGCAGTTTGATTCCCAGCCACCTGAAATGTGGATTAGGCCTTTCGACAGCTGGAGAATCCTCCATTTTACATGCAAAACCAGAATTGCCATGTGAGTACAGGAATCTATTCCGCGAGGGGGGCTCTGGCTGATTAAATATCTTGTGAATAACACAAAGCTCAGTATACTCTAAAGTGGTCAAAGCCTTCACAGACTGTTTTGTGATTTATGAAGGGGTTTAGCTGAACCTCTGCCATGAATGTTGCTTGGGACCTGTCAGTGGTACAGCTAGATAATTGTAGACCCTGGATTTAATTGTTTGCTCTGTGTGTGTGTTTGTGTACGTTAGATGGCAATGTGCATTAAGCAACTTTTATCTTTCCCCACCTTCCTTTACAACTGCTTCTATATTCTTGGGAAGGTAGAGAAAAACAAAACAAATTTGCCTAACTCTGATTTATATATCTACTCAGTTTTGCATTTTGATTGATTAAGTGTATTTATATGCCACTTTTTGCACCATGAACATCAAAATACAGAAGCAATGGAAAATACAAATATACAGAATACAGAACATGTCAGTAAATCCAGAAATGACAAAAACCTATAGTTTGGCCAGTGCAGAATAAATGTAATATTACAAACAACAGCAGCAACAACCCAGGCTTAAGAAAATAAATGAAAAACCAAACAAATTTTAAACTCACTTAAATCTTAGCACTATTACGAACACACTAAATTAAGTTTGCTTCTGCTTCCCAGATGCTGAACATATTGGGGAAAAGCACCAGTTATTGTAGAAAAGGATAATATATATTTAAAGTAAAAATAATAAAATTAGCATCTATAAAAATGTGCATTCCTGGCCAGCTACTGCTGACTATTATTTTTTGTTTTTGTTTTTGTTTTTTTAAAAAAACAATAATGGAGTGGAAAAGAATGTTGCAGCTGCCAGAGTCAGCCCCTTTGGGCCAGCCTGGCATTCCCATGCAAGCCTAAGTGCTGACTCTGGGTCTGTGGGTTGGATTACTGTAACACTTGCTGTGTGGGGCTTCCCTTGAGGTTGATCTGGAAGCTGGTGCAGAATGCTGCCGTGAGGTTACTCAGCGGAGTCTCCAGTTGCATACATATTACACTACTCCTAAACGGGCTGCAGTGGCTGCCAGTAAGCTATGAGGCCGATGCCAGGGTTTTTGGTTTTAGCCTATAAAAACACTGGATGATTTTACTTCTGAGCTAATATGCATTGGAGATTCAAACTGCCAGTTTACTTGGGATTGCCATCTAGAATTCTGTTAAGCATTCCTTCATGGGGAATAATATATGTACCTGGCCAGTTCCATTGGCCAGTTTCATCAGCTGGGGCTGATGAGAGTTGGCAGTCTGATAACAGTTTGAGGACCACAGGATTTCCATTTGCTGCTGTAGTTAAGTGGATTTTCCAATGTTGCACTACCATTTTGTCTTCTTTCTTTAATCAATGTTTTTAATTTCTGAATGGTTTTATACTGGAACCTTCTATTGCTACCTATTTTTTTCCAGTCCTCTATGTGCTTACTCAGAACACGGCCCTTTGAATATAGTTATATTGGGCTGTGTCTGATAAGTAGTTTGTAGTTTGTTATTGTTGCAAACCGATTTGGAAAAGTGGCATGCTAATACTTTAAAATTAAAATAATACACTTTCAAATGAACAAAAAGGGGTGGCAAAAAAGATTGTTAATAAAGATCTGACTAAAGATGGATGCTACAGTCTCCGATTAAAAGGACTGGATCATATTACACATTTCGCAAAACCAGGAGGATTAGTTTGTAATGCAGTAGGAACTTGAGTGTTGGCTCTTGAATAGGACAGAGTAAGTCAGAGTCCTTAGAAATCCATATTCCAAGGAAATGGTGTTGTAGTCACTCTTGAATGTCCAAGGGATTTTGCTTGCTGACACCAAGTTGATGTTTGTCCAGCACTAGAATTACAAATGTCTCCTGTTTTATTTTAAGGGACATTCCCTTTTCTACACATTTTCACATCTGTACTGCTCTCTTTTTCCAGTGCAGGAACTTCATATTTTATGAAATTAACCCATACTTCAGAAAACTAAAACTTCTACAGCTCCAGCATCATTTCCTCCCCTTTCTTCCTCTTTGGTCTTACTGTTAAGGTTGCTTTGGCAATTATAGCTCTCCATTACAAGGCCAATCCTTTGTCAAAGGTGACTGTGGCTAACTTGGAATGGGTTTGCTTTCCAAAGTTGTCTCCATAGGTAAAAGCAGCCCTGGGTCTGCACTGTATGTAGCCAACTTGGAACTGAAATGCTTTAGTTTTCCAGATCCATATCTTCCGAAGGGAAGGGCTCTTTGCATGTACTTGAAGGCACTTTGTTCATTTAAAAAGCAAAACAAGCCTCGTTTCCCTTCAGAGGGGAAAGGTATTCTGTACACTCTCAGATGCACTCTGCTCTTAGTGAAAATTAAAATCAAATGTAAGGTGATTTGCTATAGGACAGCAAGGAAAGACTTTTGCCCACCCCCCACTTTCTGTAGAAATGTGTTGGCGCAACCTGCTGCTAACACTTCTTTCCCCTGCCAGTTCTTAAAAGCAGACCAGAGAAAGAGTGTAAATAGTTTCCCTACAATCTCTAGTTTGATAAATGAGTGTTTCAGCTCATATCTGCAGTTCTCTGGCTTCCTTCCTGAGTCAGTGTCCCTTGGCTGAGCTGTAAGCGTGCTCAGAGGAAATGCCCCTCTCGACACTTGGGGAAGCTTCACACATAAAGTCCCCTCACCCCCATGCCAGGGGAAAATACTGTCCGCTATCATGTGTGAAAATTGCGTGACTCTGTTTTGCCACGTGAACACACATGTTCCAGAAGATTAAACGTGCTTAGTTGCAGTAAAATGGATTCTTACTCAGACAATTTTCACACACAGAAGTCTACCGAGATATAAGGAAGATTTCTTTTCCTCCACTGAGGCTGTGATCCCAAGCATGGTTACTATGTTAGTTGGAGCCTGTGTCCAGGAAAGCATGCAAAAGCCTAATACTGCAATGCTAAACACACATATAGGGAAGTAAGTCCCACTGAACAGGTAAATCCTATTATTTTAAATCATTTATGAATTACTTCCTAGGAGACATCCTAAAGCAATTTACATTAAAAATCAATTATATATAAGTCAATTACATATATCAAACAGTTAAAACTATTGCATATCTAAAAATCACTTTTAAAAGGAAAACAAAATCTCATTAAACCATTAAAAAAGACCAATGATAAATATGCATAGGATTGCTCTGCACAGATCTCTCTGTGTGGCAAAATATGTCATAACTTAAGTACTGGCCTTTGTGGGTGGACTAACTATAAATTGTGAAGGAAAAAAATAGAATACCACGTTTATTCAGTAACCATGCTCATTGGGTGCTCATTAATGGCACAGCGTCTGCCTGGAGGGAGTTCTCGAGTGGTGCCATGCTCACAGGGCTCTGTCCTGGGCCCTGTCCTGTTCAACATTCTTATAAATGACTTAGACAAAGGTACAGAGAAGATGCTTATCAAATTTGCAGATGACACAAAGCCAGGAGGGGTAGGTAACACCATAGAACACAGAATCAAGATTTGAAATGCTATCAATTGACCAGAACACTGGGCCATAACTAACAAGATGAAATTCAGCAGAGGTACATGTAAAGCCTTCATTTAAGTACCAATATATCAAGGGCACAAGGATAGGATGAAGGAGACCTGGCTTGGCAGCAGCACACATTTTAAAAGGATCTAGTTGATCACAGGCTGAACATGAGCCGGCAGTGCGCTGCAAGTGCTAATAAGTGCAATCTTAAGATGTCTTAACCGAGTGTCCAGTTCACAGGAAATAATAGTTCAGATCAATTCTGCACTCGTCAGGCAGCATCTGGAGCACCTGCCCACCAAAATGTGGCCCTCCAGGCTTCTCTATCAGGCCCTTGAGACTTTCCCCCAGGCAACAAACCCTCCTGAGCCATACCTTTCACCAGCGCTGGTATGCTGTTGGGTGTTTTGGACTTGCTGCGATGTGTCCTTGAACTCTGATAATGTTTCTTGCTTGCCTGGATGAAGGATTGAGAGCTGGCTGTGAAGCCTACTGCACAAATGTAAAAATTGCATTCATTGCCCTGACCACTTTTACCTTTGGCTTGGCCCACCACTGACATGAGGTCCTGAAAGCAAATGTGGCCAAAAAAAGGCTGCCCACCCCATCCTAGAAAAAATATGAAGCAGGTATGAGAACACTCATGCTGGTCCCCTCCATCACCTTCCCCATTGTCAGTGTAGACAATACTGAGCTAGATGGGTGAATGATCTGACCTGGTTTATGGCAGCTTCTTGTGTTCTCTCCACCAGCTGAAGGTAGACAGAAATAAGGATGTTCTTCAGGTGCAAATCAATGAGATTTGGTTCCAAGGTTAAATAGTAACTGGTATAATTTTTTTCTTGGAGCTCTAGTTCTGAGACTCAAAACAAGCTGCCATGTTGATGAGCCTTTGCTTTAGTTTGAAAATGACTGCTGCTGTATGTTTAAGGTTTCAGCAAGCCGTGCTGCTGTTCATTTCCCCTTAATTCAGGTTTTTATCTTGTTTTCAAGGTTTGGCAGAGAACTTGATAAAAGCTGCCATAATATTTAATCCAACACAAACAGTGATTTGCCTAAGACTGTTCAGACAATCATCTTGTTCAAATGATTGATCATTATGGCATATTTCTTTAGGAAAAGTTGCCTTGCGAAGGCTCCGTGAGGCTCTTTAGCTCTTTAGCTTTCTGTGTATATGCCTTGCTTTTGCTCAATCAACTGAAAATAGAAGGATGTCCACAGGGTTTTGTGGACATGGTTCCAGACAGAAATCACAGTGCCAGTAGCAGAGGGACATAGACCTCCTCCCACTCCCCCCTACTCAAGAACATCAGAAGTGATCTGCTGGATTAGGCCCATCTAATCCAGCTTCCTGTTCTCACAGTGGCCAACCAGATGCATGATGGGATGACCACAAGTAGGACACAAGCGCAGCAACACTTTCCCCACTTGTGGTTTCCAGCAACTGGAATTCAGGGGCATACTCCCTCTGACAGTAGAGGTAAGACCATAGCCATCATAGCAATTTGGTAGGTGGCTCTGTAGGTTAAACCACTGAGCCTAGGGCTTGCTGATCAGAAGGTCGGCGGTTCGAATCCCTTGTGATGGGGTGAGCTCCCATTGCTTGGTCCCTGCTCCTGCCAACCTAGCAGTTCGAAAGCATGTCAAAGTGCAAGTAGATAAATAGGTACCTCTCTGGCAGGAAGCTAAACGGCGTTTCCATGCGCTGCTCTGGTTCGCCAGAAGCGGCTTAGTCATGCTGGCCACAAGACCTGGAAGCTGTACGCTGGCTCCCTCGGCCAGTAAAGTGAGATGAGCGCCACAACCCCAGAGTCGGCCTCGACTGGACATAATGGTCAGGGGTCCCTTTACCTTTACATTTTATCATCCATGAATGCTTTTACTTGGCCCCTCTGCTAGTGGTCTCAGAGGATGCTACTTGAGGAGACCCTAGGGTGGCCAGATGCAGAAGACGACAGGGTTCCTGTGCCCTTCACGAAGAGAGAATTTCAGAAGCTGTAGCTTTCGTAGTGAGCTGCACCTTCTTCTGAACAACTATGAAAGATGCTGGAAGCACATCCCCTTTTGTATCTGGCCACCTGAAGAGAGTTCTACTTGGTTCCTCTGCTGCCTGCCTGCCACCAGTCCAACTGGGCCAGGAAGTACCCTTGGTTAATGGGGCTAGTACAAAAGATTGAAACTTCCCAAGTGGGAGTGGTGGCCTGCCATGTTCACCTAGTGCTGCCTTTGGTAATGTTTTAAGTGCCAGGCAATATCTGTTCTGTTCTTCCTTGCTTTTAATGGAATCTGATGGCTTTTATTATAATTGGCTCCCTTTTGGTTTATATGGATTTGTAGTTATTGGCTCATTATTACTGCTCACACAAACGCAACCACACCCTGTTTTTAGTGTTTTATACCTTTTAATATTGTAAGATTTTGTTAGCTGCCCTGATTAATATATGAAAGGTGGCATATACATTCATTGAATCAGCTTATGTCCACCTCATTGTCTTGGACTATGACTCTCATTGGCCCCAGCCAGCATAGTTTTCCTCTACTATCTTTTGCATTATTTTCTACATTTGTATATCACCCTTTCTCCCAGGTGACAAGTACACATGGGGAGTCAATGGAGCCTTTCATCCCCTTGCTACTCAGGTGCTGTCTAGGCTCACATTTGCTTAGCTTCAGGAATAGGTGTATATCAGGTGTATACCTTTAAATAAGTCATTGCCTGAGGGGTATAAAACCTTTAAATAAGTCATTGCCTGAGGGGTATAAAAACAAAAATAAGAGGCATTAAGTGTTGCTTTAACTCCAGTCATCGTATTCTGTGAAATATAAGAAGAATTTTAAGGAGCTCCCAACAACACAATTCATTAAAACCCACTGTGTAAGATGTGGTTTTGAATGTTTCCCTGATTGTGTTAGTTTTATCTTTACTGTTCAGCTATTGTTTTAGTGTATTCTGTCTCCGATTAAGCCTTTCAATATCTTTACTAGTAGTGAAATTTCTTTCACTGTTTATTATTTCCGCCCCATCAACCCATCTGCTTATTTTAGCTACTTGTTCCTTCCTCTTTTCTGGCTTCTGCATGGAACTCACCAAGGTCAGAGATTTACATTTCAGCTTTGTTTGTACAGTATAAGAATGCAGGCAAGGGCTTTCAATTCATTTCTTCTTTATGGGTTTGCTGTAGCGTTTGAAGGCTTTTGGGGGAAAGGACTGTTTCCTTCCTTGAGGTCTGTTTTGATGCAAGAGTGAGAGATACTTCCTTAAGTCAAGCATTTCACTAGACTGAACAATCAGTGTTTAATATTAATTGGAACATTAGTTTAATTAGCACTCGGCTAATTCAGTTCACTGTTCAGCATACCCCCAAAAGGCAATCACTGTTGCTGAGTCACAAACTTGAATACCTTCAACAGTGGTACTCCTCTGTCTCCATTATGCAGATGTTTCTAGCTGCCACCTTCCCAATTTTAATGTGCATTCTTTTTCATTGATGTGAAAACTTTTCATAGTCTCTTCCTCTTCTGCCCCAGCCATGCATTGTGTTAGTTGTTAGTGGTCATTATATTTAGAACTGCTTTAATTTTCCCTCTGTCAGTCTATCAGCAATGGCCGCTCACCCATCTCAGGTGGGCCATGGTTGCCGACCTTCATCCTATCTGCCATCCCCAGCAGCAGAAGCCCACGTGTTTGCCAGCCATTAGGGGAACCCCCTGCATGGCGGAAGTACCAAGCAGGATTCCTGCCAGAAGTAAGTGGGCCAATCAGGGGCCCTGCTGGAGGGGCAGTGCCTTGCCACCTGGCTGAGCATTGGCTGTGGGCCATGCCCAGGAAGGCCAGCAACTGATCAGGCCTTACTCTCTGTTATCATGTATTGTTCCTAGTTGTTCCTGGGAAGAATTTCTCTTCTTGCCCAAATGCTTCCCCTGGGGTTGTTGGCTGGCATGGCCTTGCATTTTCTGTCCATCTCATCCATCCTATCTCTTTCCCTTCAGTCTAGTTCAGCTTTCCTTTCACTTGCAACTGAGGATCCATCCACACTTCCATTCGTCCCGTGATGTCAAGTGATTTCAAGTCATGGGTTTGAGCTGTTTTTGTATTTTTCACCACTGTCCCTGGGAAAGCCCTCTGTTTACTGCTGAATTGGAAAAAAGTCAATCTGGTTTTCTGTGGATTGATGTTTGTTCAGATAAGTAAGCATAAGTAAGCAATGGGTTTTCCCGGGGAAAGTGGTGGAACAAAAAAACCCCACAACACCCCTTGGATCTGTGACTTGAAATCACGGGACAAACCGAAGTGTCTTAAGTGTTTGATCTCCTGAATTTACTAGTTGTTGGATCTTCAAGTGGTGCTATCAATGAAGATTGATTTATAGGAAATGTATATTATATGGAGGGATACAGGACAGAATTGCAGCCTATTGTTTATTGAAAACGGAGCAGTGGTCCCAGTTTGGAGAACCAGGAAACTGCATTTTCTCTTATATTCATTGGATCTACTACTAAATAGATGGTTAGAAACTGAATGGTTAGAAATTATTATAAAAAAAAGGAAATTGAATAAAAAGCAATTTAAATGGCTTAAATGAC